AGTTCTTAGTATTTATTTTTTTACCTTTTTTTTGTGAACTTATTTGACAATCGTCATGCAGTTGAAAAAAGTGACGTTATTTTAAGGGTTGTAAGAAAGCAACTTCGATTTTTGGCAGTGTATAGTGTATGCGCCGTATCGAAAGGTATCGATACTCATGGGATCGATATTTTTATTCCGATATTTTAATGGATCGATACTCCATTAAACGTTACGAATCGATACTTGGTATCGATATTTTACGTGGATTGGAACATCCCTAATACCAGCCGTCAAACATACTTAAAAACAGACAAAAACAGAAAAAATATGGAAGAAATTTGATTATTTTGTGCATTTCCGCATACCATTCAAAAACTAGTCTGTGAAGTACTTTTTTGTGCTAATTCTACAGCTTTTTGTTATCTTAAGTATTCTACGTTAAGCAATGAATGCTACCTAACATGGGTCAAAATGGGTGTAATACAATGCAAATTGTTTTCAAAGTTCCTATACATAAAAATGACAAATCAATGTTTCTTATAGAGAGTTTGGACATGTTTAATGTCACAGAAGCTGTTAAAAATGCCCTCCATTATTGGTTATGCACATTGTTGTTCTTAAAACAATGTGTTGCGTTGAGCGGCAGGCCATATCCGTGTCCTAATTTCGTTCGCAGCGGTATGGATCCATTTCAAGGGGGTGAGGTTTGACATTGTAGGGAGTGGATTTGTCAATAAAAATAGCTGAGAAACATCCCCCCAAATATCGGTATGTAGTGAGCAAACACACTGTATAATGCATTACCATCGGCTGCTAAACATCTTGATTTCAATAATTTCAGAAAGCAAATTAAACAAATTATCTTTGATGCTCAATTCTGAAACCCCCGCTATATAATTCAGCCATATTTCTGCATATTAAATAAATCGTTTATAGTTTTTTCTTTGTTTCTGGACACTCATGTGTAGTTTGTATTCAATATGTAATTTATGTTTAAATTTTGGAAGAATATTTTGTTAAAATTGTTTTCAATATTCTAGTACTAGTTATTTTCAAGGGTTAAGTGGTAGAATATAGCTTGTAGCTAAACTTCGCCTGAATAAAACTCGTTTTATTATTTTATTATTATATCAGTACCTAATAATAGAAAAACATATTGTTATCTAGTCAAAGCAACTATACATAGTACCAGTTTCATTCATGTACTTTTATTGGTCGTCAATGTCAAGGGCGGCATTGCAACTACAGATGGCTGATGCAACTTAGCCGTTACCAGGGTCAATGTTCCAATGATCGTGCGTTTAACTATCACATAATAAACAATAAATCAATTTTATTGTATGGTTTTTACGATTACTCTTACTCAATCTGCGTAAAAACGTATTTTGAAATTTTTGATGGAAAATTATTTTCGTCCCATTGCATTGTGAAATAGACAATTCATTATAGGATGTTTTGTCTCATTCCATGAAAAAAATAAAGAAGTTGTTATGTAATGGATTTCTATCAAGGACTCTATGATATAAAGTATAATCAAAGAACGGACTGGAAAGAACAATTTTCAAAATAAGCTACTCGATGCCTGATCTCCAAAACTCATTCTATAACAGCATTTTGGACACTTGTTCATGACCCATTTACTTGTCTCACGTTAAACAGCCTTTTAGCCACACCTATACCCGATACTAGGACAAAGTACTTACAAATACATCTAAGACAATCCTAAAACAATATATTTATGCAATAATTGTAATTAAGACAAATATATCAAGCCACATATCTTCAAATCAATCTCGAATCGTCGATACACGTACGAAAAACATACACATGGGTTTGTACGCCTTTCCAAACTGAATATTATTAATAGAGGTGTTAAATATGTCCATGTCAAAATTATTTGGGTCGATTTTTAATTATATAAGGTATTATTGGTTAAATGGACAACACCCAAATTACCCAGGGGCTATAATCGTTCATTACCATTAGTTAGAGATTGTGTATAAAAACTGTGGGGCGGTATTTTTTGAATCAGTATTCGGTGTGGTGTACTCGGGTAGACTTAGAAATTAACAACATGTACGGAAAGGTACGAGTCATTCTTATCTACTACAGTGATAACGTACAGTGATGATTTGTGATGTGGTGGAAGTATCTTAGTGAATGTTTTAATTTTATCTGAGCTTCAAGGAACATACAATACTTTTCTTACCCAAATTCAATATTTGCAAATACGGGTTAATTTCAAAACATGTAGCTAGAATTCAAGGAGTGATTTTATGAGCTATTCAACACTATTTCTTTCAAACCATTTCTAGCTAGCGATCGTCACATTTCTCATCCATTTACGCACACCATATTTTTCCTTGGCATCTTTCGGAAACTAGCTTCATTTCGAAAAAATATAAAGTAACCAAAATTTTATAGAATAGTTTTTATTATCAAAGATCCTCAAACACTGTTCAAAAGGAGTGCCTCGAGGTAGAATACAAGGCAGATAGGCCTCTGAGCTCTTTCTATTGAGTTAAAACAAACAACCATTTTATTTTTCACTGGGAATAGGTTAACTAATAACTTCAGATGGTCTTATAGGGAATAGGATAGAGTTCAAGTACTGAGATGGAGCATGCCATAAATTAGGTTTTCCTCGACATACTCCGAATATTGCTGAATTTCTGAACGTAACTATTGATTAACATTTTCTGAAGGTAGCTGAACGTGCACTGTATTTCGGCGTTCAAAAAATTGTCTGAAATAAAATGAGATACCTACACTGGCATCACCTATGAAAACTCTCCGCAATAATTAGAAGTCTACTTTGAAAGTATTAGTATCTCATATAGCCAACTATATGATCATAAATGAACATATAGTTGGCTACAGCGCCATCTATGAGTCAATAACTGTTTAAATTAGATTCCTATTTTGATGCGAAGAGGGAGACGTAGCTAATTCTTATATCCGAGGCAGGTTATCTTATTTTAGCATATTTTTTTACGCCAAAACACATGGTTAGCTATATTCAGCAGCAGCTTCAGAATACGTTAGTGAATGACGTAACGCAATCAGAATTTGAGAGTGTTTGGTAGTCGACGACCATGCAACTGTAGCCTTGCATTCTAGCTGCACGTGACTAGCTCATTTGAATAGTTCCAAAAATTGAAAGGCATTTTGCTGCGGCTTAGATGCGTTAGTTTCAAGTAACTGGAAATAATATTTGATTATACTATATGTCCCTCGCAAAACATCCAAATTGATGTACAATCTGATTGCGCTTCCAGAAGTGCATAATGAATTTCATGTTGACGTAATATGCTAATTCGTCACGTGCGACCAATTTGTGCACCAAAAGAGCAGGTTGTTATGAATTATTATTCCATTGCTATTATTATGAAAGTTGTTTCGCGTAGCATGACTTACAATGTCGCGACAGCAATATTGGTAAAATAATTCAGCAAAACCGTAAGTGGGTGTTGTTGATAAAGAGACAGTTACTTTGCGGTCCTCATTCACCGCATTTCAATACCTACACAGTATCATTACCACATTATTTATAAATCTTTCGAATTGTTATCTAGTGGGTTACGTAACTGAGTCAATGCAATCTTTGAGCTTCAAATATTCATACAGAAAGGGGGTCAGTCAGATTGAGTTGCATACTTGTCAATCCTACATAGAATTTTTGATATACGCTGAGAGCCAAATTTGTCTGAAGGCTTGAGTTCAATATGTACGAGGGAGAAGTGTGTATAGACACATATCTTAGAAAGAGATAGAAATCAGCTGGATAGCAAAGCTCATCACCGCGTTGTCTAGCAACGCTGACGCGGCAATCTGCCACGTTGCCAATATGTTACACCAATTCCTTGAATTAAGATGCATATTGAAAATATACGTTAGCTTATGCTTTACGCCCAAATAATGATTTTATTTAGAAAGTAAACATTTTTGAATTGTGAATTGTGTCGAATCTGTTTAGGATTGATCCCCGCTCGATCCTAACTACACTCCATATTAGGTCGAAATGAAAGTTCAGTATCGCCACAAATTCTGCAATATTGCATCATTGGTTCGCTTGGCAACACCGCAACTCGTATATTCCAAGGCAAGGTCTCCACCTCTATGATCATAGATGATCGATTTTGGTCAGTGACATCTAGCGCTCATTGGGGAGTGTCGTGCTGCTTCGAAATGGTTTTCACCTGCGTACACGCAGGCAGTGATAATTCATATTGCGTAATGGTATTTGTTATATCTTTCGACCGCTCGCAGTCGCAAAATGTAACAATAACTCAGGATGTGTTGATTTTATCACGATCGGTGGAAATCAAAGATAACTCTGAATTAAATTGAAGCACTAAATCTCATCAAAATTCGATTAAATAATTCTAATCAAAATATAAACAAAATATTAAATTAAATGTTCGAACAGCCCCCTTTCGTGGGTTTGACAATAACCTAACCTATTGTAGAAGCCTGTGCGAACATTTTCTGGTGTAGCATATTAGCAACTCGGCAGATTGCACAACCTTCTGCGTCACCGATGCTAGGCAATGAGGTGATGACGTTCACTTTTTAGCTCACTTTAGCCGTCAGACAAATTTGGTTTTCCCTGTATATCTGAATTTCAAATTTTCAAAAAAAAGATAGGTCACGTCTACTCAAAGGACTAGAATATAGTCGGAACTTCGCTAGGCATGAAGAACTGTCACAAAAAAAGTCCTCGCCAACAATCATAATATTAATTCTGTGGGTTCTTGAGGATGAGAAATCAGAAAGAAACTGTTTCAAATGCTAATAATTTGCTCTGAACTGCCTGACACTTCAAGTATCTTCGGGGTATTAAAACAATTTTTCCGATTTCTCGCCGAGATTTTAATACATCCTGGGAATATTTTTTCATTTTCAAAATTTGGCACAAAGTCGAAAGACACAATACATTTTTGTAGTAGTCTATTAGGGTAGATGGTTTGATTTTATTCGTGAAATATGTGAATTGAGTCCCGTTTCTCCTTCTACAGATTATCCTCTTAGCCTTCTTGGCTGCTCAATCACAAGCCCAACATTACGACCACCATGGTGCGACTTCCTCAGTTACATTCAACCAGCACCACAACACGGTCCATCATATCCAATCAGCCCCGGCATTGGTAAAAGCAGCCCCATTGGCTGCCGCTCATGCTGCCCCAGTATTCACTGCCCATCAGGCTCCTGTACAGGTATATGCTAACCACCAGGCCCATCAGGTGCCAGTATATGCTGCCCACCAAGCTCCAGCCTTCACAGCCCACCAAGCTCCAGTCTTCACAGCTCACCAAGCCGCGCCTGTGTTCGCTGCCCATGTAGCGCCAGTCCATCATGCTGCTCCACAATGTAAGTATAGAATTTGTTCATTTATTTAATCGGCGACGGGTGAAACCCTTGTTACAAATGCAAAACAGTCTTGATTTAAGGTATTACGTGACACTATGTTTAAACTCATCAACAGTAGTTCCAAATACTTCTAAACTAGATGTATATCAATTACCTAACTTAAAAAGACGAGTTAAAAATGCATTCAAACCATAATTTGTTTGATGAAGGGGGACAAAGAAAGTCTTAGTATGTCGCGTTCTTCTATCATGCACATTAAGTGGAATTTTTGTCTAACAGATGAGGATCACCAATTAATTTTGTACAAGAAAAGTAAGTCAAATTCCCACCTGCGCCGCTCAGGAGAAGTCATATTCATGTAGAGAAAAGTATTAATATAACTGTACTCCTCCCTAATGGAACTCGTTTTACGAGATCTGTTAATTAAGTGATGAGGCCGACGATCTGAATTCACAAGATCCCCGAATTCTATCGATATTCTCGTCGGTTCTTGAAGATGAAGGCCTTCCGCATCGTGGATCATCTCCAATCGACTCTCTCCCTTCTAAAAATGCCTTAAACCACCGAAAAATTTGGGCTCTTATCAAAATACTATCTCCATAGGCCTGTTGAAGTTTAGCCATGGTTTCCGTTGCAATGGGTTTACGTCTGAAGCAAAACCTAGATAGCACACCGTTGCTTGAAATTGATGTCACTCATTTTTAGTTCACAACTGGAAACACTGTTTCGCAAAAAAAATCACTACGGACAGCCAAATGACTCGAGCGAGTTCAAACTTGTACTGCAGGCGGACCACATGTTCCACTATCTCCCTTCCAAGACCGGCGCCTCCAGTATTGCCAGATCGAACGTCATCATCTCATCACTTAATTTACAGACCTCGTATATCCACAAATTGACAAAAAAAAATCTGAACACGTTGTAATTAGTTGATCTGCAAGTTATAACTTGGAGACCAGATGGAGCAGAAATACTCAACTAACGAACGAGACAAGGAACAATACAATGTTTTAAAAGAAAAAAGTGACAGATCAACACAATGCCGATTTATAAATCCTAACATCTTACTCGTATATGCGCAGTTGATTGTTTTTTTTTTCAATATATGTGCTAAACGACAATTTTTAGTCAAAAGTAATTCCAGAGGCCCTAATCTGATCTGTAGTTTGTGAAGTTCACCATTGGTACTATAAGAATAAGTAATAGAAGAACGAGATTGGCTAAATATAACTTTAAAAAATTTCGCATCATAAATATGGACATTTCCTCACATACACTTCTACCTGACAGGCAATTTCTAGCAATGGTAATATCTGCCGTCCGAGATCATACAATATTACCTCGCTTGACCAGCAAACAACTATTTACTGAGCAAAGCAAATTTCATGTTACTGGTGAAAGGAGACAATTGTGCCAAAAGCTTACTGAACTTTACAACTTAGAATTGGAGAAAACTACGCCAGCCTTTATGTTTTAGTTGATAGTGAAGCATTTTAATGAAGTCGTGTCTTCCTACTTCATCAAACATATAATTTTATAGTTGCTGTCCATGCTGCGCCATCTCACGGCCACGCTCAGACCTACTCTTTCGGAGCTGCCCATGGAGCACCCGTAGCTGCCCACTTTGCTGCCCCTGTAGCAAAAGTTGCCGCCCCATTACTGGTCAAGACCGCCCCTGTCAAAGCTATCGCTGCCCCAGTTTTGGTCAGTGGTGGATACCATCATGGAGAGCATGGACACCATGAACAAGAATATGTAAGTAGAAACATCAGACATAACTACTTTAAGATAATGCATTATGATCTAAATATCTGCCTATACTGTATTAATACGTCATTTTCTGACCACGAATTATAAAAGCATCAATCCGCGAATCAACATAACTGACGTTACTCCTGTTTAAGATAAGATATTGTCAGTTGTGATAGAAGTTAGGCAATCAAAAATTGAACTGCGCATTATATAGATATTTTTCGTTTTTCAATGACTATGAACTATTCTATAAAAATCCTTTAAAATGATATCAGAATCAAAAGTATCGGATCTTTCCTATTGGTATAGGTTTGACTGGTGCTAAAAAATAGGAACCCCGATCAACAGAAGAACCACTAGAATGTAGAGGCATTGAGGTCAGGGTTCAAACATGTAGATATTCTGAAATAGTCTGAATGCCATTTAAAGATTTCAGTATAGCAAGACATTATACTAAGCTTACCTATCAGAGTTTTATAACAGTTTTCTTTGAGATGGCAAATCTACATACTTGAAATATCCTTTCTGCTGATGATTAGCCTCCCGCTTTGCTATTTTTTTTTTATAGGAGCCTATCTTACACGAAGTGTGGGATTCCCGGTATTCAGGCATTCGCTATATAATCTCGCTAATATAATACTTGCAACATTCCACCGTGGCGGGTAGCGTTCGCTTTTATAGTCTGACAAACTGATGCATGACATTCGCAAGCTACTATATCAAATACTAAAGAAACTCTATATTTTGTGTTCAACCAATGCGATATATGTATAGATTACAAAAGGCCTGAAAAACCTAGATCATTTAAAATTCTATCCTGCCAGCTTCGTTATGTCAATGTGGCAATTGAAGTTCAAAACCTCAAAATACTTTTAAAAAAGTGAGGAATAAATAATATTAAGTATAGCTCGTCAAGTTGGCATTTCAAACGGATTTTAATGCTGGCAAAATAAAAACAACCAAAACTGGCTCTGTGACTGAAATAGACCAGTTCGCAAGCCAAATATACGTATACTTCCTATTGCATTCGTATCAGTTTACCAGTTTGACAGCAGACTACTCGATTTGTCAAAGCATTCATGATACATTAATTTATTTTTTTATTCATATTGGCTTACTTCTCTACCAAGGTATGTAATATACCATTCTTTATTCCAGGCTCCTGCAAAATACATTTTCGAATATGGCGTCGAAGACACCCACACCGGAGACATCCATTCCCACAAGGAGCAACGTGACGGTGACGTCACCCATGGTGAGTACTCCCTGCACGAAGCTGACGGTACCATCAGAACTGTCAAATACACCGTGGACAAGCACAGCGGTTTCAACGCCGTGGTGGAGCGGTCTGGCAAGGCTACGCACCCTCAGCCTGCCAAGGTGCTCAAGGCTGCAGTTCCAGTGCAGCATTATCATCATTAAGGCCATAAACTGACTTTTCTTGTTTAGGAAACTGTAGTTGTTATGTATATAACGGATATTATTTATTTATGTATAATTGTTTTATAATAAAATATGTTTTGCATTAACTCGTGCAATTTGGCTTTCGCTCTGAACATAGTACGGCGCTATAGGCAGTTAGACTGGTGGAGCATATAACCAGGTTGTTCACCCTCAACAGAAGTACTTTTATCTTGCTTGCAGATTTATCAAATGTCTGGAACGTGAGTATAGGCCCATCCAAAAGGGCTTTCCATATTAGCCTATAAACTGTAGGAATCCTTTCTAGAAGGAAATTTTGGGGCGATATTAACAGTGTTTTGTCAAAAACAGTACCCCGGTGTTCCTCAGGGTTCGCTCTTAGGAAAAATCCTTCATTCACTTATTATTCATGACGTTATATCTATGCTGACGTCACTGCAATAGTAGCCCAGTCGTGACCTGATTCACGATAGGCTGCAGAGTATGAAGGAAGTATTGAAGTTTGCGAATCGGTGGCTGATCAAAGTGAATAATTCGAAACTGCAAGCAATCTATTGTACGTCGCGGTGCCCCATCAGAGATCTCAGTGAATGGAAGTGGTGTACCAAAAATCTGCCAGGTACCTTGGAGTCACCATTGACAACAGGATGACCTGGCAGAAACAATGATATTATGAAAACTAAATTCCTCATTAAGCTTTAACCTTTGTTGTGCAGAAATTCAAAATTGAGTCTGGACAATAAGATTCGGTTGTATAAAATGATTACTAAACCCGTAATGAGACCATTCACAGAGATCTTGACATCCCATATCTAAGGGGTTACGTAATACAACAGGCACAACGGTACTGTAGTCAAGCAGAATCGCACAGCAACACTCTGTTGCCTGATTCAGTAGACTGCGCAGTCAGTATACAAAACCGATCAAAATTATTTTTAGAATTACAAAATTATTCGAGTAGTCAAATCAAAAATATTTAAGCATTCTGTTTGCATTATTTCTTCCTTCCCTTCTTTCCTGCTTTCTCGTTTCCCCTTGAACCTGCTTGGTATATGGGTAGCCAGACCTGGCAGACTAACAGACCAACGAGACTTTTAACTAAGAGCAAAGGTCGATAAGACCGCTTTGACGAACAATGATGAATAGTATAAGCCAAGTAATAGGATGAAGTAGATTAAGTCTGAACTTTCTACTCAGTAACATGTTTTAGCTCAGGTGCTTAGTCAAAGCTGACAAAATTCACGTATAGACCTGCTTCTAATAAGTAGTATGTGAATCCATCTTCTTGAAAATCTCCATTGAATACAATTGCTAAATACAGCTGCTCCAAGTTATGTGGTAAAATCATAATGCACTCTGCTATAAGCCCATTGTATTCATTTTTAATCATAAAAATCGTACCGATACAGTCTTAAAAGCTTGCAAACTGCAAGAGGTAAAAATAAAACTCACATTAGTAAAAATGCTGAGCCTCCCAAACCTACAATGCACTGAAATATTTCGAAACCTTACATCAACTCCATCCAATCAAATCCTGTACTTGGCTGCGTTCACTAGCACTCAGCAGCTGACTCTTAACGCTGTCTATATCACGTTTCAGCTCAGCCACTAAATGTCATCTAAATGAGCTGGCAATCACTGATAGTGAATCTAACCTGCTTAGTCCAACACCAGATAGTTCAACAATCCAGCTGCTTTGAAATTTCTCCAATTTCATGTTTCCCGGTAGACATTTTTGTTATATGTATATTATAATATCCAGAATTAAAAATGATTTTCGATTACAATTCCTTTCCGGCTATTGGCTAGGAAACACATTTGGAAAAGATCAGGAAGAGATACCTACTTAAATGTTGGGAACCGCCACTGTCTTTCATTGCAATAGCAGCACGTAGGTATAACAAAAAAATTCCGTCATTGCATGGGTATGTACAACATCTTTATCATATTTACGTATCAATAAGTTGTGAAATATTGATTTGGTTTCATGTAACCATACTAAAACGATGCATTATTGTTAAGCTTTCAACAGATCCTTGATGTCTATGAACAAAAAATCTATTACGAATGATGTGTGACTTATTCGCACGCATAGCCTATAATATCGAGGTCGGATTCCAATAATAATTTTTTCGAGTATCACCAAATAGATGTACCCTGCATACCATGGCCGTCTCTAGTAAAGGAACAAAATTTGTTGCAATGTTTGGACTAAGTTACTGCATGAATGGTTGGCATTTGTCTGTTACCCGGAAATGTTTTTGTTGTACAATAATTAAATGGACAACACGACCCTCAGATATTGACTAAACAACTAGAGAGAGAGAGAAAGAGTGAGAGATTAATTGAAAAGTTGAATTGTATTGTACATTCAAATTCAAATTGTCTAGAGCATTTTTTTATATTATTATATAAACCATATATTAAAGATAATATCTCTCAAACCTTGAGCATATTCTGCTTCCTCCCATTTAACCTCAAAGCGAGCATATATGCAAAAGAGTACATAGGGTTAAATGGGAGAGTTTCAAAGAGCACAAAGAGGATAAAAATCACAGACGAAAGGTGAAATAATCAGCTTATATAAAATTAAACAATTGTCTTTGTGACCCAATTTGGTAGAATTTTTACATTCAGGTTTTTACTTATGATTTGTCATTGGATCTCAAAAATTCAGATGTTATTCTGCGCGATTTCAATGGCAAACTATTGTATCTTATACTATTTCCTCACAAGACAAACAACATGGTTTCTCTCTACTCTACTTTTGAGAGTGGGAATGCGCCTTGAGACTAGTAGTAGTAGTAGTATCAAACTCTATGAGAATGTGAAAAATAAAATAGAAACAAAATGACACAGCAGCTCTTCGCCAAGCAATGTAGTCTCCAAATATCTGAACAGAGCCGCTGAAGTGTGCACTTTAGCTTACTCTCATTGATACTACAAGTTAAGATAGCTCTCATTAAAAAGTGTTGCAACATTATTCGATTTTGAACTTTCTTGTAAGCTCTCATCATAAACGGTCGACATTTCCACCCATCAGCAATGTGCATCTTCTTCGAAGGTTCAATACTGCCCCTTTGTCGGAAATTTGAAATGAGGCGATTTATTGGGGATAATGAGTGTTCCCAAGCCTTCAGTTGAAGAATTGACGATGTCCACCTTTAGGTAAAACAACGGATGCTGGACTTGCAAGCAATCTGTACCAAATCGTAAGAAATAAAAACAAATTTCGAAAAACGGGTCCGTTATAGATAATTCAAACCATGACGTTCATTTTGGACCACCCAATACAAGCACCTCTTGGTAGGTATTTTATAGGATTTTGTAAGGTTTGATTGTATTGTGCAAGAGTTACCTGATAGATATTTTATCAAATAAGCCTGGAGACTCCAACGATTGATGAGACACGAAACCTCAAAAGTCTTAAATTGCTAACGGTAAAACAACTCCTCTAAGGATGGCATTTTGCTCTCATTTTAAAAGACTTTATTTCATTGTACAACCATTACGTGGTTAATATTATGTTAAGTAAATGATCGATGAGGCAAGAAATCTAACAAAAAACAACATTGGTTAGAATCTAGGATATCAAGCAAAAAGGTCCCTATATCCACTCGCATACAAAAATAATCTAATCTGAATTTGATTTAATGAAAAAAATGCATCAAAAACCCTACAAAAGTAGATACCCATCATCAGTATCGAGGTTCGTAGAGTGAAAATGCTACTATACTCTATTGCACCAGTTAAAGATAAGCTGATTAAACTAAATAAGTCAAGGTTTGCTCTAAACACGAACTAATCCAGATACATTCAAGTGATTAACCAAATAATTACTATAATTGGGTGGCGATTGCGAATACAGTTGAACTTAACATAAATTAAATCGACTTACGTGCTTAGTCACCGAATTTTTCACAAAGAAATGTTTGAATTATAGAAACCTTGTACCGACAAGTAGCAGTTTCTTGGAAAAGCGTCTGATATGACGTTTGAATCACATACCTAATTATTTTGCACTGATTATGATAAATAGGCACAAATTCAAGCCCACGCATTATGATATACAATTCTAGTAAACTTGAACTTTTTCGTATTGATAATAACACTGAAACGGTTGTGATTAGTAACAAGTGCAAACCGAAATAATTACCTTTTTATGTTGAGAAACGAGTGCGAATATGCCACAGAAGTCTAGAAATAATTGTTGACCTGGAAATTAATGCATTAAATAAACATCAATTACTAAATTCCTCGATGCAAAGTTGCGTGAGCCATTCTCCATGAGTGCACAACATTTACACAGTCAGATTTTCTGTTATAAAACCGCAGACGCAAATTATATAGGCGAGGGAACACTCGCCAATTATTTTTCCAAGTAGATCACAAATTTTGCTAGATCTGGGGGATGCTCTCGTATGTAGAATGGTCAAGATAGCTAAAGTATCACACGGAAGTCGTTGAGTGTATTCTAAATCTCGCAATCGACATTTTTCATTAGACTTCAGGCAGCAGCGGTGGCCGTAGTAGTAGACTCTTCGGTCTCCTGATCAGTCTCCGTGCGCTGTGCGGGTTCGAGTCCCGTCCCAGGAGAAACTTTTCTCTTGGCTATGGATGTTGTGATTATCCGTAGGTGGAAGACGGTCTCTGACTGTCGAACGTGGAGGTACCACCCGGCGGATCTCGTAGGCGGAGCCAGAATGTGTGCATGTTGCATGTACACGTGTTTCCTTGGCAGAGTCCGTGTGGCGTTCCCCCTTTCCCCTGTATCCCCCTATAGCCCCACGGTACCCAATGGGTGTTTAGGCCTTAGGCCTTCGTGGTAGTTGGTGTATAAAAAAAAGACAAAGTCCCACCAAGCTAAGACCGACGAATTCGAATAAGTTAGAAGGAGCCAAGCCTGTATGATTACATTGCATTGCCTGTCGCCAAAATTACGTAGTTTTAGGCCCGTATCGTCAGTCGTCCCTACAATTGTAGGTCGCGTTTATGGAATCCTTGATTGTCATACTCCTTTCTGTGCTTCAAAAATTTCTAGATTACACTTGTCCCGTGTCAGCGTCAGCGCTCTCCTATATGTTTTCTTTTTAAATTGTAGGACATTTCAGGCTGATAAAACATGATATAACTCAAAAGCAAGCACAATTTGATGCAAATAGATGTTTGTGACCTCAAAATAGAGCGCTGACACGGAGAAGTAGAAAACTATGACAATCAAGGAGGCCATAAAGGTGCCCTACAATTGTAGGGACGACTGACGATACGGGCCTTAGTGCATACTTTTGACTCATTTATCTACCAATGTCTACCGAAGTGGCAGCGTTGTAGATCAACGATAAAAATGCTTACAGCTGAAAACATCTACCTTCATTAGACTTATGCCGCACTTTGCAAATTATGTACGAAGTACTATGTTTTGAAATCATCCAACACCGCAATTATCTGCAAACACTCGCTCTTTCGAAAAATAACACTAAAAATACAAGTAATGACAGAACTGTCAAGAAATTTACTTAGGTCAAGTGCACTTTATTCTCACTCCAGACAATGAGAATTAGGGGACAAACAAATCCTTCACTGGCTCCTTCTACCTAGTCTGAATTCGTTGACTAAGAGCGTGTAACAATGAATGACATATTCGAGATTCTTTCAAGGTTCGACAAAGCGAGAAATGACAATCTAATAGTATGACTTGCATGGAGATACTTTACTTTCTTCGTTGACCACCTTTTTTCAAGAATCACAAAAATAAAATTTCAGGGTAGCACGTGAGAATATAACACATGCAAACGCAAACCCGAACCCCCCTCAGACTACAAAAGGGTCAAAGGTGGCCTAGTTGCAACGCTTAGCCTCCTCACTATCGCTACTACTACTACTAGACGATTCTGTGCTACGTAATGGCAACTTGATTACTTATGCCAGCTATTTGAAAACGTCATACTGTGTACTATTCGCCGTCAGTAGCTTCTAGAAGCATCGTGTTGTCTACTTTAGGATGTCGACAATGTTTGACGTTCATGGGCATCGAAATACATGATCAGTAATAGCCCGTTGTTATACAGACAACCAGCTAAATGAGATCCTCATACTCAGTTATACTTCCTCCGTCACATCTTGTTCCAAAAGCACATTTAATATCCTATCAGCAGAAATTATCCTAGCGGTGGGTCGCCGTAATTTGGGCAAATGTCAGCAGTATGGCCGTTGCACTAATTCTCCATATAGGTGGCGCTCACAGAGTGTGGTGTGCTAGATTAGTGTAGAACTTAGAACAAGTTTTGCGTTCGTAAATGTTAGACTGCGATATCTTATGAAATAAGTATATTGACTTGCAGGATTGGCTGAGGCAGTTAGCGAGTCAGGCAGCCGCCACAAATCGCAGTGTCATGGGGGCGCAGTTCTCAAACACGAGCTGCTGCAGAGGCGACGTGGGAATCATGACCTCCACTGAGCAAACCGCAACGTACACTTCCCAGTTATCAGAAAGACTTTTAGAAGCACTGATGCAGCCACCCCTAGAGATGAACATCATCGTGAACCCTGCGATCTCTCTAGACAACTTCCTTAATCCGCAGCTGTGGCTAGGACTCCCCCTGCTCACATGTGTGATTTAAAAGGGTACCATTTCCTTGGGAGACATTTTTAAGCCTCTCGTAAGTGGCGGACAACTGATGATCTGTCTGTTTTCTACGGACATGACAATGGATTTTGCTCCTCGATAGTGTTGCATCGTTCTAATCCTGCCAGACCTCCTACCCTACTTGATTCGTCCTAGTTCTTTACATCGATGACTAGCTGATACGATCGCTACATTTTAGTGCCTAAGATATCGAAAATACGAAATAACCTGTCACGAGAGGCTTTTCTCAATGGAGGTACGCTCTATCTAGTGAAAATTGCATCTTAAATAGCTAAAACAAATTGTTTACATCTATTTTCATGGAAGAAGTACGTCACAATCTAAGGAGGCCAGAACCTATTAAGTCAGAGCTTTGACACCAAAATTCGCATGTTTTTGTGCATTGGATTTCGATCTTGAGAATAAGCCCAAAGAGGTTTCCCAGTCATTAAGTTAATCGTTATCAAAAACCTAAGGTGACATTAACTCTTTGGCTTTGATGGCATTCAAAAAGTATCCCCTTCTTCCGAATGTCAGATTCCCTCTAAGGTTTGGGATTATTTCACATAAATCAATCGCTTTGGATGACAAATTAGTGCGCATTAAGTTCGGCCGTCCGGAGCCACCCCTTACTGCCTCAAGTGGTGGAAAACAAGTAAAAGCAGCAATTAAGCTGTAACTTTTGAGTTCCGCCAGATTTACAGATCATATTTAGAGATTACTTTCATATTTGTTAAAAAATAACGCTTAATAAGCTTAATCTCCAGAACCATCCCTAAATCCCCCAGAAGGTACGAAAATGCGAGTAAAAACGACCAGAAAACTCGGGAAAATTGTCGAACTTCAGTCATTAGATTTTGGACTCATTTCAACCCCTGTTTATGTTTCCAAAAAATGAAACGTAATGCTCTTTTTGATTTTTCATAGCCAACAATTTGAGTTCTGTGAAACCTTCTTAGGTTTATTCTTAAGTTCAGAATCTAATGAGCAAACACAGGAAATAAAACTGCCTTTTTGGGGGCTTACATTCGAATTTTGGAAGAAAACTTTCGCAATTCATGGAATAAAGTAAAAAAATACACAGAGGAGGCAAAATATTTTCCCTTATACAAAACTTAAGGCAGCTGAAAGATCTGATCAACAAATTCTCATAACATAAAAAATTGAACAAAATCGCATAAAAATAATATCTCCTGGACTACTGATGTGAGATGGTAGCCGAAATACTACGCTAAAGAACAAATACAACCTCTTAAGAGGTCAATATTATAATTGTTCATGGATTTTTTCTCAACGGATTGGAATTCGTTACAAGTTCTTTTTGCGGGATTTGGATGGAATTAAAAATCTTTATCGTTACGGTATAAAGGATTAGAAAATGTCCGTGAAAAATCAGTACCCGAAATATCACGCTAGTGACTACAGGTGGAGTTATGATGAACGGGATGTTTGTTAAAGTGAGTGTTTTTTGGAGTGATTGTGACCAAAGTGATAGAATAAAGAAAAAAATCATATACTTCATCAACAAAAAATGCAGCGCTGTTTTATGTATTCAGTATGACACTCTAAACACCATCCAAGTCGGGAAGTTGCTTAAAATAAGTACTAAAGCTCTTTTAGAATATATACTAGCTTTTTGTACAGTGGTTTCGCAGAATACAGTGCGAGTGCCATCAAAGTCTTATATTATATACGCGGTGCCGTATTTATTTATTTTCACTCAAAATTCAGAGCTCCATCAACAAAACTAATATACAATGTTTCGCTCCAAAGCTGTTTGTTTATCCATATTACTATTTTCATAAACGAATACAGTTGTAGAAAGGTCTAAAAATAGATCTTATGATATCTGGGTACCATTAAAACAAGGATTAAAACGTTACCGTTATTTACTTTTGAGCATAGTTCACAATAGCGCCCTAACTTCTGTTGTATTCCCCCATTCGCTCCTGAAGCTACGTACCGTCCATATACAGTCCGATTTCATTACTGCTAGACATTTTGTATGTGACTGAGCAGCCGACAGTTGGGATGAAATTTTATCCCCGACTGTCGCTCCAACCACATGCAATTTTATTAGTTTTTTCCATATTACTACAGTGATATGAATTAGACATATCGTTTACGGTAATTGGATTGTCGTAAACTGCCAAGTGTCCAGAATTCTCGATGACTTGTATCAAATATTTGTACCTATTCCCTCTTGTTATGTTCCCAAATCAAAAGCGTTTACCATAATATACTATTGTTTTAAGCACATCAAAAATATTGTTTCTGTTTCCGCGCGATTTTTATATTTTCTATAAGGTTCAAAGAGTTTACACGGGGGTTTTATTAAAATTTTCAGCTGCTCATCATTTTTATGGTAATAACATGGGGTCGGGCACATGTGTACAAGTTATATCCGGAAGTTCCTGCTACACATCTATATAAAGGACGAGTTCCCGTGATATTTCTAATGCCTCCTAAGGATACTGAACACCAAGGGTAAGTTTATGCACTTAAGCCCGGTTTTTCAATCGCATGTTAATTTCCTGGTTAGTTACTATCACCAGGAAGTTAACCTGTAGTTGCCTGTAAATGCGTTTTTCAAATATATATTTTGACAGCGCCAGTTAAATTATCAGAAGTTCATCATATATTTATGTTGCAACTCAGATGCCATGTTCTGTGTATTTTGTGAGCTCGGCGTATGTGTTTTGTGTCATGCCCTCATACCTCTCGTACATGACAGCTTGTCTTCTTTGAAAGAATTTGAATACAACCTTCGTCAAGCAATGTAAGGTTTTTCAAACACTGCTTGTACAAATGTTTAGTAGTAGACTCTATAGATGGGATTATATAAATGGTGGTAAAGAAGGTGGTAAATGCAATGTCTAATCAACCTTATATAGATCAAAAAAATGCGCTAAAAATGCAATTAAGTTTGTACATATCTGTTCAATATCGTGTTTGTCACCTTTTTAGCATCACATCACGAACCAAAAATAAAGGTCTTCTGCAGCGGAGAATATACGTCTATACGTCTATTCCTATTGCTAAAATTTTTCAAAAAAATTTTTCTGGCATGGAGAAAGAGAACATCAAAAAATAGCTCAACATTTTTCAAAAGATGAGGCAATGATGTTAGTATCATGGGTCAGTAAAAACAAAAGAGTGATAGAGAGCAAAAAAGTTAGCTCAGTTTCCTCAAAGGAGAAAAGTTCTGTTTCTCTAGTCCTTTTTGTAGGTCGAAATCTTGCAAGGAAATCCGGGTCGCCAAATTTCATCAAAGTAATTCGGCCGATGGAGGACTATTTTTCACCTTCTTGCCTCTTCGTCTCTGCAATCACGTCGTGTTCCATACAATGTTTCAGCTTTAATCCATATTTATCGATAAATTGATATGAATTTGTATATTCTTAAATAAACGCCAAAGCGTGTGTCAACAAATATCAGATATTGCTATTTAACCACAGCCTTCCTAGTTACCTCATAGGTGGTCTTCTGCTTAAAGTTAACTGTCACTTTACTATAAACATGATATTGAAAAACGCTTTTTCATATATAGCTACATGTTAAGACTAAGGTCATAGTTAACCTACGACTGAAAAATCGGACCATAGAGCTTTACCCGACTAGAGGCCAGCCATGGCGGAGTCACCTAATGATTCAGTCACGCCTTTTTCGATTAAAAAGACGCCAGGTAAAGTAGCCCTACATGCGCTTGACTGGTGACAGTGGCACAATGGCTGCCGGCACCAGCGATATCAAAGGACTTACGCCACGCAACTGTAGAGTGAACTCAGTCCATCTATGTACAATATCCAGTAAAACATAGCCTTGAGTACTGCTCGGATGTTTGAGATGCTGCCGCTCTTCGACTCCATTATCCAAGCTCGGAGCTGTTCAGAGGAGGGCTATTTGACTGATCTATAACTCTATTCTAACAGACAGTCTCGAGACCCTTTCGCACCGATGGACCATCGGAGATCTAGCTCTCTTCTACCACTATGGGCTTTGTTCTTCAGAGCTCTCCAACATGATGCTGCCACGCGATGAGGTAGGCCCGCCTGGCTTTGTCCATCCTAACCGTTTCTGGCTTCTTATGTCCAGAACTGGTTAGTACAGCCGCTCCTTTGTCCCTAGGGCTGCGAGATTGTGGAGCAATATGTCGCCGAGGAGGCTTTTCCCAGTTCTACATACCTTAGGCAGTTCAAACATTGTATCACCAAATTGTCTTTAAGCAGCGGTGCCCGGTACTTAGCCTTGCGTCTGCGCGGCTGCTTCGTTATATAAAAATAGAATAGCCTGGCTACGGATGCCGTCATCGTCGCCATGGAGTATGAGGGAGAGCTCTTACACCAATATGTTCACCTATAATTAATTATTCATTGATCTACTTCTTTATGAAAAGGACAGCTTGTTATTGAACTCTACAATTTTTGACATCACATTTTCTATGCATTTGAAGAAGTCATTATTTTATAAATCCAATAAACCGACTTCAAGCCAGAATGAAACTGAACCTTCATTGTATATCTCAATTTTGCATTGTGATTGATTGACTTTTCAACCTCACTACAGGAAAAAATAGTTCTAAGCAAAATTATTGCCTGATCGTCACTTCATTTTTACGATACCTGTCCATCAATTTTATCATCGCGCATGTTAACCTGCTAACTACAGCAGATTTAAAAATGAAGTTGCGGCATTGAGAAACACCACCGTACAGAAATTTAATTTTCTTCTAGTACCTACAAATATGTGAACTTGAATAATAAAGTTCCCCGAAATGCATACTACCCCAAGGAAATACCTGTCAATGAGGAAGAAGAAGCTGAAGATTCCCCTTATCAAGAACCTGCCAAACCACCTAGGTATGGATTTGTGAGGGTCGATGGTGAAGAAGATAGAGGGCCCGCTTTTCATCCCAACAAGGAATACGAAAAAAAAGAGGACTATTATGTGAGTATTATAAGGATGGGCAAACCACTTTATAACATGACATGATAGAAATTCCTTGAGGTTATTGAAACCGTCAATATGGGCTACTTTTCATAACTTTAAACTGGCGAAATATCAATACTATGTGTATGTCAAATTCGAATACCGAATACCAGATATTTGGTGGAGTGATTTGCTCTGGGTTATTTTATCTGTTAGTGATATAAGATTATATTTGCGCTTTTGAAAGTTCGCCTTTTCTCAAAATTGATATACTTTTCCTAGAAATGAAAGAAGCACCACAGTTGCACTTTTTACATTAGCTAGACATACGATTTTCACTCAGAAACTCAGCTTTACAAATTATGTTAAAATTGAAACAATTGTTTTCCGTATAACTTTTCAGTCCCTACAATTTCACATTTGTAAGGTATTTGAAAGGGCATCCCCTTGAACGCACATTTTTGTTGGAGTTATGCAACGCGAGGTCCCAAGCTGCTAAATTTGTGAAAAATTGCATTATACAAATACGTATCATGGCAATCACGAACACTGAAATCAAATCTTATAGGTTTCTGAGCTGGCTTTTGAAGGAAACCCCAAAAGAAACAAGACTAATAGATCTCCTGGCGAGACCAATTTATATTCGGACTAAACCTAAATTAGCCCTTCGTATGAGTAAACAATTTACTTTGCAGAAACGCGGAATACCCCTTATTAAGGGAAAAGAGCAAATGAAAAATACAAAAAGTCGATACTACGGTGTGGTTTCAATTTAAGCTCCTATAGTAGCTGCTTCAAAGACTACCACCGTATTTTTTATGAATGTACTGATTTATTACAGAATATGGTCGATATTTACCAAAAAATCATCCAAATCAGCCAACTCATTACGGCAAAGATGCGTTGCAAGGTTGGCTTTTTTTATTGACGATGCGTTAGTTTTTTGGAGAACTATTGGGAAGGTTTGGGAAAGGCATATAAGTTCAGACATTGCAAATCACATCTGCAGTCATTTGATTTACAAAAGTTGTGCCTTGCGTTCTGACCAAGAAATTACCTGGCCGAGTAATTTAATACAAAACCAGTTCCTCAGCAAAATAGGCCAAATATGCCGAGTACCGGGTAACAAACTAAGTATTTGGTGCATCCCCAACTATGCCTACAAGAAGAATATTATATTACCACTACAGACGAAATGTGAAAAACTTACCCTCCAGAGTTCAAACATAATTCGTGCCAAAGCTAGTACGTAATAAGTTGTAGAATGACGGCTTTTTCTAGACTCAAATCGTAGAATGGACCCTTCTTCTGTCATGGGAGTTAGGCTTTCGACAGATGTGACGAAAATAACTGTTAAGATTCATAGCAGTTATATATATCAAGGCTGAGCCAGCTTAGCGGACCGCATCAGTTTGTTCCAAAAGTACGAAGAATAAAATATGAATCTTTAATTTTTTCAGTATTTCAAACAAGTTTACATTTTGTTCTCAACTTATCAGTGGTTAAATTGGATTTTCTTCATAGCTTCAAATGTATTGTAAAATACTCTTCAAATAATAATAACATCGTCAAATTATTTTCGATCTTAGATTGTTTATTGGATGAAGTGGTGGAATGTGAATTTTTTCATATCCTGTTCAGCGGAAAATACGGAAGATATAGATGAGCTCTCAAAAATATTTTTTCGTTTTATGAAAAGATGGCGTTACATAGGTTGACTGTCTTCAGTTCATGAAGGATTAAGTTCGGCACAAGTTAGCCAATCTGAGAATAAAGTTGGCTACGAACATGTTCGACAAAAAATTAAAATGTATCAAGTCAATCAAACGGGTCCATTCAGTTAGTCCATAGACATGTCCGCGGTTGGAGATATATAAATATACAAACACTATAAAAAATGAACATAGTAGTAACTTTGTGTGAAAATTTCATAGAAATCCGAGAAGTTCTTTCGAAGTTATAGACGGGCCAAGGATTAGCGGACAGAGAGATAGACCGAGGAAGATTTACCGAAATGAGTAACATCGTTTTTCGTGATGTAGGTACATGTCATATAAAATCCAAGAAAACGTAATACTTCAATTTCGGAATTATCCGCGATTACAACACTTCCTCAGCAGTGGCGTGGGAAGTAAAATAGATGTAAGCAATCTATTTCTGCTCTTAGAAATGTTACTGTTTTAGTCACTTTGCCTATCAATCTTTTCTTTCTATCTAATTGCTTGATTACCAAAGTTTTTGTTTCTAAATCGTGATAAAACCTTGGAATCAGATTTTCAGAAGTCTGATGAAAAATAAATTGTAAATCCTATAAGTAGCATCGCTCTCATACGTGCAACACTAATGACCGCTCAGACTTTGATATTATATCCTCAAATGACTTCTGCTTGGAAATCTGCTCAAAAAAATAGGTATTACTAATTTGTATCTTATTGTAACCCTTAGGACTATCCCAAGTATAAGTTTGGCTACGGCGTAAGGGACCCAAAAACCGGAGACTACAAGTCCCACCATGAAAGCAGGGACGGCGATGTGGTAAAGGGCTTCTACACCGTACTTGACCCAGACGGTGCACTGCGGATAGTACGATACACAGCTGATGATAAGCACGGATTCAGAGCAGTTGTGGACAGGAGAGAGCATCCTGGCTACCACCCTGTGAAGAAACCAAAACATCATCCAAAGGAGTATTTCACACCTGCGCATCGGCATGACAAAGAACAGAGCGATTTTACACCTGCGCATCACTATGAAAAAGAACAAAGCGATGAGTTTCCAGTTAAGGTTGTGAAGCCAGATTTTGTTGTGCCAAAAGGGTTTTCTCTTCCTGAAGAATACCACGATAAAGAAGAAGAAAATGAGGAAGAAGGGGAAGAAGGAGAAGATGATATATAATTATTTTGTGATATTTTAGGTACTTTATATGGTGCTATGGTCTAAATTTATTTTACGGCGTTAAGATCTCAACGGCACTAGACTGAAGTAGTTGTGTTGAAAGAAACTGTGATTTAAAGTAAACTGCTTTCGTCCTTCCTACCAACCGTATACGAAGCTGTTTCATTCTCTTACGTATTTTGAGCACAGTATAGGTATGTCTTAAAACAATGAACGAAAGTGGAGTAGTGATTTCCATCAGAGATATGGTGATTAGATCCTGGCTGGTTGTTGTCTAAAACTAGTTAAGTTAAGGTATTTGCTCACTATTGGTTTGTTCGTACAGCCTGTTTACTGACAATCAGCAAACTGATAGTCGGCGACAAGTCATGACCTAGTTTGTGCAGTAAGCTGTCACTGACACGTCGCTGACTATATTAATTGCGTACATAAGAACGTTACGAGTTGGCTGAGGGAGGTCAGACCGATTACCGACAACTAATCCGCTGTTCGTACAGAAACTTCTGACTGTTTGGTGACTGTCAAATCAGTCAGCAGATAATTTTCCAGTAAATTGTCAGAGCTCCAAATCAAGTACAATAATTATTCTAATGTAAAAATTTTTACAATGAAGTAGACAATTTTGGAAAAGTTGAGGGCTCATTTGCTGTAAACCAGAATGATCTAGGATCGAATTTTCCTTTAGAGAGGAAAACAGGGACACCTTCTAGAAAAAAATAACAGCACTTGCTCAGTAATTACCATTCAATTCTCACATATAAAGTCTAAATTCTAAGAACTATGATTCCACACATCGAATGACAAGTTAAAGAAGTAAATACATAGTAAGAATTCTGAATAAACGTCTGCAGTGATTATGCATGAGAAATATGCAAAGTATTGTGAATGACTTTTAATAAAACTCGGATAGTAGGGTATTTGTTCCCTGTTCCTTTGTCGCCCAGCCTCGAAGTATATGCACAAACAGTATTTATATATTCTAGCTATGTAAGTCCAACCCAAAGCTGATGAAAAAATAAACAAAATAACGAATTCTGGAGATTTTGTGATACAGCTGTTTCTCACGGAGAGGGAGTGACTGTTTGTGCTGGGGTGAAAATAATATTTTCCCTATACAGGGTATTTTAAATTCGATCGGATCTCGGAAACTTCAAGGAATACGAAGTCACTTAAATAAGGACAAAGTTGCGTATTCAGATAATCAGCAAAATGTCGCTTAGAAAATTTTTAAATTGAAAGTACTTCCGGAAATGGTTTTAATTTTCTCCTGACTTTATTTGTGGTGGGATTTCAAAATCAATTGCACATGAACGCTGCCACGTTTTCTCCTCTACAAGACGGTACAATTAGAATATCAATATGACGTTTCGTCTCTTGTCCTCCAGCATCAACTTAATTTTTTCTTATAGACGCTATATTGGATTCTTACAAACATGAATCGAATTTTTATTCTGATGTAAAAAATGTATGTCATACATTGACATTGCAAAACCTTAGTTATTCCAGAACTTCCTAGGTAGGCCTTGAAATTATTAGATTTCATTTGTTTGCATAGCAACAGAGTTTGCAAGACTGTGAATATCTCCGCTTATTTATGGTTATTATTGTTATTACCATGAATAAAAAGTTCATTTCGTATTCAGGTTTCACCAAATCTTTTTATTTCCTTTTAATTTTCATCCAACAACAAATTTATGGTCAACTAACAATCACTGAATTTAGAGCTTAAAAAGTCCATTTGAATGTACAAAATTCCAATATATGTTAGTGACCGTATCAAGAAACAAATTTGCTGATGGAAGTCGAAAGAAGAAATGTCGAATTGAAAATTTAACTACGCCATCTTGCAGGCGAAAATAAGTAACAATGACAATATGCAATTTATTTTGAAATCCCATCTCGAGTCGGGAAAAAATAGAGTGGTTTTGGGATAAATCTGGTGAGCGAAACTAACATCTTATAGCGTCCTTAAGAAATAATAAAGTTGGTGCTGGAGGACAAGAGAGGAACCATCATATAGAAATTCTGATTATTCCTTCTTGTAGAGGAGAAAACGTGACACTGTTAATGTGCAATTTATTTTAAAGTCCCAATATAAATAAAGTCAGGAAAACATCATAACAATTTCAGTTTTTTTACTCTATGGAAGTACTTTGAATTTCGGAACCTTCAAAGTGTCGTATCCCTTACAGTTTCCAAGATCCCAATGGTGAGGGCCAAATTAGAAACACGCTGTATATGCAGGCTCTTACTAGAAGAAATAAGTGAAAATACTACAAGGATTTAATAACGTTTTTGAATAATAAAGAGTGTTATACACTAAAAAGCTAAAACGGCTGAACATAACTACAATTCTCAAGATCTGTTTACATAGCTATAAGTTTCACAAGAGTTCTCGCGTAATTACGCATTTTGCAACTGAAACAAAAATTTTCCAAAGATTAGTGATCACAAAAATCGTATTAATAATGGTTCTTGAAAGTTATGTCTTCTATTGTTCGGATTTTTCATACTGTATTTATAATCTTCATTTTGCCATTACCGGGACCATAAGCAAAATATTAAGCACAAAGCACTTTGGCGCTGACTGATATTTAAAATGGAATTTCATTAAAATTTTTTCTGCCACTTACTCATCTGAAAATGTTATAAAAACTTGTTTCTGTTGATTGTGGCTCTGTTTTCTCTACAAAATTAAGGTTTTTGGGTTTCATTTTTTTACAACGAAGCAGCCGCGCAGGTGAACCCTACATACCAAGGCATCGCGGCTGCTATCAAGAGCTTAAAGAAACTTATTCCCATTTTTGAACTGCCTAAAGTTGTTGTCTCATGTAGATTGTTACACGATCTCTACACCCTCGGGACAAAGGAGCGGTCTTATCGGCCAGTTCTGGATGGACGAAGTTCGAGACGCTTACGATGGGAGTCCGAAGTCTGGCAGGCACTTCGCGGGGCAACACCATGGAAGAGAGCTCTGAGGAGCAAAGCCCGTTGGCGTAGCTAGATCGCCAACGTCCCGTCGCCGTCGGTGCAAAGGTGTGACCAGAAGAAAAGAATAATCGCTCATTAAATTCCTCTTGCGAAGCAGTTTTAGTCCTCAAGATAGTTTCGACACACTGTGATACCTGTCACTGGTTGACTGGTTTCCTCTGATCTGTCAGAAGGTTCTGTACGAACAGCGGATTAGCTGTCGGCAAACAGTCAGAAACCGTACGAACAGGTAGCATCTCTCTGATTCTGATTTTGACAGTCACCGACAAGTTCCGACTACTGTACGAACAAACCATATATCGTATGATACTAGGATCATGCCATGAACGCAGCGTAATTTTTTTGGTGAAGGCCATTTTAGCCGGATAAAAGTTTTTTTTATTTCATTATAAAGGCTATTGGCGACTTATTTGATATCGATTTAATACGGACTAAAATTATTTTAAATAAATTTTCACGAATACATTCTCAATTTTATGATAGTGTTCAAGTAATGTTCCCCGAGTATTTTTTATGAAAATATATTATTATAGGTAGGTTAATGTTTCATTTTAACGAAAGACCTTTGTATGTATTATAAGTAATATTACCATATATTTTGATAACAACGTTAATTTTATACGTATATTAATCTGTCAGTGCAAAAACCTCATAAGTCCTATAGTTAGATTTTTCAGGAAACAATAAAAACCGTGCCACTGACAAATTAAGTACTTTTTGGGGCATAATGTAGAATATGAGTTCTCTACAAGATTGAAATTTTGAAAAAGCTTCATAGTTTAATAATAATAATAATGGGAGAAGCCCGAAATATTGTTATAAACATACGTTGTTTCAAGCAAAGAATCATATCATTCATATTTTTCATTGCTTAATATTGACTTTTTAACATGCCAAATGTTTTAATTTTACATGTTTTAATACTTTTAAGGTGCATAGGGAAAAACCGGGCAAAACGAACGCCTAGGAACCTCGAATTTTTCGTTTTACATCCAAACCATGAATCAACTATCGTGAAAAATTACATAGTCTTATTCATTCGACTTTCTTCCATAATCGGCAATCGGCTGTGGAAGTAGAACTTTTTCAGTCATACAAATGAGGAGAATTCAGTCAATGGTTTCGAACATTTACGATTGATACTTTGGTGCATATAGCACATGAATATGAAAATAAAACAATACGAGGCTGAAGGAACTGTTTTTAAAATTACCCATTGAACTACTCACCGTTGAGTGGTGCCTCGGACTAACGAAGTTTTTGCATTGAACGTACAAATATATTATGTGATATTACTTGAAGAAATTTCAATGTAGTGACTCATTGTATACCCAGAACACGTATCTACCTTTAATGAGACGTTTTCAGTAAAAAAGCATGCTGGCCAAAAAGTGTACTTATGTTTTTTCAACTGACCGATTCACTCTTATTAAGATGATTATACTCATAAGTTCCTGGACCACATAAAGTCCCAGCACCAATTTTTAATTTTGTAAATACTTTTTGTTGTTATGCAATGTTGTAAATGTAAATAAACATTGTTATCAAGTCTTTTGTGTTTCACTACTCTTGATCTCGTTCTAATTATGCACTCTGCGCTGTTATATAACAGCTATCAACATAACATCAATTGAAATTAACATCACGACTACCTCTAAATAACAGTATAATCTCTTAATGACGTTCGGTAGATTATTAGATCACTTACCGTTGCAGAAACTACGCATAGATACATGGTGATCCAAATCACTAAGATTGTTACGCCTCCTCTATCATAGTCAAGAAAGGTAATGTGATCGCGAAAATTTCCAAACTTTACGTTACACTCTTGAAAATCTACAAAATTAGAATCTGTCTAGAGCAATCGCGTGATTCGCAACAAATGATTGGATGAACTCATATTGCTCTACAGTTGTGAAATGTGAGATATGAGGTTCCCTGAAGCTTATGAAAAAATTGTTTCCGCAAATTTTGCAAAGGAGCTTGAGTGCAAATGAAAAGAATCTAGAGCTAGAAGGGAAAGGCTTTTTAAAGGCATTTTTATATTAAGACTTGTCGTGAGTTTTAAATCTATCAAACTTCTGGAAATTCGTGAAAATACATTCATACCATAGATATATACATGCATGCATACGTACTACAACATACATACATACATGCCAAGCTAATAAAAGCGTGTTAAAAAGGTCAAAAGTAAAAATTAGGATAATATTTAAGCTAGTTTGATGAAAATGTTTGATTGTCAGTTACACCAATGATTTAACTTTCTGGGTATCATTTCATATTTGTTATGCACTTTTTAGTGAAAAATTATTAAAGCCTGCTATTTGTAATAACCACAACAGAAAGTTCCACCATAGTTATTTTAATGCACAAAAAAGTGACTTCACGGTGACGTTTAACAAAAGCTTTCCCAGTTAATTTCTTTTCATTTAAATGGGAGAATAAAATTGCGCTGTAAAATCAGTCTACATTTTATTCTGAAATTTTGAATTTCCTGGTCTATATTGGAACTTAGTGATTAACGCTAATCAAGCCATGGTACCCCAGATATTTTAGAATACCCATATCAGTAATTGTTCAGCACCTTGCTTAGCCCGAAAAGAAAGACTATATGACTGTAGTTGGCAAGGTGGATTTTCGACTTCTTTAGGATGGTTTAAATGAGCGATACTTCAATCGTCTGGAAAATGCCAGAGTCATGAGACATAAAAAGACGAGACAAGATGAGAACAGACTCTTCAACTCGAAGGCGGGGAGTGAAGAACCAGTACTCTTACAGAAAACCAGGTATTTCGAGACCAGTTGTCAAAGGAACCCGGAGGCCCGGGACTTTCGGGACTTGTTGATAAAATCAAGTTAAAATAGACTACTGTGGGCTGAATCCCGATTCCATATAACATTATTGTCCTGTTTAGTTTGCTTCCTGCATAGCCCAGTAGCGAAGGTTTAATCAATATATGTGGCCAGACAAGCATGGAGGATTATCGACATGTACAAACGACAGGATAGGTTTCAGATGTTACTATGGAAGATACATCATTACAAGGAATATTGGCACCTAGTGAGGGAATTTTTTCTCAGAACCATGTACAAAAACGGCTGCGTAACTGCCCCCAATGAGCAGAAACCAATTCCTTATAGCTTCTGACAGAATACAATGGCCTGAAAAAACACATGCATAAAATAGAAAAAATATGATGAAGACCTCAACTGAATGCAATGCAGAAGAGGAACAGAATTAGCTTTGCATTTCCTATGTAATCTCAAGGCACTAAATCACTAAGAGGCTTCAACTCTTCAGGAAACCAAAACTAGAAACGAGGGAGTTTGTAACAGTGCCTGTAGGAAATTGTGTCAACTGATACAGAACACCAGACTGCTGTATTGGGTATGGTACATTTTCGAGGAACCGGGTCTTATGTATGAAAAATGCTGGAAGTCACTTCTCCCATAGGGCTAGTGTGAAGTTAGTACCCTTGGTATCGACAGAACGTAAGTGTTAAGGGAGACGTCCATCGTAACCTTTGCATATTTTTTTAACAAATGAATTGTAAAGATAGCGATAATAACCACCATGTATCTTAAAAGGAAACTGAAAGACTATCAAAGTGCCTCGCGACCGTAGCAAAACAACGCAATGGAACAAAACGGCGATTTGCATACAAAGTAGGATAATACATTTGACATTAGCCTGCATTTGTTTTCAATAGTCATAAGTCTGCTGCAACACGAAATTTCATAATATCACATAGAGTATTTTTGCAGCTCACACAAGCACGGGCTCAGCCTACATACTGATAACCGATTTAGTAATAACACCAATTAATCTAGTTATCTGTGAAAAAACGGAGGCTGTTCGAACATTTCGTAATCTTTCGGTGCTTGATTCAGTATATTATTCGATCGTGATATTGATTTAAGGTGAGGCTTGTTTATTAATTTTAATCGGAATACGCAACAGGTATTCGGACGTCTAATTGAAATCGAAGCGATGTTATCAGAATCTTCGGTGCCTTTGCTTTGAATCATCATCAACAGCTACCTTCGTAATATTTTGAAGAGACCTACAATTTCCCCTTTTTTAGCAGCCTAGGTTAATATGAAGCCTGAGATGTCCTTACACAAGGAGAGAACCTTGCATTCGTGGGATAAATTATCCGATTAAGTTTTTTTTTGTCATAATGACGTTGGTTAAATCCCCCTTAACATGATGGTAACATGGTGCAAATTTGTTCAAACATTTTTTTCAAACAAATCACAAAAAAGTTTTTTTTCTCTCACCAAACGTTTGTTGAATCATTCAGAATATAAAAAGTCCTTACTATCATTTCGGGTAATGTCCGATTTCGAGTATTGATCGTAACAGATGGATCTAATTGTCTTTTGAACACTGAGAGTTTGTTTAGAGTAATTGAATTGTAGGTTGGACTTTATAGTAAAGTGATAAAATTTACCAAACGAAGGGAAGAATTATATATTAACGCAGAATAACCCGTAAGCTAGAGGGAAGCTCTCTTTAGTGTATTATTAACAATATCAATACTTTAATGTAAACTAAGCCTAAAATACTCTTCAGCATCTTGCAGGGGAAGGTTTAAACATTGATTTAGACACTTGGCAACCTCAAAAATAATAATTTTCATTCAAGTTCTTGAGCATTAAATATGACTAGTCTTAGAGTCTTCCTGACTTCCACTTGAAACCCGAAAACGGCCTGCGTCAAATGGGTAGACTTTACACTTCCCACTAGAGGTGTCAATCCCGGGGTCCCGGAATCCTCAATCCTATCGAGAAATAAAAGTTTAATTATTAAATTATTTTTTTCGGCATTGGTCCCGGGATCCCGGGATAGACAAACCGAGCCTCGAAAATTCCGGGTTTACGAAAACCATTCGGGATTGACACCCCTACTTCCCACGCAACGCCGTCACCAGGTCATAAAACATTATGTTCAGCACAAGTTAGACCCTATCGAAATGACATAGTTGCTATGCATGCGTTCGATGTCTCGGAGAGACCAAGCCTAGACCTTGCTGTTGTGTTTCCAAAAGAGCAGCTGTCTGTAGTTGGCTGTCCTTGGTCGGACGGACGAAAGCAGCTGAGAAAAAAGTTAGTTAAGAACATATATAAAAGAAAATTAAACGGATCAAGCTCCGTACAATTAGTCTATAATATTATTTCCCTGCCCTACCGTTGGTACCCTCCATCTGACAGCGTTGCGTCGCCTCCCTCAATACCTGAATACAGGATGAGTCGGGCGCGGCGGAGCGCCCACAGAGCATCAGTCATGTGAGGAGACATACGAACACCGGCACGCCGACCATTGATATCAGCAGATGCTTGTCGAAAACATTTTTATCGCTCTATTCTAAGGGCAAATATACGGGGAAATCTATGATGTGTTCACTCACTCCACTGCACCCCCCACCATTTTTTACCCCTAAAAGATGTTTCAAAAATTTCCAGGATTGCCTGAAACGTCTAAAAGCAGAGTTCAGGGAATTTTTATTTTCTTCGTCTTTGGCCTTTCTCTCCGCCGCCACTGTACAGATTTTCAAAAACTTTTTGAGGTTGGCTTAGTAGTAACCTTGTTGTAAAATATTCATCCAAATCCGAGCAGACAGACGGGCGGAAATAAGTGATACGGTTTTCGGTGATGTACAATATAACATCAAAAAAAACATGATATCTCATTTTCGGGATGATTCGCGATTACAATAGTCCCTCACCAGTGAAGCGTGGCAAGTAGAGGTTACTAAGAACCACTTTTCCTCAGAATGATCAAAAAAACTGATACTAAGAATCTTTTTTTTGTCTAGATTGATCCAAAGAAACTAAAAATACCTATTATATTCGGCGCGGAAGCCCTTCTTTTTGGAATTTGTTTAAAAAAGATTCTCCAACAAACATGGACCGGATTACCGCCCGGTACCACCTTGATCCATATTGAGGAGCATCCAACAAATGTGGTTACGAAAGAAACGACAGATTACTATTTCTCACATTTTCTTGTCTAAGTACGCCCCTGCTTTATTCAAAATTAACTATTGCTGGCCATCTACATGCGATTCTCCTAACTAATTTGCCATGTGGCGCTAGCTCACGGCGAATAACTGAACAACTGTATCGCACCATTTATGGGAAGGTAGATACACCATCCATTGCGCTATCTGTTAGAAAAAAAGTTGCACTCGCTTAAGCGCTATCTCGTAGTTGATAGTGCAACTGTCATGAAGTAGTAGCGTGTAGTAACATTTATGTCTATCAAATGGTCTATCATAACTGTCACCTGACAAGTGCAAGCGTCATGACGTCATCAAAAATTTTGTTGTGCTTACGGGCAGCGGATCGGTATTTGTATTTGCTTGTTTTCTGAGTGCAATATACATAATTATAATTAATTATTGCCACTCACTCATATAATAATTAGTGCAATTCGACATTCTCTCTGGAGCATAAACTTTCCACGCGTTTGATAAGCATTTGTGATAACAGGAATCATTTGCAAATAAGCGCTTTTTACTGTGACCCGTACCATGGTTATAGAAATCGAAAATAAAATTGTCTCGCCCCAAAAGAATTGTGATAAGGTGATAAATTCTATCGACAATAGGTCATGCACCAAACCTGCTAAAAAGGTAAATTGCTAGCGTTTTATTTTTGCTGTGGTAGTCATATCAAGAATAATATTGTTCAACACTTTCTTAATATTCTGATGCATGATTGTTCCTCATTATAAATTATGATTACTCCTATATAGAGTATTTCCGCAAGAAAGACAATATAGAATATTAAGGTCAAAGGATTCTGCTAAAAACGGAGTAGGGAACAAATAATTATATTTATTTCATTTGCAATATGCTTATCTCATTTGAATTTGCTTTATAGCTGTGTTGCTATTGTAATTGTATATTGATGAGTTGTTAATTGTTGGTTGGCGAATTTTATTTTTGTTACTGCTAAAGTATTAAGTTTTGCTTTTTACAGTTTTTTTAGTTACTTAGTGCATTGCATGAGTTGGTGAATACATTATATGGGTATTCAAAAGACAAACATGAAAAATTCACAGGTAAGACCCAGTTTGTAATTATAAATGTAAATTGAGTTACTAGTATTCTTCATGCTAAGATAAACTGAAATTATTTAGAAATCTGTTTTAATTTCTCCTCTCATATTTGGTAATCGTCTTAAATCTAGATCTCTCTCATTCTTGGAACAATCCGCATTGTTGTTGATAAGTAATCTTATGCATGAATAGTTTGAATCATTATATTTATGCAGTTCAACTATGTTAAATGTTAAAGTGAGAATTATTGTATGTAATGATACATGGTATAATAGTTTGCTGAAAATGTTAACTTCTGAAAATCAAGTTTTGTGCCCAATATTATGATACATTTTCCGCAATTATGGATAAACAGTGTTTCCAAAACATAAGAGGCAAAAATCAAAATGGGGATTCTTTGGACTGTTCTATGACTATTTTGCAATCTGAATTATTTTTAAATAAAGATTTGTTCCAGAAATAGTTGCACCTAAAGAATGCCACCATAATTTGTTTTTCCCCAAATAACACTTCAACACTTAAATTTGCCTCACCTAATGGTGTCTACAAATTAGAGTTAACTTGCTTAGATTGCTGGGGCTAAATTTGCCCTGTCACAATATTGAAAAAAAGTTAACACCTCAAAAGTAATAATAATGTATTTTTAGGTAAAGAGATATAAAAATTTACAAGAGGTGCTTTTTTGCGAATCTTTTATCTAAATAATTATATCTTCAAAATAAAACAGAGATGAAACAAGACTGCCTTCCTCAAAAAAGGCACATTTTATCAAACATGAATCATTTTTCCACATAGAGAATTAGGTATTCTTAAAATACTTATTCCATTCTTGGTCATCTAAGTGACATTATTGTTTTCTGTAGGCATCACCATGTGATGCATCAGCTAGTAACTAAGCTGTCAATATTTTGTTTGGTTTGTGTATTGTTCAAAAGTGATTTAAGAAAAACCAATTTTCAGTGGCATCATTCAGGACCATGAATCCATAAATCAAGCAATATTTCATAAATCATCAAAGGATGAAATAGTCTTAAAGTAGTCCAAAGAATCACCCCTCGATTTTAGCCCCATTGGTCCACCCTGTATAGTTACATAATCCCTATTTGTGCATAGTTATTACTAAAATCACAGTAGTTAAATATTTATTGAGCTGTTGTACTATTTCATGTCTGTATTAAAAATTCAGGAAGGCCTAAGGAGTTACAAGTCGTAATATTGATATATTAATAATTTAGAGGTTATTGCTAAAAATACTGTTTTGGCTATTGATTAAATCAACTCATCTCCTTGAAGCTTAGATATCCCCTTTTCACCATAATCTTCAACCTTGTGTTCAACTAAGTGTCCTTACACTCTCGTGACAGAATTAGGGCAACCTATACACTTTAACAATTATACAAGAATGACAATCTCAGAATGAATATCAGAAAACATGAAACATAGCATCTTGTTCTCTTCGGAGTTGATCTACATGACACTTTTTCAGTTATGGTTCAAAGGAGTACGCAGCTCAAAATTCCGTCATGTGTATGGAGAACCAGCCAGAAGGGAGAAATGTTATGACAACATTCCCATAACAAAAAATGCCCACGACTCCCAGTTTTGTGCTGTGAATTCTAAATTCATAGCCATTGTTACTGAAGTAGCTGGCGGAGGAGCATTCACTGTAATTCCAATCAATTGTGTAAGTATCTCCTCCAATAAAGCAACAAATATTCCTCAAATTTTTTCATTTATCAATGCTATAGCTGAATATTCCCAATGTTTGGCAGTTGAGGCAACAAAGAAACATCATACAAATCCTGGATTTAGTAGATGCAAGGTCATCAAAATGATGCATTCTCTTTGTTTGAAACTGCCTGTGAAATATCTCAAATGTAGTTGATATGCCTGAGTGCCTCATCTGCATGGCATCATTATATGCTTCCCTGATTCTTATATTATATGTAAATTATACTCTCACATACCAGAATATGGTATACATTTCAAAACAAGTGGTATATACACTACTGCTCAAATATTTTGGAACAGTAACTTTTTTTAAAAGAACCTAAAATAAATAAGGCATATGACATTGATTGATTATTACCATCTATAATACGACTATTCAAGGTAAAGATGTATAAAAATCAGTGAAACACCCCTTAAAAGGGAATAAATGTAAACATCTTTATAGACGCTGATATTTTTATTAGTTCATTGCAGTCATAAATCGGCCGAATTCTTGCCGCTGTTTACTTTTTTTTGTACTATGTATTATGTTCGGCTTAATATGATACATAAACATTCTGGGTATCAATGAAACAAAGTAAAAATTGTATGTAGTTTAGTATAAACTACTAGTCAATGTGCCAGGGTCAGATTTTTCTAAAATAACCGAAAATGCTGTAGACGGGTAACGTTTCTCTTGAAAAACGGGGTGCAGTGTGTGCCTTACGTGATAAGGGATTGCTGTAAGGCTGCATATGGGACGGAACACGGTGTCTCAAATCTTGAAGAAAAGGAGAGAAACAGGCAGTGTCGTAGATCGTCCACGCACTGGAAGACGCAGAATTACTACTGTAAAATGCCGCTTACAAAGGGCTAACCTTAGTGGATGTGCATGCTAATCACTCCAGCGACCTATACACAAACGCAACCGGTTAGCATGGGCCCAAAAACCATTGACGATTGGAATCGAGCCCTTTGGTCGGATGAATCCCAATTTGAAATGTTCTGATCTCGACGACAATAGTTTGTACGCTGCCAACCCATGAACGCATGACTCCGCAATGTTTGCAGCCCATTGTTAAGCATGGAGGTGGGAGTGTAATGGTTTGGGGATGTTTTGCTGCAAATCAAACAGGAGATTTGGTTCGTATTGGGGGTCTAATGCGAAAAGAGCAGTATTTGAAAATATTGGAAAACCATGCCATTCCCTCAGGACAAAGGATTGTTAGGAACAATTTCGAATTTCAGCAAGACAACGACTCTAATCACTCATCTCGACTATGCCGCAATTATTTGGACCAGCAGCAAGAACTTGGTGCAATGAAAATCATGACCTGGCCTTCCCAGTCTCCAGATTTGTCCTCTATCGAGTATTTGTGGTATGAATTGGACAGTCAGGTGAAACAATAAGAGCCTACTAGTGACGCAAACTTGTGAGCCAAATTGCAGGAAACGTGGATATCCTTATCACCAGCTATTCTTGAAAAATTGATACGTCGGATGAGTCGTGTCTGAAATGCAGTTATTCGGGCTCCTGGTGGATATTTCGATGAATCACGAATTTAAAGTAATTTTGATAGAAATAAGTTACCAACTAATTAAGTTTCAGTGGAAAACAGTTTCTTTTTTTATTTTTTTGATTAAACATACTCTATGGTTTGATTTGGTTTGATTTCCCTCAAAAATCTACTTTCCCAAAACTTTTGAGCGGTAGTGTATATGTACAATAAATGTGTTAAAGTCAATATTGTCACTTTGCTTGGATTAAACCTCACTGAATCAATTTACTATGATAAAAATAAAATAAATAGAAATTCCTTCTATCAGTTATTCCGAATCTAAATAAAATCATTACTTGCTCTATGAGTTAGACAGGCATAACAAGAGGTAATTTTTAGCTCCACAAGTAATTGGGCTTTGCATGCAAGGTGTCTTGTAATAATCTTCTGATTGCAGACTGGAAGACTTAATTTCAATGCAAGCCGAGTAACAGGACATTCTGGACCAATTTTAGATGTAAAATGGAACCCTTTCAATGACAATATTATTGCATCTTGTTCTGACGACTGTACAGTAAGTTCTCCAATCTATATGACAGCACTTTATACAGGGTGCGACAGAGAGGGTGCACGGTTTTGAAAAAATCATGAAATAGTTAATTTTTACTCGAAAACAAATTTATTGATGGAATCAGGTTCACAAGGAAATAGCATTTGAGACAGTCAAGTGTGGAAAATCACATCAGGCATGTGGTGGCCGAAATCATTGATGCAGTGCTGGAGACGGTCTTGGAAGTTCGCGTAGACTCTCTCCAACATCGCTCTCTCAACTCGGGCGACTTCCTCGTGAATTTCGCCCTTCAGTTCGTCCAGAGTTCGGGGCTTGTTCGCGTATAGCCTTGAGGTGTCCCCATAAGAAAAAATCGCATATGGATAAATCTGGGGACCGAGGAGGCCAATGAACATCGCCAAACCTGGAAATAAGGCGACCAGGGAAGATAGGGCGAATAACGTCCATGGATGCTCGGGCTGTGTAGGCGGTCGCCCCATCCTGCTGGAACCACACACGTCGGATTGGAACACGTCGCCGTCTGAGTTCATGGTAACATCACGACCATCTTCGAAGAAGTAACGGCCAATGATGCAAGTTTGCGATACAGCGCACCAAACCGTTACTTTTGGGCTGTGCAACGGTCTTTCGTCCAATAACCACAATTCTGCTGGTTAACCATGCTGTTTAGGTGAAAGTGGGCTTCGTCACTCATAAACAAAATGAGGTTCTCATTTTGATCGATCAGTGCTTCCATCTCACGTGCGAAGTTCATTTTTTGTGCATAATCTCCGGGCTGTAACTGTTGCATAATGGGCAATTTTTAGGGGGGAAAGCGGAGATCCATATGCAAAATTCGCCTTACCGAACGATCACTAAGGCGAAGTGCAGCAGCATGTTTCCGGGCAGATCGAGTCGGACTGCGAAGAAAGACCTGTCGAACGCGTTCAACATTTTCAGGAGTTCGAACTGTTCGCGGCGCTCCTCTTGGTCTTCTGTTGATCAGTTCACCACACCTTCGAAGTGATTCAACCCATCGAAGGATGGTGTTTCGAGAGGAACAGCTCTATTCCGATGAATGTTGAAGTGGCGACGAGACTCACGCTGTACGACGATGACTGACTCATTATTTCGGACGAAACAATCATAGGCGAAAACGCGGTGCTCCACCGTCCAAGGCTCCATAACGACGACTGTTAAAATAATGCTAGGATCTCACGAGTCAAACGGCACCCTCCCCACCTCTCTCGTAGACGGAGGCGGAGAGTACTACCCATCCCAAAAACGTCCGTCCTCTGCCGCACCCTGTATAACAGAATTATTATTTACTAATGCAAAATAATGAACTTCTATATACAAATATAATTGTGATTGCTTGCTGTTTTAGATAAAACTATGGCATATTCCTGATGAAGACCTATCAGTTCATCTGAACGAATGGATTGTAGAGCTTCAAGGTCACAAACGACGAATTGCGTACATTGAGTGGCACCCTACTGCAGAAAACATTCTTTTCAGTGCTGGATTCGATCATTTGGTAGGTTTTTTTAGCTAAATTTTCAAATAACTTTCAATGTTTAATATGTAGTTCATATTGTACACGGGAATCGTTATTTCAGGTGATTGTGTGGGATATCGAAAAAGGTGAGGCTATAAATGTCATTGACTGCCACCCAGACGCAATTCATTCCATGTCCCTGAACAGGGATGGGAGCTTATTAGCAACCACTTGCAAAGATAAAAAGCTGAGAATTATCGAGCCAAGGAGCGGGATTGTGAAAGCGGTAATAGATTTTTTGTTATTGTGTATTGTTTCACTATTCAGAAGCTTGAAAAATTTAATACATGGATATGTAGTAGTAGTAGTAGAAAGATTTATTTAGCACATTTGGCTACATAAACAGAATAATTGTAAACAACTTGGAACTAGTAAATTCAAGTGTCTGATGTAAAGCTGGGCAACCTATAATTGTAGATTTAACAAGTGATTTCTCAATTTTACTTTAAATTTTGTCAAAGTTTTCTGGTCTTTTATCTCTGAGTATAATTTATTATATTCAATCAACCCTTGATGGAATACAGATTTGTAGCATATGTTATACTTTTTGGTCATTAAATGGAAGTCGTATTTATTTCTGGTATTATGTAAATGATGGTCGACATTTGATGATGTTAAATTAGTTAGACTTGATGGTAATATATTATTTATTACTTTATAAATGAATATCATTACAAGATATTTGATAAAATCTTTCACATTGAGCCATTTTAATTTGCTAAGCATTTGCCTAATTGGAGTATATTTATCTTTATTTAGTATTATTCTCATGCACCTATTTTGTAAAATTTGCAGTATTTCAAAAATGGAATTATTTGCTAAATATAGAATATTCGAACAGTACAAGAAATTTGGAATAATGATGGTATTATGATAGTATATAATTTTTCTACTATATGAACTCAGACATCCAGAAACTCTCGATAAATAACCCAATTTACTGCTAATCGTATTTATAACTTTTTCATAATGAATATCCAAAATTAATCGAGAGTCAACAAAAACCCCCAGGTATTTAAAATTTTTTACGAATCCAATATCTTCACCATCAACATTCAGTTGAACATTTATACATTGTTTTTTTCCAATTAACGAGGCTTTCGTTTTACTTGTATTTAATTTTAGCCTGTTAGATGCTAACCATTTTGAGACAAGTTTCAAGTCTTCATTTATATAAGAGATACCAGTCTGAATATTTTTAGTACTTATATAAATCATAGTGTCATCGGCGAAAACATGAATTTTGCATTTTTTGACTATGGCAGGTAAATCATTTATGTATAAAATAAAAAGAAGTGGTCCCAGGATACTGCCCTGTAGAACACCCAACGTATTTTCAATTTTTGATGAAATAGTGTCATTAACTTTTGTAACTTGCATTCTTTTAGACAGATAATTTCTAAACCAATCTAAAACACTTCCTGTTAAAATATCTCTATCAATCGTTTCAAATGCACTCTTCAAATCCAAAAATACTGCTATGACAACTTCTTCTGAGTCTATGGCTCTTCTCCAATTCTCAGTTACCAACTAGACAGCCGTTTCTGTGGAATATTTTTTTCGAAAGCCTCCTTGCGCCTCCACTAAAATTTTGTTTTCTTCTATAAACTGCATTAATTGGCCATGCACTGTGGACTCTAATAATTTTTCAATGTCTGCTTCTCAGTGAACAATTGATCCAATTTAATACAGGATATACCAAAATTTCGAAACAGTTTTTCAGCACGTTTTTAGTAGTGATTTCGGCACAGTTGTTATTTGATTTTAAACTGTTTACTTTTTTTCTTAGATAATTCAATGTTATGCTCTGAAATTTTGAAAGTGTATGCAACATTTCCCCCTGGAAACTGATTTTCATATAATCAGGTGCAGCATTGGCAGTACCCACAATATCAACAATACTTTCCACAAAATATTCATTTAGTTTGTTTGCAATTCCCAAAGAATTTGTTTCGGTACCGTTTTCGAATTGAACTTGATTTACACAATCATGCGGCTTCGAATTGATCAGTGTTTTTAAAGTCTTCCACATCTTTACACTGTCGCACTTGTTATTATCGATTTGTTTATCGTAGAATTTCCTACCTCCCAATCATCAATTGATTTTGTGAATATACATTTATCGTATTGTTGGTCTCTCAAGTTTTGAGCTGTCTTAATATTCTTGTTATACCAGGGTGTATTTTTTGTTGAGCAAATCACTTTTTTATCAGTTGCAAGATCTAAACAAGTTTTCATATTTCCTATTATGCTGTCATATATTTTTTCCATATTCTCACCAAAATTCCAATAGCAGCCAGTAAGTTCTCGTTCAAGTTTTTCGTACTTAATAGTATTTACGATTTTCTTAATTTTTGTATCAGAAAAATGCCGTACCAAGGGCAGCATTGTCCAACTGTGATCACTAACTTTAGGTGTATGTACAGCTTTAATCCTTGCACATTCGAAATTTACAATAACAAGATCTAACAAAGTCTCTGATAATGATGTTATTCTGGTACTCTCTTCAATTTTTTGCTTGAACCCATAGTTATTTATGGTTTCTTTCAATTTTCTTGTTTTCATGCTTTTACCATGGTGATCAGTTTTCAGCCTGACACAGACATTGCACTCCAATCAGCAGAAGTTGACCTTATAAGTCCTGCATGGGTGCTCATGTTATTTGTTCATACAACAAGTTAAACTTATTCTCTCAAGTAGAATGTCTACACGAATTTTTGAAGTGAACATCTCGTGTTTCTTTCATTAAGAATGATAAGCTTGAATATCATGCTGTCATTAAATTTTTCGTGTCGGATGAATTAACCCCCAGAGCAACTCATCAAAAATTAGCAAAACTTTACGGCGACTCTGCTCCATCAATTTCAACTGTTAAAAATCGCACGTCCTTTGAATATGGCCCACACGAAGGACGCCTAAAAACCGCAACCACACCTGAAACCATCACCACAGGGTGGATGCCACATTTGCTGAATGCCAACCAAAAGTGGATGCGCAGACCAGTTTTGCAATGTTTGGTTCAATTAATAGAGATCTGACCAATTTTAGACACCGATTCGTTACCATGCAACCACCACTAAACGCCATAAATAAAACAACAGTCGAAGCAGTGGGTGGAAGCCGGTGGTTCAGTGCCAAAGAAGAGAAGTTGATTGCATCTGCCGGAAAGGTCATGGTCAGTGTGTTTTGAGATGTGAAACCCATTTTGTTAATTGGTTATCTTGGAAAAAGTAGAATAATTCCCGGCGAATTCTGTTTCACCATTCCTTTTTAGAATATGATCGAATAAGTTGAGAGGGCCAAAGACAAATATTTGACAGCTTTCAAAATTTCAACTTCCGCGAAAGAATACGAATGTTGAAGATACTTTGGACCAAGTGCGTTGGAGTCGAAGGAGATTATGTAAAACTCTAAAATCGTTTTTAAACTGAAAGTCATTGTCAGGACGAGTACTTTTCGCCCTACCCACGCATTTTACGAGATTTTTGTTGTTCCATGTCAAACTGATACTAATTTTTTGAAATATAATGCTTTCTTCATGTTAGGAAGGAACTTGCCACTTGGGTTCCAAAGCTAGCAAGGTAGTGTACCTAGGTGCTACAGGAAAACTCCTGACAACAGGCTTTTCCCGTTTTTCTGATCGCCAGTACTCAGTATGGGATGAGAATGATCTATCTGCACCAGTGTTCACAGACACCATAGACAGTTCTTCCGGAATAATGTTCCCATTCTTTGACCCTGATACCAACATGGTGTATTTGGCTGGCAAAGGTGATGGAAATATAAGGTACTATGAGGTGACTGAAGAAGCGCCATATGTGCATTTTCTCAACCAGTTTCTTTCTGGAAATCCACAGGTAGGTATGATCTAGGTTATATCATTGATTAACATATTCTCCCAACTCTACACTGTATTTGGCCTACAATTTGACTCGTGACATCATAGTGTAAACCACTATAAATTCCAAAACTGGCTCGATTCGCCCACCCAAAGGTGAGTTGGTAGAGCTGAAAGCCCTATAAGACTAGCAACCTAGCCAGAGTTGCCATTTACAGTCCCTATGGTGCTTGAGTTGTAAAATTTTGATAACAGGCTGTTCTGTTTTAGCGAGGCTTGGGAGTGATGCCAAAACGCGCGTTGAACGCACTCAACTGCGAGATTTTCCGCTTCTACAAGCTTCATGCCACTAAAGGCTTTTGCGAGCCTATCAGTATGATAGTACCTCGCAAAAGCGATCAATTTCACGATGATTTGTACCCAGACACTGCCGCGGCCAAGCCGGCCCTGTGCGCTCAGGAATGGATCAGAGGTCAGAACGCCATGCCTGTGTTGATGTCCATGAAAACTGGTAAGCCTTTCTTATTTTTGCTCTCCCTCTTCCTTTTTCAATTGTTTCTTCTTCTTTCTTTCTTGTTTACTTTGTCGGCATCTTAACCAAACCTGATAGACCTACAATATACAGTTTGAAAAGAGCAAAACACCTATGGGATGCTGTGAGAGACATTGATTAATAAAGATATAATAAAGATAAAAGGATGTAGATATCATCCTAACTGTCATGCACTGTCTCACCAAAAGCAACCCCATTTCGGTTTCAAGTGTTAGTTTCGCGGTGTGACCAAAAGCAACCAGAAGTCCCATTTTGAGGCTATGGAAAGTACATAGAAAGAACACGGAATATAATTGTAATTAGACTATTTTTATTCTTGGAAACCTTGACAAAAAGAAAATCGTATAAGTAACATATTTTACACATAAACCAGATCACATGAACAACAGGTAAATAACTGTTGTAGCTGCTGAATTTTACAGTGAAAATCACATGCCCAACTGTTGCCATACTCTTAAATATATACGAAATACAGTAAATACGCTAAACTTATGGTGCTTCACTCACAAAATATTGTCTAAGCTAAATAACTGTTTTTCGTGGTACGTTCATTTGTTCGAAAAGTAAATGATTTTTCGGAATAAAGACACCATTCAAAAACTCAAATATAATCTTTATATCACTAACAGTATCTTAAGTAACCCGGCGCAAATCCCTCTACCGACTACCCGCCCAAGTACTCGGCCGACTGCGCGGGATTTAAATCTTTCTTAGAACCCGGTACACGACTCTTCGAAAAAATGTGTGCATTCCTATAACGAACAATCCGCGGAAAGTAACACCTTGTTCACAAACATATACCTTGAGTCTGACGATCACTCCCAGAAAAATGCCACACGATCAGTATTTACTGTGTGCCATCAGTATTTATCATGGGATGTATTATTTACTGACCAGGGCATGACGTCCGTTATTATTGGTATATCAGGTAACATAAAAATCCAGTGACACACTGATAAGTAAATACTGATAGTAGGGACCACAGAAACTACTGATAGTGTGACATTCGTCCTTATAGGATCGTTGTGAGCGTCCATCTATGGAGGAATAGCTCAACTACACGCATTGTTGGTTGCATGTTTGGTGAAGCCGAGTAGTCTATATCTTTCACCTCTGAGAAGAAAGTTGGTTGAATAGCAAGATAGCATCTGGATGATTGTGTGTATTGGTCTGCATGTGTATAAAATCGGCGATATTTGCTGTGTGAGAAAATAATTACTGAATATGCTGCCAGTAAAGTATATCTATTAGCTGCGCCCGACGGGTTATTATACGTTGTCCATTCCGACGTCAGCTTATATTCAAAGTTATAAATTACGATTTTGTACGGTTTTTTGTGTTTTGAAAAACTTTGAGGGGAATTACGGGAAATCACCATCGGGTTGTGTGTAACTACCGTTAGCATGTATATGACTTGTAATTGACAGTGTACAGTGAATATAATTGTTTCTTATCTGTCTCATTTCTGAAATTCAGCAAATTTGCATATTATGTAATTTCCAGAATGGATAAGAAAAAGTGGATGCGCAACTAATTTCTATCTTTGAATCTCAAGTAAGTGTATCTGAGACAAGAATCTAATGGAATTATCATCAGTACATTAGCACACAAATCCTCACTATGCACCTATGCATTGCCGTTACCTCCAGTAATGCCATCTCTGAAGCAGATTTTACATCACATCAGAGCCAAACGTTGATAACTAAAGCCTCATGACGTTTAGACAACACATGCAACTACAAAACGAGTTCACAACGTGTCCATTAGCTAGTGCTAAGTTGACATCTTGTAAAAAACCTACATAATGTCACAAAAAACCAATATAAAAAAAATCGACATACCTGTAATGTCACTTTACAAGACACGTAATACCCGTGCGGTTCCTTAGACCGTCAGCGATATTACGACGTTATTAATCGGGATTGGTAGTCAGAAATGACACAATAGGTGATAGGTCTACCGAACTCTTTGTACTGTGCTTAACGGAACAATTCTGTTATAGGCAAACAACAGGCCCTCAACATTACCTCAATCAAGCAACGAAGTTTCTCAAAACTGAACGAAAAACCCGTGATCGACAATAACAAGCGTAAGTTCATGTTTCTATCGATGGAAACGATACCCGATTACAGGCCGAAAGATCTCATGAGCGAGAAGAACCAAAAAACGACCAGCAATCAAACAACGAAGTTCCAACAGTTGCAGCAGAAGTTCAGCGGCAACGACGTACATAGCAATGGCGTCACTGTACTGAAAGAGAACAACGTTGGAGATAATATGCCCGAGCATGAGGTAATCACAATATTTATCAGTAAGTCGAAAACTTTAATTTGTAAGTTCAAAGTTGATCCGAAATTTTGAATTAAATCACTCAAAACGTTACGTGTGACCGCTTCACCGCATTGCTAGATGGACAACACCAAGCTGATGTTGCAACTTATCTGCGCAGTGAAAAAATGCAAGAGGGGAAATGGTAGATGGTACCGCAAAGACTGATAGATCTGTCAGTATCGTCTGACACCCCTTTGATCAGTATTTGCCGGGCGCGAAATTCATAGTTGGGGAAATTGAATCGATCGCTGCGCACGCGTTGGATGAAAAGGGAAACATCATCAGACTGTGTCAAGTGGCGTCAACTGAGGCCTGGCAAATATGCAAACATTTCGCTATCATCATTTGTCGTAGCAAAATATTTGAAATTCAAATTGATCCTAACCTCAAAACGACCTAGTTTCTGTTATTTTTATTAATATCCGCTGGTGATCATTATGGAGGCCGTTTTTATTTCCAGTTGAGGAAGGCGTATCAAGCTCAATCTGATGAAATAAGGAAACTCAAAAAACAGTTGGTAAACAGTGATCAACGTATCAAAGAACTGGAGGAGCAACTAAAAAAGCTGCAGGCGAAACCTTAAATTTCATATGGAGCTATATTTTTTTAATACTTTATAATGTTTTTTATGTTATACAGTTACAACTGCAAACGTTGATATAAGTTTACTTCAGCAGTAGGGGAATTCATCAGTGCAATATGCGCAAACGATTTTTTTTTGTTTCTGTCTAGTTGTCGAAATTTTCATGGTACATTTCCAAATTTGAAATCTCTCAGTTTTCTACTCTTCACGAATTGCAGTCAAGTACAATACCTTCAGTAGAACTACCAGTAACCAGTTGAAACTCGAATTTGGAATCATGATGACCTATTGCACGGAATCAAAATGGTTATGTGAAAGTTTATTATAGGATTTAAACAATGCCACTCTTACCTAGTTTCGATAAAATATTATGTTCATGGGCGCCCGCGGGGGTGTAATTTGATTTGATTGGTTGATTTTGTACACAATTTTAGGGATTTTTAGGAGTTAACCCACCTGAAAAAACTTTATACAACCCGCTCATTAAGAAGTTTTGGGGGAAAATACACTTCTGCTTTTCAAGAAGTTTGAACAAAAAGTTATCACTTGCCGATAAGTAAAATTTCTGCTAGTGCTCATGGTTATGTTACCAAGATATGCATACAGGGTATAGTTATATGCGAAACATAATTGTGAACATATTTACAAAATTAGATTGGTCATTCTTTTAAGTAGATATCTCTCAAAAAACTAAGGTAAAACTCTAATACTATGTCGTCTCCCATATACTGATGAGCACAACTGTGTTTTTACTCCCTTTATTTATAATATATATAGTGTTTCTGCGTTACCATTGATTTTATATTTTAAGCCTTTGTGATAATTTTTATACATTTTATTATTAATTTTATATATTTACTTGTATGTGTTTCCATTTTTGTTTTAAGAAAATATTGTATGTGGGACGAATTTGCTTATTGTTGTGATTATGTTGAAGCAATGCCTATAAAAAATAATTGTTTCTCATAGGTCATCATAATGTATACATTTACATCACCGAAAATGTGTGTCGGTAATGATGCTTGGAATGTGAGACCCTCTGAGAATTGGTTTACATAATTGAATCATGTACACCGTGATTTGCATTGAAATATTCATGCTTTTTGTCGGCAAATAAATGTAAGTGAGACAAAGAAGAAACAAGTTCATAACTAATTCCAAAAACTTAAGCACAAACTTACATTTTACAGTTAAACTTGTTAAGCTATAGTGATAGTGACATAGTATGCACACGATATCAGTATTATTCTTCATGTGAAACCTTTTTCTTTACAATACAAGCAATTTTGAATTAAAACCAGTTTTGAATTAAAAGTGACTTTCAACAAATTCATTGATAAATTTGGTTTATTGTAAAGTCCTGGCACTGTTCTATTTATAGACCAATATTTTTGATAAGACGATTCTGGAATTTTTGATCGGCGTATCACCTATCCTTTATTGTAAAAAAATAAGGTGTTCATATAATTAAAAATTTAGCTATTGTATATTTTTATACTATAGATGTTGCATGTGTATGTTCTAGATTTTCCATACATTTTGTCTGTAGTTTTTAGTTGCTGCATTCTTTTGAAAGTGATTTATGAGTTATTTTGTCTTTGAACCAATAAGCATTACTATAGAATGCTATGGTAGCCAATACGTCAGTAAAGATTTTTCTACAATATGTGGCTGAATTATAAGTCGAAAAAACGCGATAAATCCTTTGTATAGTTATGCAGCATCCTAAAAACAGAAATGGCGTGTAAAAGTATTTTTAATATATTTGACCTTAAAGCATTGGAGGTGAAGCTTGTATCTATTTTAAATGCAGTAATTTGTCGGTAATCCTTTAGTTGCATCTATATACTCTCAAAATTAACGTCAAAAGAAGCATATGATCAAAATTTTATATAGCTTGATATAAGCATCTTAGACATGTAGCTTAAAGGCTTATAAGCTTAAAAATGTGATATCACATTCCACCTTTGCAACTGAGGGACAAATCTTGTACTTTTTAAACAATAATAAAATGCATTTTCAACCTCAATGGCATCTCGTTTTTATCTTTTATTCCCTACTACACAAAATTTTCTATCCTCAAGGCTTTTATTTCTTCCATTAATTTTTTGAGTCATTAACAATAAACTTCTGCTGATTTTGTAGATAAAGGAAATATGTGCTGGTAATGGATGGAGTATAATAAAAAAATAATGTAACAAGGACTAACCAATTTTATTTGAAATTTGTCAATTATTTACTTTGTGGTGCATTTTTAGATGAAAAAGAATCTAAAAATTTCTTCATATCTGGATTTTTCGTGATGGTCTGCATACCCCCAGTTTTCCAATCTTCTACCTTATTTGGTAGATTTGCCAAAAAAGCAAATGTTGCCATAACCCCTGCATTCCAACTTTGTTTTATTAAGGATGAAAGACTTTCTGATTGTGGTAGCTTGGGAACCTAAAAAATATATATTCAAAAAAATCCTTTCAAAATTAAGGGCAAATAAGAATATGGATGCAAAAACATACATTAAGAAATACTTCCTTGTGATTGGGACAGTCTACTATACCCTATTCCATGAGTAGAATGACAGCTGGTTATCTAGTAATATTTCAAACTTCCACATATTGGCAAAGGACACTTAATTCTGATGGAATTGTCAATGCCCGATAGCCATATTTTGTTTTGCTTTTTTGTATGCTAAAGGCTCTTTTATTTAGAAATGTACATTTGCATACAAAAAACAAAATGCTACAAACAATTTTTTGCTAGATTTACACCTAATTCATTATAACCAATATTGCACACTAACACAAAAATGTCACTTGATGATCAGCTGTTCACCTCAGTAGACATCAAACCATGATGGATACTCGTGAAGTAAGGTGGCCTGCTTCACGGGTCATGTATACATCACAAGTATAAATTACTCTCAAATACCAAATATGCATATACCTATCTATTAAAAGTCACTGATAATGTTGTATAGAAGATTTTATCATGCGGCACTCCAAACTGCATTTTTTTTTTGAAGTGGCCCTTTGGCCACATTAAGTTGGACAGCCCTGATCTAGATAGAGACTTGACTCAATCTATGTTCAAAGAAAACATGACCCTTCTTGAAACGGACTCGCCACCTCTGGCTCAAGAAGTCTGTGAGTATAAGAATATTTCTTTTTTTTTTCTCCTCAAAACCTTGCCAGGGAAAAGGTGTAATTGCAAAGTGTAACTCTGACTCACATCCTTATTTAAAACCCTAGTCCAATCCAAAATAAAGGAAATTCTGAATAACTCACCTCAAATGGTATTTGCTTTTTCACAGTGTCAACATAAGGATTAACAGTGTGTTTCATTTTTTCAAGTGTCTTTATAGATTCATCGCTAGGTTTCCAAATGCCTTGTTCCTTCATATAATACACAGCAGCAGATGCTATACCAACCTTTACAGCTAATCTACAAAATCACTCTGTTAAATTGAAAATATGATTCAGATTGGACTATCCACAATTTTGGAACGGCACCAAACGAATTAAGGGTGTATCCTATCAGATACAGGTTGAGGTGTCTGTATATGGGCAAGGGAAAGGGATACATTATCCTAGCAGAAGCTGATTTTATATTTTATCTCAGAAATTAGATTGCACAAGCCACAGTCAAATACATTACAATGACACCATTTGAAAGAAGCTTACTTGATCATTGTTTTCCTTTCTAAAATATTCTGTAGAAAGGGCCTTGTTTTTTGTTTTTTTTTTGTCTTTTACAATTAAGGTTATGTTCTGTTATGTCACTGTAATCATATATTACGTCATCGCGTATTACTGGTTGCCTAAGTTAAGATCATGAGTATAAATACCAGGGCAGCTCCATAAGTTTCCAACACGATGGACCTAAATCTGTAAATCTGTTATATTCCTCAATATCTGACCAAAACGTGAAAAACAACCCGGAGCAACTAAACTTCAGCTAAGTAGTCAGCTTGAACAACCAATTATTATCGCTTTATCTTTAGAAAGTATCTCACTCATATCTTTCACCCAGGAACGGCATTTTTAAAAGATACAACAGACAGTTAGTATAGCAATATACTTCATAGGGACACATGAATCAGTTCAGCTAAAATACATCCAATTTTTCACTCATGGTGGTTATGCATTTCAAAAAATGGTAGATGTCTACCTTCAAGCTGTATAATATTACACGGTTTTTTATCATTAATATTACATAGCCTAAGCATCAATGATAAATGGCAATACTATATAGTATAGCTTTGTAGGACTCACAATTTGCATCAAAACTTTCAAATTGTGACTCCCGTCTCCCCGTTCGCCGCTTTACCAAGGCACACGCCACTAGACGGGCAGCACCGAGCCAATGTTGCCGTCTATACTTTTTTAACTGATCACACAGTTTGTATGATGAATAAGTTGTGTAGCTTTATGGTGATATACTATATGCCTTAATTTATGTCGAAATGTATGACTTTAAACCAGTGCCCTATTTACAGCGATTTATAACGGTTAAAAGAATGCCATAATGTATGAGTGCAGTGCTTAAATAAATAATAAATGATAGTCTTATGGACAATTGTACCTACCGGTGACGGTAGACAAATTGGGACACCAATCGGAACGTGTATTTGTACGTACAAGGTGATTCTTTTTTGCATACAACAGATAAAAGATCGAGCTGAAAATCCAGTAATAACTTAGGCTTAGCAATCTGATACCTTGTTTTGTACCCTAAGCTAAAAATGATAAAATATGCGCACTCCCCTCACATTAATAATTGAGAATCGTGTACCCCCCATGACACTGCGCCTTGGGGTCTCACTTGCTTACTGTCTGGTGTCTGTGGCCGGTCCTGTGGAAATCAGTAGAATCATGATCAGTAACGTTTTGTTCCTCAATTGATTCGAATAAACGTGAACGTTCTGCTGGTTTCAATAAGATGGTGCCACGTGTCCCACAGCTCCAGCTTTTGATAAAACCGATTTTTCGAAATAAGGATTCCATAGCCCCATCGCTACTTGTAATCGATACCAAAAACCTGGGCCTTCAGGATCAGGTGGTCCCAAATCTGTTAATTTTTTGTGGGGATAACGAATCAAAAGCCTACGTCAATACATAGTGGAAGCTGCATAAGCCAACGTTAGCTCCACAGTAATGCCATTATGGTCTTTACCACGATTTTACTTCTCACCCCAATTTTTTGTAAATTTTTTTCGAACAGAAAAAAATGGGGGTGGGGGTTTGTAGGAGGTGCGGAGGGTATTTTTTGGCGTTGGTATATTTATACGCTTCTAAACCCCGGCAGTTCTACAAACTCAGACAGACTTCGAAGTTAGAACTATTAAGACACTCGGCGAATGCAACGAACGTATCAAAATATACCTGTGTCGGTGGCCAACCGCCGGCGTGCAATGTTTAGCCATAGCAACGTTGCCAGATGGTAGGTACTGTCGGTAGTACAAGGGAGACATTTCTAGATCGCATCGTTGTCATTTGGATGGATACTAGGGACCACTTTATGAGCCTAATTTGAATACTTTAATTCTTTTGTTACACATATTGGTAGCTAAATGTTTCTCAGAACTAATCACAGAGTACCATTCTAATCTATTAAAAAAGCACCAGATAAATAGGAAGAAAGTGCCGCACTCTCCATCTGTGTGTAGGATCTCCCTGTAGAATTGATAGCATTCGATTTCTAAATAATTATTATTCAGGCGACTTTCCTAGTGGGTTAAAAGGACACATTCACGTTCGCACACAGATCATCTGCATAATGTGATTTGCTATATAATCTGATGATAGTGATTCAAATGTGGCCGAGATTACTGTGTGCATTGACGTAGACCAAGATTGGGCTATACAAATATGAAGAGAATGCAATTTATAATTAGTAAAAATAAAAAATATACATGTCAGGATTTCCTATTACTTTGTACATTTTTTACGTTTTAAATATACAGATTGTATCCTGATCATGTTTGCCAATACTGAATGCCCATTTGGCAATTTTTACTTTTCTGCAATAAAGCTGAAGCAGCTGCGTCGTCAGAATCTGGAACCGGAAGGGCAGCAACTGCTACAAAGATGTTGCAGTTAGCTTGTTCATTCGATTTATGATGAAATCAAGAGTACTGGGGAAATGTCGTGGTTGACAGTATTTTCTGGCAAATTGTTCCATATTCTCAACGTGTGGCGAAGGTGGCATCATGCAAGGAAGCACTGAGCAGAGTCTGTTCGCATATTATTCGAAACAAGCTAGGTCACCGGTTGCTCTTTATGCCTTAAAGACGTATCTATAGCTACAATCACCAGCACCCCAAATATGTGACTCTATCCGCGTCTGCTCCGAGCTTTATATAGAATGAGAAAGTAAGGTGATTGAAAATACTTCCTATTTCTAAACATATAACTTAGCTTCTTTTAGTCTCCTTCTGTCAAGCTCAATGGCAGGGATCGATCATCTGGTACCTTAAGGTCGTATTTTCACATACCAGGGTCTATTCTTGTGCAGTGGGGACCATGCAGGATTGGTGCAAGGATTATGCATTAAGATTGAATGCTGATAAAACTGGACTTGACACGTTCAGTAAATCGTCTTCTAGGGGTAAGTCGCTGTTATTTCGGTGCAATAGCGGCTCAATACCAGAGATTCCCGATATAAAGTTTCTGGGAATTTAGCTGGATTCTAGTCTGAATTGGGACTGTCAAACATCTGTTTTGATTGATAAACTCCAGAGCTTCTGTGCGGTGGTGCGGCGGCTGCGAAATGAGGTTTCATTGAACACTTTACGGTAATTTTATTATGCATCTGTACAGTCATTGTTAATTTATAGTATAATATTCTGGGGCTCTTCGCGGGGTGCTATGTCAGTTTCTATACCGCAAAAGCGCATCCCTGAGGTGCATTTTGAGACTTCATCCTAGAACATCTCATTTCGGAAACATTTTTCGAAATTGGTATTCTAGACGGTTTCATCCCTGTAATTTTTTCACTTGCTTTATTTGTTAAAAAGCATATGTATCTTTCTAATAGTAACGCACATTGTTATGCTGAAAGTATGACCATTGTGACCAGAGGCACAGACAACCTGAGTGTGCCTGCACATTCGTCCACATTTTTTAAGAGGGCTCCATTATACATGGCTGTTAAATCTTTTGATATGCTTCCTATCGATATAAAATCTGAGAGCAACCCCATTGGGTTCAAAAGAACAGTGAAAAAGATTTTGCTGGACAGATGTTTGTACAGCTTTTATTTTAACATCTGAGCTCTATCATTTTATTTTAATTTTACCTAAATGTTATTTATATTTTCTATTATGGTATTGCACTACTAAATAAATGAAACTTCGTTACCCCATGCAAAACTAGTCCAAGTCCTTTTTTATACCATTTCTTCTTCCGCAAACGACAGGTTGACGCATCGCTCATTTAATGCAAAAGAAATGTAAGTCGAGAGAGCCACAGTAATGTTTTGTATGAAAACAGTACGAATATTTCGCAGTTTCTTATGAAAAAGTTGGACACAAAATACTTTTGCCGTAACTTTACAACTCAAACAATACCGGAAATTGGACATCGTTTAATCCTTTTCTGCGTACTTTAAAGTTATAAATACTCTGGGAACACTAAATTAACCCACGTCTACGATTTTCCCTCAACAAGCGGTTCAAGCAAGATGTCTGATAATGAAATACATTTTTTTAATTCGGGATAATTTAGATTGAAATACTATGCTTTTCAAAGGATATAAAACAAAAACTTCTACTCTAAAGCTTCATTTTTTGATGTAAGCTATGTTTCGTTCAAAATCTTAAGACTCATTACGATATTCAGTTGAACACTTCATGAGGTTCTTAACCACTCTTATATCATTCCTAGTAGCGGTCAACGGTTAAGTACCTGTTGAGGATCGTACTTCAACCTTTATTCTTTGTATGTATGAGTCAGCGCGCGTTTTTTAAAGTGTTCTTTATCGTTTTGTCCAGTTGATGAACTGGTTGGAGTCAATCAGAAAACTACTCTTGGCGCCAGCTAGGCAATATTGTGCTTCTTGGGTACAATAAAATCATCAGTGAAATGCTTTTTCGAACAGAACCACTGCTAGGAGTAAATTTTTACTTCCTATGCCAAAACTGGGGCAATAACAGAAAAAAATAAGAGTTGAAACTTGGTGGTTGAGGGTTGTATGGAAATGGAGGTTGTTAGTATAATGTCTGTAAATGTAACGTGCAATGGGTAACAAAGTCCAACTGGTGATGTCGTCACTGACACACCGCTACAGAAGAAATATTTATATAGTTTAGCAACATTTGGATATGATCGTAGAGCGTTTCACTTTAGCGTTCTGCGATGTAAACGATGACTTAATTTTATGATCCTTAAATTTCGTCTAACCTTTAATTCATGCTACTCCGTCTTTGATGATTCTCTGAATTTTTCGACAATTTTTCCTTTTGTAACGATTTGACTCACCCCTTTTATTTGAAACCTCCAACGAAGCCGTAGTAAGTATAGAGACAATCTACTTGGCGCCATTTTTTCTAGTTCAAGCCTGTATATTCCACAGCACCCTGCAGTTTTATCTTGACTACACACCTCACTACTGTTAGGAAACGGATTGTGAGGGATTAACACGTTCAGTGCGAACAGCGTCAAAAGACGCCCTCCGCTCCTGTGGTGGGAGGCGAACGGCGTCTTTCGACGCTCTCGGCCGGCTTAAAAAAAAGTATTTCAGTTTCTGAGGTGGGTATCCTCATCCCAGTTCGCAGTCAATGTGTTAAGAAGCACATGGAAAATTCAACTGAATATCGTAATGAGTCTTAAATTTTTGAGTAAACCATACCTCTGTTTTAAATTCGACATGTTGATCAGGAGCTTATTTACCCTAGGGCAAAAAGGGGCACGGCCTGGTTCGGGAGCCTGCGAAGGACAACTGATTTCGCCTCAATCAAAAGTTTTTGCTTTTTTCTGATCCTTCATGGGGCGGAAAACTTTAAGAAGCCCAGGGCGCTAAATCTTAAAATACTCTACTGATATTAATATGAAGATGCCTTCATGAAACGATTTGAAGTATCAAAATTTGGAATACTAAGTCCTTACGAAAGACCTTGTGTGAAAGTACTTGCTGGCGCGCCCATGACATACAGTATGATGCGGTTTTATGGCGCTCAAATGAACCAAATGAAGAAGTACCATCAACGGTCAAGACAGTGCGTCGAAACGCGAAGAAGTCGGTGGGCTAGTTTTTGAACGCCGATCGTGAGATGAAGACAACAACGGTTTTCGTCGCTGTGTGTTTGATTTTGATTGATCAGGGTGCTCGCTCCAGATTCCTGCTTCCTCATGTGCCTGACAGGGTGTTCCCGCCCGTACCTGAATATGGTGCGTATTGAACTTTTTTTGGAAAGCCCGATCGAAATATGCAAATTGGTTTCAAAGTAACTTGCTAATAAACTAAATATTTTTTTTAACTGTCATAGCGCGAAAATGATGAATAGACCGTTTAAATCAAAAATTAAAAATTGTCCAAATGAAAATAATCCGTAGTAGTCCGTAGAGAAAACTAATCATTTTTTTAATACCCAAAAGTAGATCAAGATGGGTTCTTGTTGTAAAAATATTATATAGATGGATTTGACAAAGAAATTAAATCTGTCATTGCAAAAACATCGTAAGTCACACACCTTGAATTTTTCAGGAGGTAATAAAAACTGGGAAATGAAGCACTAAAGGTACTTTTTGGGTTTAATTTATTATTTCAGTTTGAAGAGATTGAAATTTAATCCTCACAGTTCATTAATGGTAATAATCGAAGCAGCCCGCAAAACTTGTTCTTTACTTAGATTGTTTTAGCGGGATATAGGGCTAGGCAGCTTTCCGTTTGACAGAAAGTATAGGTCAACCATCGTGAAAAAGCACTATATATTAGACTAGACTAGATTTATTTTACTTTATTTTACTTTTTTACTACCAGAAGCAAAACGTATTTTTTCAAAAACAAAAACATAGTTTGTTAGATAAACAATATTATATTTAAAATGAGAAGGATCGAGTAAAAGTCAATGGTTTTGTAGGAGACAAGAAAGCTTTTCGGGCAAAGCGGATAAGCTAAAGTGGATACTGTATTCTCCCATAACCTAATTTTTGTACTTATACCCTATTTCATGAGTATCCATCACGGTAGAATGACAGCCGATTATCTAATAATATCTCAAAATTCCCCATATCCGCACAGGACACATAATTCTGATGGATCGGTCAACGCCAGGTAGAAAGAGGCGTATTTTGTTTTGGTTTTTTTGTACGCTACAGATTCATTTTGTAATTGCTAACAGCTCTTTCATTTAGAAAAGTTCATGTGCATACCAAAAATAAAACGGTACAAACAAATTTTGCTAGACTTATATCCGACTCATTACTGCCAAAGTTGCAGACTAACACAAAAATGTCACTTGTTCACCTCAGTAGACGTCAAAGCGTGATGGATATTCGTGAAATAGGGTATAGTAAATTCAAAATGGTGCATAATATGTATGAAAATAAAAGATCCTTTACTTTTCGGTAGAAATAAAATAAAGATCAAAATCAACGGTTCATTATGATAACAACCTCTGCAACAAATTGACATACAAGATCTTGATTGGAAGATATTTTCATTCCCACAACTCTTCTCTAGATCACTTATACTGCGTGTCTGTACTTCATAGGTTTTCTCAATACATACACAATTGTTATCCGAAACTTTATGACATTACATTTTTTTTTAAAAACTTGGTACCGCTACTATAAGTTTTTGTGTCTCTACCGATATTAAATACTGATTTGAATCATATCATACGATGGTGTCATGCTGGAGTATATAATCCATCTGATATTGCAAAATGATTGCTTAACGTATGAACATTAATAAGTGATAATTTTAGTCTTGAAAGATAATCCTGTATTTGTGAATGAATTCTACTCTGTCATAACCGAATATGATCATGATTGATCATTTCACCGAAAGTGTAATAACTTAAAATGTCATTTCCGATACTTGATGGAGAAAACATATCCACCAAACATTCATTGCTTATGAAATGGATATTAAATTTAGATTACGACCCGGTTTGAGATCCATGTATCATAACAGATTATAAACATATCAGAAAGTTAAAAATGATCCCAGTCTAATGTGGATTAAAATAAATGCTTTAGATATACGGCCTCTACTTGCAGTACACCCAAGAAAATTTAATATGCTTGAATTGTGGGTGTCCAATAAATTAGTGCCACACAAACCGAACGTAATGATATAAAAGTTTTTGCTTTCGTTAAGTTATGACTTAGGCAATATCTGACAGATACTATATTAGGTACACGCTTTTTTGAGAAAACTAGAACATCGGTCCCACTAACTTGGAAGAACTAAATATAAACATTTTATATATCGAAAATACGCGAATAATCCAAATATTTGAAATAATCAATAATAGATAGAAGCGTACTTGATCCATGGCTCCTTCAGTGTTAGGGCGCGGTACGGAATGTTCTACCATTCTCCCATGGCCCCCCACCCTTGCATCTTTAGAGTCACTTGACATAATGTAAACAAAGCAGATGCCTTCGGTGTATCCAAATAATATTTTTTACCTTATCATAGACAGAGGTGTCGGAAACAGACATATTGGCTGATTATTTCGCCGGGAAGTACAGAGAATTTTAATAAATTACATTTTACCATAGCACACAAGCTAGAAACGAGGATGAACTGCGTCGAGTTTGAAAAATTGATATAAACAATCTATTTCTCTAGTAGCACAAATTAAATTTTGAGGGATTTCCCGCTCTTCAGATGTATGACGATACATATAGTACTCTTTGAGCTTCAATTTTCACAATTTATTTTTTCTGCTATTGCTTTTGTTATATGCATTCATATATCCCTTAGTTTCAATTTTGGTCAGCATGGAAAATGATGCAAAGTGATGATTCATGAAAAAGGTAACTAACGGTTTTATGTAAGTTAGCAACTCAACTTTGGACGAGGAAGGAGACGAATACGACCCAGAGGTGTCCCCAGGACTCTTTCAAGGAGACATGGCGCTAACCACCGAATTCTATAATTTCTGGAGAGTAGGGATTCGGTTCGATGTCTTCCCAGAGAAACTGTGGAAAGGTGGAATCGTTCCATACGTTATCAGTCCGTTATATGGTAAGTTATATTTAAGAAAACTAACGAGAAGCTCCAAGAGACATTTTTAAAGCTTTGAGTAACCGGCGATTATTTTGCAAAAACCACAGAACTCATGTATACTTATAATCTTTTTACTTTCTGCGCCACTGACGAGAAAGTGTTGGAATAGCAGACAAATTTCGATAACGATGTATGTTGATGTTTTCACACAAGGTTACTACTAGTGTCCGGTCGAACTTTCGTTTTCGGTTTAGACCAGTTTCAGTCCAAAATCAGAGTTTCGGACTAGTTTCGGCAGAAAAACCGCCGAAACTGCAATCGAAACCGAAACTACGTTCGTATGTCTTCGGCCGACGGTAAATTTATTCAGACCAAAGATCAAATCTTGAATAATTATTATTCATGTCATATAATATCAGATTGTTCATATGATTATTAGATTACGTTCTAATGGCCTATTGCAACAACATTGATTTTGAGTTTTGTAAGACTACAGAAATCTATGGACTTTTTTATGTAATTTAAGATGGTAGACAACTCACAAATTATTGGAGAATTCCAGTTCAGGCTCAATTTCAGGTAGAATATTCAAAACTGTTTATACAAACTAAATTTCTTAATAAAAATGCCACAGTTACTAATCACTTGAAAATAGTTTTTGTTTTTGGTCTTAAATAATTCTTCTATAAAACCACTATTTATTATAGGATACCCAAATCGTCCTTTAAAATATCATCATGGCCAATAGAATTCGTTTTTGAAGACTACAAATGAATTAGACGAACTGTAATATCCAAAAAGTGCTCGTTAAAGTTAAACACGGTTAACAAAATTTTAAACAGGGTTTAAGTACTTGTGCAATAAACTAGGATTCCGTCTAAACTAACGTTGAATAGTATTAGTGCAACAGTCATGAGCTGCTATTTTTGTTTTATTGTGTGCTTTTTTACAAAATGATGGAAACAAGACATTATTTATTTTGTGTTTTAAGAGATACATTTAGTACTGTTTTAGTTTTTCTCAATAATATTTGATGAAGACTAATTATTATAATATATTATATAGTCTGTTCTTTCTTTAATAATTAAAGACTGAGTTTGTTTTTTCTTGGAAATACACTACTATCTTGCTTCCCAAACTCCCATATCGTGCTCCCCAGCTGGAAGCTTCTGTTTCGTTTTCGGACAAAACTAAAATTGGACTGAATTTTGGCTGAAATACTACTTTCAGTTAGACACTGGTTACTACTATGCCAAGAACAATGGCGACCGAGATAAGGACAAAAAACAAAAAAATCGCTCTAACTTTATTTTTCGAGGCTCCTACTCATTTTTGAAAATCTTTCTGAGGGGTAAAGAATTGCAGAAAGATTGCAAAAGCTGAGGGGCTTATCTGAATTTGTCATCAGTATTATATTTATATACTTCTATCTATCCCTGTAATATGCAGCTCTTAGATATATTTCACACATACAGGGTGTCCGCAAAGTTGGGGCTTTCCTTCACACGACGTGTAGATCTTGAGAAGATAAGCGGATTTTCTTAGTAGCAAACTCAATCAAACCTGAACCAAACCAAAGCCGGTCCTGTCCTATTCCTCGATCACGTCCACAGCGCCAGCGCCGTATGACGTACGACGAGATGTAAACACGGATTTTACGACAGAGCCGTATTTGGAATTCCAATTCAACTTAACAGGGAGTACTTTTTCATTCATTCTTTTTTACTTGTTCGCTCACGTTTCACCACACATTAGCTTTGTTATATCAAGCGTAGTTGTGTCTGAAAAGGAAAACCACAAATTTGCGGTATATGTCCGGGCATATTCACTTTTAAAACTTGCGAATAGACATATTTTCGATACCCGCGTCGAGTAACCACTATTTCTATAGTAACGCTGCCGATGCTTGTTAAATGGCTGGCAACTGGGGACAAGTGTTCTATTCGATGATTCATGATTCATTTGTTATACATGTTAGTAGTTGATTTGACAAAGTCAACATTCTTGACACCATTTTTTTGTTCACATTATTACTGCTGAATCTGCGCTTAAATGCTCCTGACAGCATTCTCTTCTGTATAGCAGCAACATTCGAATAAAATAGGTTTTTCATTAACGTTCTTCTGTACGACATCTTTTTTAGAGCCATCAGAAACAGTGACCATACTAAAAGCAATTAGAACTCTGAGCTTCATGACTTGTGTACGCTTCATTCCATGGGATGGAAAACGAAAGGATTACTTGCTAATATGGCCGATCAAGTACCCTAAAGGATGTTGGTCGTTTGTGGGTAAGTATTAGTAAATAGCCCGACTGAAAATTCTTTATTATTACTAATACGGCTAAGAATTGAAAAAGGAAACATAGAAAAAAACATGTTTTGGGATGGTGCGAAAAGTGTTACAGGTCCTCTGAGCGCCATTTTCATCTGTATGTATTAGGATCAAAAAACAGGGTATTTCACTTAGTTGGAGGCTGTACGAACCTCCGAAATGTATTTTTTTCTGTGACGGGAAAAAAGTTTGACATTTTATCTCTGTTGACAGGTAACAAAATGTCACTTTTTATGAAATTACTTTTTCCCCGGGAAAAAAATGAGTACGATTTAGCTGACAATAATTTTTGTGACGCTACTTTGGCTACTTCTACGAATTCCGGAGTCAAAGAAAACTCGGAATCAGACATTTTTTACTTTATGGCATTAAAAATAGCTTCTAAACAACCACTAAGTTCACAATTTTTAAATCAAATCACAAAATTAAATTGACAGTTATTTGATTACTTTAAAATTTTCCTTGGAACGCAGGTCTAATTGTCGCTATAAGTACAACATAGCCTACTGATTTCAAAATTCAAATTTCACATCGATAATTTCCTGCCTTAAATATTTTAATAATATAATCTTTCAATATTAACTCGTCGTTTTTCCCGTCACAGGAAAAAATTGTATATTATAAATGGGAAAAGTACTGCTGCGTGTCGGGAGACAATACAACCTCAAGCTAAAATCTAGTACTTTTTTCCCTTGTATAACAAATTATTTTTCTAATGTTTACGCGATCAAACTAGGCGACACTTGTAACGGTTGTAAAAAAAGCTTTGCATTTGTAACATTTTCTTTTCGTAATATTACATATACTGATTTCAGGAAGATTTGGAGGTGCACAGATAGTGAGTCTCCAACCTCCAGATAAAAGAGGTCCAAATTGTCTTGGAACTGAAGGAAGAGCTTTGCACGAACTAATGCATGCTCTTGGTGTCTTCCACGAGCAGTCCAGGTGGGATAGAGATAAATTTGTCAAGATCCATTACGAAAACGTCATCCCACGTGAGTATACGACTCATCTAAGAAGATATCATTGATAGGTTGTAACTAAAGCACTGCCATCCTCAGAGTGACAGAAGAGTTAGGTCGAAGTTCGGAATCACACATTTCCTCTCCACTGAATAAGGCAACATTTCTTTGGCTCCTTGCTTTGATTTAGGCCATACATTCTGACGCAAAATGAAGGTTATAGTTTGAATTATTTAAAAATCGTTTATTTTTTTAATCCACTTTTAAATACAGCAAGTGAAAATGGATGATCGTCGAATTTTATTTTTAAAGTCCAGGATTGTTGTTTTGCCCCAATATTGATATCGTCAGTACTACAATCTATCTAAACTCTAAATTAACAAAAAAAGGTCATGCAGAATATATGATGAGTGATCTCTATCTAATACTAAAATGATTGTTTATGTTACCACTTAAAACAGAAGGCAAATTGCGTTTTAACCTAATCACTAGGTCATTACTAGACACGTGTTATTAGTTTGCTAACACCTTAGAGGGTGCATTTCAACCCTTTCTCTGTATCTAACACTAAATTCGTGGTGACTTCCTAATGTGGTGCGTCGGCGATCATATTTTCTGGACCTTGTTCTGGAACTGCTGAGGGATGACAATATTGCTCATGCTCGCTGTGCCCCATAACTAGATACCATACGTCCAAATTGGTTTCAACAAAGAATTATAGAGTAATGTTGTCCAATGATAGTTGAGATTTCCTACCAAGCCCATCTAATACTTTTTCAGAAAATGTCCATTTGCTATGTAAATGTTCTGCCTATATTTATTCCAAGATATTTCGGATGATTAGCTTGTGGAATTTGTGAATTATTGATTACACATTACTGGTGGATAGGTACATAAGGTGAATGCCACATGTGTGAATTTCTTCAACCAGACCTCAATTTGGAGCAATTTTATCTGAAGATCTTGCGACACTGTCTGGATTCTCACGGGATACGGGATGCCAAGATAACCGTATCATCTGCAAATGTTGCTATGCATACATCATCTACACTTGGTAGATCTACACTCTACAGAAGGCAGAGGGTGGGTCCCAGAACATTTGCTTGTGGGACTGCTGAACCGATAGGCATACTCGTAATGGATGTGGGGATTTGGTATCACGCTTTACGTAGACGTATCTATTTGTCAGGTTCGATTTCAGGACCAAGTAATGAGAATAAAAGAAGAGTTGTTTATTTGTACACTTGCTCAATAGTAACATGTTTCTCCTGGAAAACATATTGATCATCCGGTATTAGTTTGATTTTGTCAACAATTTCCAGCGAATTTTTATATATAGTTTTTCAAAAAGGTTTATAACCACCAGCAGTAGGCTTATGGGTCTATATATGGCGAATTCATTATGGTTCTTTCCTGGTTTTAGGATCATTTTTATCTTGTCAACCTTCCAATTGCTAAGATAATAATTAATTCATAAACATAAACATAGTATTGCATATATATGTTAGGAGTTTTATAGATTTTAAAGATATAAATATAAAAAGATCAAATCCAGGAGTCTTTTTTATGCTTATCTCACTTTTAGTTACTCTCAGTTTAATTTTACTGTTAGGTAAGTCCATTAGAAACGGTGCTTCTAGGAAATCTGCTACACGATTTTCTTCTTCTTCAGTGCATTATGCGGAATACGGAGTGAAGACGTTCTGCAAATGTTTGGCAAAAACAGTTGTGTTCTCTGCATCACCTTATTTGGATGATCCTTAAGTGGAGGGTTGGGTAGAGCTTGCTTTATCAATTTTCTTACTACTTAATAACAAGAATGAAAGTCTCGGCAACAAGGACAATATTAACATTTGTAGTACTGAAGGACGGTGCAGTGTACTGACGATCACTGGTATAATTAGGATCGCCACGCTCTCAAAAACGCTTACGCTTGAAAAGCTACAAGCAAATATCAGATTCCTCGCAATGCAATGTAATACAAATAATTTCATAGATATTCTCCTTTTGCTTTGAAAACAGTCAGCGTTTTTGAGAGCGAGAATACCTCCCCATTAGGTTATTTTTTTCATCGTTTGTGAGAAATTATCCAAAACAAATGCAACTAGATGAAGCTCAGCACGCACCTCAAGGGAATGCTCAATCTCTGTTGAGGGAAATTCAGAGGATTACGCAATTTTGTGGAGAGTCATTTTTAGTGGCCTTTACTTATTTTAACTTTAATTATCATGTCTTTATGGGTACGCTGAAAAACATTGCGTACTTGAAAGAAAATATGCGCATCCATAACGCTCGAAATCTTACGAGTGCAAAAAACAGAAAGTAGCTGACATTTAAGATATGTTATGATTCAAATCTAATTTTTCATCAGTGTAGAAAATTTATTTTGAATATCACCCTATAAAATGATTATTCATTTTCAGAATATAAATCTAACTTCGACAAAGAGAGCCTTGAAAACACCACATACAGCTTTGAATATGACTACGACTCCATAATGCACTACGGAAGGCATTTCTTCAGCAAGAAAAAAGGAAAGCCTACGATAACGCCAAAACAACCAGGAGTTAAAAACATTGGTCAAAGAGATGCACTTTCCAAAGGAGACTGCCTGAAACTCAACGATCTCTACGGATGTCTCAAAAATCCAAAAACGAGGAGAAAATATTATAATATATGTAACTTTTTGGGAGTCTGAATTTGTTATTTACTTATGTTTGTTGTATTATAGATAAAAAATAGAAATACTTGTTAAAACAGTCGTACACCATACTACCCAATCTAGATGAATAAGCATTTCGATAATACAGTTTCCGCAAGGTTTGAGAAAGCTCTTATTTCGATTATAAAGGCAGCAAAGACTCTTTTAAATGGATATGTGCCTCTCCAAATATAAAACAAAAGCATCCATGCTTCTAAGGCAGAAAGGAGTCGTAAATGCTCATTCTGAACCATAGTTTGAAGCTGCAATGCAATAAAAGAGGCTTTATTGCAAGATATCACTTTATAAATATCCAAAGTCGGGATCCATTTTCTGTTACGAAAAAAATATTGGAGGAAATTTAAATTGTCAATCATTTGAACGAGATGTGCAACCCTTAATATTTGAAATTTGGATATTCCAATGAATGCCGAAAGATTTTAACTATCATACTGTCAGCTTACAAGAAACAAAATTGCCATTTTCTACTTGATTCGATCAGACATATATAGGAATGCTTTTTTATATAACTATAGCAACTATAGCCCAGCCATCATGAATTTGTCACAGCATATGGTCCTGCGGCTGTATATCTCGGCCATAATCAGCTACATCTTGGCAATATGTCTGCACAATTTCTCATCAGAAGTGCTCGAAAATCACACAAAAATAATTGGTAAAACCTGCGCGCTGTGGTAGCTTACATTACTTACTTTACATTAAGTATTATTCCAGTAGTTCGGCAATCTGACAGCAATATATCAAAATAGAATGTCGGAAATGTCAAACATGGTGAAAGTATTGTAGGCTACTCTATTGCAGCTAGATAATGCAGTAAAAGTACTGCCCGTTTAGAGAGCTCCCAATAATTATTAGCAAAACTTCCTTAAAATTTCCAACTTCGCCACGTAACCCAGGCGGAAGTAGGTGTATGTTGAAAATATCGATCAAACTACAGCTCACAGCATAGTAAAGTTGTAGTTGTTTCTATCATTTCATTTTACCATATTTAATAATTTTGTATGTTTTCATGGTACAACTTTTATAAACAAAATGGAAAAAGAGGTTCATATAAAATATCCTAGGCTACGAAAAAAGGTAGAGGGATCTAAATTGCGTTTTGGGGTGACTGAGCCAATTAGAAAAACATTGTATGACATCTTTATGGAAAACTTGAAAAAGCTGGATAGGGTGAGTTACATTAACATTATTAACTTACCTGGCTGCTACTATTACTTTGTCGTTCTGCGTCATTCTTGGTTAATATACCGTACATCAATAGCGCTGAACTTAACACAGGTAGTTGTTGAACAGCTTGTCGTTAAAAGCTCCTCCAGTGCCTGTTTTGGTTACTTATGCGCTCTAATGTGACCAAAAACATTCACTATCAATTGTTCAAACTATGTAGATTTGCTTCAGTAGCAAAAATATTATCGGTACTCGGATTTATAGCAATTATGCATATGCATGAGCGATTGTGTTTTACTAACTGCCATAATATCAAAATGTCGAGCTAGGAAAATAAGAAACAGTAACTACATAGGTTTAGATACACTACAAATGCCAAGGCAAAAAAGTGCCTATCTATTCATGCTGAGGTATGAAATCTTTTGAATAAAAAAATGGCGTCAAGCTGGTAGGTTGATTTGCACTTCCTTCGTAACGCAGCCAGCAGTTCATAAAAGATTAAGCTTTCCACTATCTTGTCACAGGTTAAAGAACTCTGCATCCTAGTGTACCACTTCTTCAGACCTGAACTACGCAATGCGTTGAATGATAGAAACTGGATTAGAGTAGGTTGATGAACCATCCACCTCTAATCGCCTTTTGCAAAGTTCTGTACGTAAATGTAAAACCGCCATTAAACTGACACTATCTGATGCACCTGGGTTGTTTGTTGGATCAAGTTTAGATTCTATCATGTGGTAGTGTACTCTCTACTCCCTTGTCTGCAAACCTCAACATGCGAAGGTCCTCCGCTGTAAAATTCCTAATGCGAAAATACCACTTTCTTTAAGGTCGTATAATTCGCTACGTCAAATGTTGAAAGTTGCCCTACATGTGAAGGTACTACTTTTCTAAGGTAAAGGTTCACGATATATGGAACAGTGGAAGTTGGATCCAATTTGGTTTGAGTCAAATGTAAGCGAAAACCTATGACGTCTGAAATATGGCTAATGGGTGCGTAGAATTACCGGAGTTGGGGGCGTATAAATATACTAACAGTAAAAAATTCAGATCCCCTACAACCCCCCCCCCCTCCAATTTAATGCCCGTAATTTTTTCCCAAAAATGATCATCTGAAACGTCAAAAAACGACTTTTTAGCGATTGTTATCTTTTTCATGTTTGGCCTTTTTCTCTGCCGCCACTGGACCCATTTTCAAAAGTTTTTTCATCCTTGGCACCGTAGTTAGTTTGTGTAAAAATTCAGATTCGCAGACCGACAGACCGACTGAGAGACAGGCAGACGGAAGTAAGTGACATGGTTTTTGCTGATGTACATACATCATATAACATCGAAAAAACATATCCAATTTTCGAAATGTTTCGCGATTGCAATGCTTTGTCCAGTGGCGTAGTAAGTCTGCCCCACGATGTCGAAAAAAATAAGGAGTTCAGAAATACATATGTTGCAGGTCACTTATTTACATAGACTAGTATATGCTGGAAAACACAAATCACCAGATGAACTACTCGTCATATTTAGAAACACTATCAAAGTAGTCAATGACGAATATTGTAGAGAAAAACTCACTGGATTTTTATTGATTTATAACACATCGTTTGTCCACGTCGTAGAGGTAGGTAGAAAAAAAATACTATATCGAAAGACACAAATGGAGTGTAGTATTTCATTGATCAAACTACAAATGAAAAAATAGTGCCTCATAGTTAACGTGTTGACAGGAAGATCAGCTCACATGAAGTTCCAACTAATTTGCAGGGATCTGAAGACGCGATAGGCAAGCATTTAGGCATTTTGCTGGAAACGCCAGAATATTCTGAATGTATTAGAGAAATGAAGCTGCTGGTACAGATTTCAAATGTGCTCAAGGTAAGTAAAGAACAATACTTGATTTCGGATAAGAGTTCTTTATGTTGCTCCAAAAGTTTGGAAAAGCTTAACCTCGCTTACTTGTGAACTTATCATTGCGACCAACAACTGAATCATAAATAACATATTTTGCGTGTACTTATTGCTATTATTAGTACACGCAAAATAACATATTTTGCGTGTACTTATTGCTATTGCTAATAAAGTCAAAATGGTTGCAAACATTCTTACAGAAAGTTATTTGCGAATACTGTACCATGCCTTCGTTAAAACCCATTTAATATACGGCACCACAGCCTGGCGTGCCACCTGCAAAACATTTATATTTCTGATCTAGATATAGCACAAAAAACTGTTTTAAAAGCCATTTTACATAAGCCAAGATTATATCCGTCGAACAACTTATATCAGGAAACAGGGATACTTGACTCTATTTCTTACCTGCCACCACTAAACCGTAAGCATAGTAATGAACAAAGTTCCCATAAACACGAGCATGACTACACGATTTCCAATAGACTCGTCTAATATCCAAAGACCACATAAAATATTGTTCAAAAAATCTTTTATATTATTAGCAGCTAATTATAAACGATATAAAGACACTTAAATTTGTAAAAAAAAAATTGACGAAAATTAATAGACTGGGTTTGTACTGCACAGCGAATCACTATATGGTACATAATTATACAGAAAACTCAAACTGCATAGTGCAAATTATATAAATACTTTTTAGAATTAACCATATTGGTAAAAACATATGATTTTTGTTAGTTAGTAAGCTGTTATTCACACACAGGCGATGCCTTCTCTGGATCTTTCATATTTATCTGCCCATTTTTAAACAGTTTTATATTTTGGCGAATAAATATTATACTTTTAGATGGTACCGTTATTCAAACTGAGGAGGAAACAAAAATACTATTAGATGCAAAAAAGTTTCGAAACTCAAATTATGTTATAAATATAAAACGCTTTGGAGATACAAGCATATTGACAAGTGTAAACTAATACTTGTAAGCTCATTGATTCTTACTTATTTGGATTATGGTGTCACAGTTTATTATAACTTCCTTACCGAGGAAATGAAACAAAAAATTAAAATTTTAAATCGTTGCATAAGATTTTGTTATAACGATATAGGTAGACAAGAACACATCACTGGTTACTATGTGAGAAAAGATAGGTATTTTAAAATATTATACTGTTCATTGCTTTTTTATGATGCTCTGTTGTATAAAGCCTCCAAATTATCTGTATAGTATTTTAGAAGAGATCATCTGTTCGCCTTGTTTTTCTAACAAACGATTATTCTTATAATATTCCAGACCATGCAACATCTGAATTCAAAAAGATTTCACTAACAAAGCACCTCCTTTGTTAAATAAATATTTAGGATTTTTCCAAACTACTTCCAGTCATAATTTTAAAAAAGAATTCAAGAAGGAGCTTCTCCAGTTACAAACCTCTGAAGCTACATATTATTAATCAGTGATTTAATATTGTATTTTTTTACATTGGTACCTCAATTTTATAACATTACTCTATGCAAAATAGGAGATAAGATGAAACACTGATGACTATATAAAGGTTTTAAGTTCATGATTCTCTTTGCAATTGCTGTAGACGACAGTGAGAAATGGCAATACCAATCCTCAGCCTTTTGGAGTGTTGTTTTATTTATATTTATCTGTATTTTGTATAAGTGCTCCAATAAACATTATTATTAGTGTTATTAAATTCGTGAAATGGTTTAAATCATAGCTTTAATTTTGGTGTACACTATGAAATAAACGAGAAGTAACTACTGTCGACTAACAAAATTGCTGAAGTTATAGAAGAACTATTCAAACGCCAATTTTCCATTGCACAAGCGCTATTTTTGTATAGTTATATAAGTAAAATCTAGCGTTTGTGTGTATGTTTGGTATGGTCATTATAATAGTAGAAAGTACAGTCATCATCAAGCAAGTATTTGAAGGAGGACAAAGGCCTTCTGATTACATCTAACTTAATTTGTGGGGCGCAGCAATAGACGTCGATATTAGACACCGTTATAAGAAAATCGATTTATTATGTAATTTTGCAACAATCACCAACATTTGCATTGCAATGTTGCAGGACGGCTACTAATACTTTCTAGGAATCTCAAGAATTTGTACGTAATCTAGTACTAATAAATTAACTGTACAAAATGTTAAAAAAAAATAATAGCAACTTTGTTCTAAGACTCTATAAATTAACTAAATACGCTTAGATTAGGTATATCAAGATAAGGAAACATCACATCAATGTTAGGCGTATTAAAACAAACTGTTATGAATTGAGGAAATTTTCAGAAAACAGTGGCAAAAAATGGGCGATGAGATGATTATTATAGTACGTAGAATATTTTAAGTATTGCACATTAGTGCGTTCTCTCATAAAAATTGCTCCCTCTCCAATATTAGATATATGGAATGTCAAGCAAGATACTGGAATTGTTCGTAATAATTCGTATTTTCCACAGTAAAACAACATAAAAATCGAAGACTTTCAAATTAGTCTTCTGTTATATAACGGAAATTTAGTGAACATCATATGATTTCTGGAACTATTATTTTTCCAGCCGGATTTATATAGTCCTGCATATTGAATTCATTCAGCTTTCTCTTAGATTAAATAACTCACAAATAATAAAAATATTGTGATTCGAAGAAAACAAAGCAATCACATCACAGTCTTATGCTAAAATAGAAAGCTTAAGATCAATGTATCTTAAATACTATACAAAAGGCAGTGGCTAACCCTAAACAAACGTTATTGTCACATGTGAAATCACATGGAAGTGTTTTATACAAAACCAAGTAGGTATATGCACTACAGGTTAAACACCGTTATTCATTCTAATCGATTCTTCTTTTTCTGCATCTGATATTAAAACAGTTTGCGTAGTGAAGGTTTTTCCTTTCACTTTCGTTTCCAAATTCTCACCAGCATACGATAGTAAAGGAGATATTTCTACATCTGCATCCTGCACTTTACCATCCGCACTTTCAATGTACAACTTATGAAGAGCCAATAAGTCACTTCTAGAGGTAGACGGACAGTCTTTGCCTGCATCATCTGCATTCTTCAGGGCACTGAACTCGCTAGACCGCGGCACTTCCAGTGTGACGAATTTTCTGCTGTAGGGGAAGACATCGAAAATGAATTTCTCTATCTTGATGCCGTTTGGTTCTGTTGGTTTCACTCTTATACCCTTGTCGTTAACGTAAGGCACTTTTTTCTTAGCTATGTGGAGCTTAATGTCAGCATCGTGCTCGTTTGCTACTCGTTCAAGGAACTCTGTGGTGAAGAAGTGGTTGCAAATGTTACCAGCGTTGAACACTAGATTTCCGGATTTGTCACGTAGATTCGCGGTTTTTTCTGTGATTTCGCTATACTCCACAACTTGAAACTTCCCGTCAACCTGACACACAACTCCTACAGCTTCGTTTGGTCCATTTTTGCTTACAACTTTCGCTCCACAATCAGCTTGCTTACTCACGCAGTAACCGACAAACACTGGATCAGCTACCTTGATAAGAATGTTATCAACACTATGTCCATGAACATACTTCACCCCTCTTGATTTCATGTCTTCAAGCATTCCACTTTCCTTCAAAGCCCTATAAACTCCGCCATTACCATCTGGGCTCAAGGTCACAATATGCTTTTGATCCAAGATGAGTTTACCGTCGAAGTCAAAACAAGGTATCATCCCTTGTTCAAACAGCCTGACGTCTTGCTGGTTGAGCCCAAAATATTTGTGATCTTCAAGAAACTTTGAGATGACCTCAGTGGTTGTATTGTTCGTCATTATATACCAGCATATCTTCCCGGACTTTCCAGTTTCTTGTTTGGCAAGGTTGCAAAGTCTTCGAATACGTTCAGCTTGTATTTGGAACAACGTTTTGCCTGAAGGAAGCCCTACTGAATACATTCCTTTGGGATACTCCACTCCAAGTCTAGTGCCTTGTCCTCCTGAAAGTAGAAGCACAGCTACGTGTCCTTCGGAGATCTCCTTAAGTCCAAGTTTCCTGTAGCTTTCCAGGACAGAAGTATCCATCTTGTCCATGGCTTCAAACAGCTCTGGCGGTATGGGTTTTATCCTGTCATCTAACTTTGCAACTTCCTCCTTAGCAGCTTGTTGCGCTCTAGTAAACAACCTGTTGGCTTCTTTAAAGTCAATACATTGCAGCTGGCGCAGGAGCGCTTCCTGGTGTTCAGGATCTAGTTCTTTCCAGAAGGAGAGCAGATGCGTTTGGCCGTAGTCGTTAAGGGTGCGTTCTATCACCTGGAGGCGAGCCATGGTTTGAGGCAGTACCGGAACCACTGGCACTGGCACCACTATGAATGCGCGAGTAAGTGTCGAAAGTGAATGAGGTATTTCGTGGTCGTTAGCCTTGTATATATGCCATGGCATGGCTGTTTCGTTGCCGTTCGCCGATGTCGTGGCGTGGCTGCGTGGCCCGGCAGTCGACTGCTCTTTCACCGGCATCGCATAGTTCAGACAAATTAGGTATAAAAAGTATAATCGTTTAAATCCTAAGCAACTGAATTTGCTGCAAAAGATACCTGTGCAATACCAGAAAAGGTATCGCATTGAAGGTATCACATCTTCGGCGCTCACACAGAAAAGAGTCTATAACTAGCTTCCGATATAGCTCAGCTGGAGGCTGGAGGGTGTGTGTCAAAAGTTGACAATGGCATAGGAGGAAAAGAGAACAGAACAAATTAAAATTTTACAAACCTTATTAACCAAAAGAGTATCTATTACATATTCACTACAAATATGAATAACTACATTAAAATATAATCAATTTGTGGCAAACAAATTAGAGTTGTGTAAGTGCTTTTCTTTAATGTCCCCCTCCCCTTTGATTTTTTGAACGGATCAATTCAAAAAAATAAAACTTGAGCGAATGAAATTGATGCGTGGATACCATATTTTAGAGTAAAATTGACAGATGAAAATGTCAAGATGGCCGCTGGCACTATCTTGAACAAAAAATTATATAAAAACGGGGGTCTTGTGGCACATCATTTTGAAGCTCCTGACGAGTACTTTATAACCCTAGAATATAAAGTCAATACCTTAACCTACTACAAAATCGTGGTACATTTAATAATTACTTGAACACAAACCCACTAACATGCATATCTCTACAAATAATTGTAATTCCCTGCCGTATCCACAGCAACAGCGATAAAAACTTGTTTTGTTATTTTTTGTTGACAGTGACAAGAATATCAGTACGAAAACAAACATCATTGTACAGTTAAAATATTATTATTTAGTTTTCGGTTTTAGTGCTAGATACTGCTTGAACTATTTTTAAAATGGACAATTCTCATCCATTGGGAGAAAAATCGAAGAGATTTTTATTTATGGTGCGACGCGTAACTTTCACGAGACCGAAGGGATTTTTAATAATCGTTTCCCGAATCGTCTTATCAGTAGAAAATATTTAAGGGAACTTGTATCTAAATTTACAGCTACTGGTAGTGTAAACAACAAAAAGCCCCCATGTCATCCGACAATCCCGGAAGAAAAGCAAGTTCAAATACTTTTTGAGATCATAGTAAACCCCAAACAGACTACTTCCTCCATCGCGAATGTATGTGAGGTTTCTCCTTCTACTGGATGGAGACTTTTGAAGAAGAATAAGTATCACCCATACAAAATTAAAATGGTACATCAGCTAATTGAAGATGACCTTAATCGAAGAACAGAGTTCTGCGAGACTACGACGGAAAATATTTGTTTTAGTGATGAATTTACTTTTTTTCTCAACGGTAATGTGCATAGACAAAATTGACGTTAATCCTCACGTCTTCCGGGAAACTCATACACAATATCGACAAAAAATTAACGTTGGTGCTGGGATATTGGGAAATCATATTGTGTGGCCTCTTTTCATCGAACAAACTTAAACGGGGGAACTGTATTTGGATATGGTGGAAAATACTATTGACCCTCTAATCACGGAAACCGTCGAAGCGAATCCTAATGAATTCGATTCTGATATTGCATTCCAGCAAGATGGTGCTCCACCACACTACTACAGACAAGTTAGGAATTATTTAGGGCCGTATCGTCAGTCGTCCTTACAATTGTAGGGCGCGTTTATGGCCTCCTTGATCGTCATACTCCTTTATGTGCTTCAAAATTTTCTAGATTACACTTCTCCCGTGTTAGCGTCAGCGCTCTCCTATTGTGAAGATATGTTTTCTTTTTAAATTGTAGGAAATTTCAGGTTGATAAAACATGATATAACTCAAAAGCAAGCACAATTTGATGCAAATAGATGTTTTTGACATAACCTCAAAATAGAGTTCTGACACGGAGAAGTAGAAAACTATGACAATTGTAGGGACGACTGACGATACGGGCCTAAGATAACAATTTCCCCGGTCGTTGGATTGGCCGCCGAGGTCCTGTGGAATAGCCAGCTCACTCGCCAGATTTGACACCTTTAGACTTTTTTATGGGGCTATTTGAAGTAAAAGGTGTACCAAACTGGACCTGCTTCAATATTGGATATAAGGCTGAGAATAACAAATATTTGTAGAAATATCGATGTTACTATGTTTGAAAATGTTCGACGCGAAATTACGGATTGGCTGTTATTGTGTCAAGAAGTTCAAGGCAACCATTTCCAGCATCTTCTAAACTGAACTCAACGTGTTTATTCGAATTATCAAGTTAAATGTCAATGTATTCAGGTAATTATTAAATGTACCACCATTTTGTAGTAAGTAGAGGTATTGACTTTACATTCTATGGTTATAAAGTACTCATCGGGAGCTTCAAAACGATATGCCACTCCCGTTTCCATATAATTTTTTTCCCAAGATGGCGCCCAGCGGTCATCTGTCAATTTCACTCTAAAATATGGTATCCACGCATCAATTTCATTACCTTAAGTTTTAATTTTTAGAATTGATCCGTTCAAAGTATCAAAGGGGAGGGGGATATTAAAGAAAAGCACTGTATGAAGTTATCTTTGTAAGTCAAGGCTTGAAGAGGTTGGTGTCGACTTTATGTTGCTTTAAGTGAAGCAAAGAACTCGAATTATGACTTCAATACTAAGTCCCAATCCGTAGGTCTAAAGTAGTAAAATTAGTGTAAGCCGTATGCAATAGCTTAGAGCAGCTTAGCAGCGACATTGTTCTCTATGATAAGACGATATTCGTAGTACTACTCTTCGGTATAGATACGTTCCAACTACATCTATCCACTTATGTAACGATAGACTAAGGGTCCAGCTTTCGGATAGGACAGGATAGATGTATACTCATATACAAAAAAAAGACAGAAAAATACATCGCACCCCCATGCTAACGCGGCATCTATTTTAACTAACGAATGTGATGCGCGGATATGGAGTTGCAGTCTGAGATCCCGACAAGTGAGCATCTGCTTCATAGAAATTAATGCTTTTCTAGCTCGTTCGATCCGTGATAGTATATCTTTCTTGCTAACACTTATTTCAATGACTAATACTCCGAAATATAGTCAGGTATATTTTAGAAGCCCATGCCACAACTTGAATTTGCGATATGTTGGACATATTTTGTATGTTCGGCCACACAGAACTAACTTTCTAAAACATCATTCTTCTACATGGCACCTTCACTATACAACAGTCTGTCTTTTAGTCAGAAGGCTTCATCATTACAACCTGCGAGTAATAAAATTGATGACTTCATTTCCAGTCATTGATAGAATATCTGTAAGCATATATTGATTGTTTAAATCTCTTCTGAAGTAACCGATTTGAAACAATTTAATTATATATTTCTACATTGTTTAGCGTTTTTCGACTCACTTTTATAGTATTTAGATGTTTAAGCATTTTATTGTATTTTTATATTAAACATTTCTACTTTGTATTCGTTTTTGTGCCTATGGCTCAAGAGATGCACTGCGGTTTCCTCATGCTTTCTGTAGAAATGGCATATGGCCTCTTCTGCCAGACCCAAGAACCTGTTAAGAGGCCCACTATGGTCCTTATGGCCTTCCTATTAAGTCCACGCAGGAATAGTACTAAAGTGTTGATGATAAAGGTCCGAGAAAGGGTTGTCTAAAGAAAAATTGGAATTGTATTTAGTTCAACTTTTATTCAAACAGTTTCCTTGCCCTATCAAGTCGTCGCAAATCCGCCACGGCAACGGCGTGCACTGTGAGCATTGACGGAGTTTAGGGAGTTGGAAAGCTCAAAAAGGCAACGTCTTCCTTGTTAGTGAATCCAAAATGAAAGGAAGTACGAAACTAAGTTTCGTATACGGATATTGATTGGGTTCAGAGCAGATACCTCAAACATTGACATCTACTTCATTCTTTGTCCAGTTGCAAAACGTCTTAATATCTAATACACAGTCTATGGGTTATGTTCTATAGTTGATTCTGGTGAGTTGTCTCCGTCATTTAAGTGAATAATTAGCTGTTCCTTATTTGTATGAAACGTTACAATACTTTGTTTTCCTTACTTAGTTAAAACTATAATTCCAGAAGGTGTATGTATATACCTAAACTTTATTACTTTTCCGTGGATTTTTTCCGCCAGCTCAACCCATGATTGTATTTTCATTACTATTTTTAATAAAGTCATTCTAGTAATATGTGGATTAAGCGTACCTCACTAATAACCATCTGCAATTTAGAGTATGCATCTGATAATGATAACTACCAATTTTTTTCTAATTTTAGCTGTAGCCGTAAGTACCTACAACAATGCTTGTTGTTTTATCAGATTAACAAGTTATCTGATGGAACTTTGTAAATAACCGAATATTGTATAGATTTTGATAGGCTGATATTCATTGTTATCAGGCTTATACTATTGATTGACGTATTCTATAGGTAGGATACGTTAGTCAACGCTTATGCCAAACGCAGAATTATTTCTAGTACAACTACCTTTACGAGGAATTATCTTTAACCCAAAATTAGGTTGATGTGTTGTCTAATTTCAATCGAAAAAATGAAGATATGCTACACTTATGGAGGTTTTCGAGGTTTAGAATGATTTCTCTGTGACGTTTGACTACCCAAGTTTGAGTATGATAAACTCCTAGAGTAGTACAAAGTCCGTTAAGCTACCTACTCTTTTAAAAACTCATACGCTGACACTTTTTCCACAATAACCACCAGAACTTTTATTTGTATATAGGTAGATATGTGATAACCTTAATGATTATCTTCTCCATAATGTACGTGGAAATAACTATTCAATCTTAGAAAAAGGACATGATGAAATTGGCTATAGGCGGAACCACGTATGAAACTTGCCCCCAAGGGTATCCAAATCTGAATCAATCCAAATTAAGGTATATTAGCCAAATTTTCATATCGATAAGTTCTCCCAAGGGACCCACCCATAATCCCAAAAACGTGTTATTTCGAAAAAAAATCAAGAAAATCGATGTTGAATTTTATAGATCGGTGGAACATGTTGGTTCGACAAAAAAATTGCCTCACTTGAGTTTTCTTCAGATCCACTAACGAAATTATGAATTTTTTCCCGGAAGGTCGCAAAAAATCAGAAAACCCACATTTTCACAGATTTTCTCCAGTTCTTTTTATTTTAAACGCAGAACATCACAAATTGGCTAACTTAAAAACTCAAGTATATCTATATGTACTTATATCCATTCTTCTTCAAATTTTGATTTGTTTCCCGGAAAATTGCGAAAATTGGAAAAACCGCAATTTTGCTCATTTTCTACGATTTTCGACATTTTTGGTTGGGAAAGGAATATTCCCCACCCCGTACAACTCACACCACCAATTTTTTTTACGTTCCACAAATCTGTAAAACATCACGATTATTTAATATATAACATTGTAGCAAAGGTATTTATTTCAAAACATTTAAGATACCTTTGGGGGTAATTTTTTTATATGTAGTTTCGGTTATAGCCAATTATTTATGCACCGGTCAGTAAACTGCATGTGTTCGTAACCAAGGCATACGTAAACGACAAAAAATGCCTTTGTTGCCTTTTCCTGATCAGGATATGTCTTTCTTTCAAGGTGAAATCCAAGCAAGGTTTCAAGACAACATTATAAACTTGTATATGTTGTAACGTGCATCTGATCATTTGAACTTTAATATTTTGCTTACAGTGGCGGCACATCGATAAAATAAACAAGTTCGTTTTACGAACACTACATTTTACGAAAGGCATATACAATAGTTCCAAGAAAGAAAATCAACCGTCTTCATCACTGAAATTCACTAGTATTTGGGCAATTAAGTCATGAAGATTTACCGAGAGCAAATGTGCCATGGTATTCTTCTCCGATTCATTGTTTTTTAAGCATGTGAAAATTGAAAATAATGTCTCATTTTCTAAAAAGTGCTGTTTTTGTTTGCTTTAGAGTTTCTTTGTTGCCCGAATATCAAAACTGATCAATTTGATCAAACATTAATTTTCCTGTGTCGTCACTAATATTTATCACTAGAGGCAATACATTGATGTACTTTAGATAATCTTAACGTATAATCAATACTATCGTTAGAAACTCGCGTACATGCTCTGCTTTAGACACAAAATACTACAAAAGTCCATCTTCAATTGTCGGACGGCATTGTAGTTGTCCAACTACTAAAGAACTTCTTCATTGGGGTGTTTATGAAGCCTTTATTTGTGCCTTATTTTAGAATCTTTCGATGTTGGAACTCCTGTATCAGCCCCATAGTTGATAACCATAGAGCCACACTGGTTTTAAGATCTGATTGTGGATCATGGTTTTGTTATGGAGCGATAGTTTTGAGGATTTCCTCAATAAACAGTAACATTGCTTGTAGTGGAGGTTTACTTCTTCCCTCTTTGTTTTTTTATATGATGCTTCCACTTGAGCCTGGCATCAAGAGTCATACCTAAGTATTCAGCGTTTGACTCCACTGGTCAAAAAATTCATAAAAAATACTCGTAATTGAAAATTCATATTATATTATTCCTTTATCTTAGAGACTCTGTCCAGAATGGATGATTTACAACGGAACTCCTCCTGAGCTAATCAGCACACTGTTAGACAAAAGTGCTAGTGTGGAGGATACAGCTCATGCTTTGTATAAATGTTTGAGACAAACTTATGAAACAGTGAAGATGTTCGTTGCAAATAATTATGATGATACTCTGTCAAAAGTTTCGTTTGAACACAATAGCAAAGTGAGTTACTTTGAATTTTGTAATATTACTATAACATCTTAAATAATTTCTCGTGCCCCTTTTTCGACTTTCAGAAGAAAATGTCACATAGTGTTAGCTTATTCCCTCACTCCAAAGATGATACATCACTACCAGACCAGGCTAATGCTATAGATCAACATCTACCTGAAATGGAACTAATCGAAGCTTTAATCGAGTCGCCCTATACTCAAACAATAGAAAGCTACTACGACCTATTCTTAGATGTGCCTCAAAGCGTAGTGGATAACGGTACGTAGTTTTAACCAAAACAGAAAAATTTAACATCCATGCCAATGGCTCAAGAATATCCGTTGAGGAACAAGTAGAGTTTTTAAGATCGGAACTAGCACGCAAACGGACGAAACGTTAACTCTCACTCTGTCTGGTACTGTCACGAAAGTGAACGCGAAACTCACGTTGCGTACCGATGTACAGTGAACACACGATGCTCAACGTTCCAAACCATCTTGCCAACTGAAACGGCACTTCTCCCACTATCCAACACGCCCTTCCTCACCGACACATGCGTTCTTTCATGGTTCTTTCTGACGGACCCTTTACTAGCTGAGATGTGGCTTACTTTGCGCTAACGATACTACTCCAGCGATATCACCTGCTTTGCTGGCTCTACCGAATTCTTTCCAGCAGATGGACAGTATACCGGGTATTTCTAATTCGACTCTCACCAATGGGATCTCGGAAACGGTGATAGATGCGAAAGATAAATGGGGTCAGAGTTGCGCATTTAGGTAACTACGAAAATGGCTTTCAGAAACTTACCGCAAGTAGATAAGCGTTTTTTATCAGAATCGCTTTTATTTTTGGATGAGTTTATTCAAAGCGAGATTGTGTTTGATTATAATTTTATATCCGTTTTATTCATTCATATTTATTATTTACTTTTAGTTATGTAAGCCGATGGATCGTATACATGTATTGCATGCATAATAAATAATTTTAATTTAAACTATCGGTTTTGTTTCTCTCACAATCTGTCTTCAGTAAACATCATTGCGCGATCAACGGCGAGCAATAAAATAACTTTTTTACGGATATATTGCCAAAGTAAAATATTGTTCATGATCTATTCATTCGTCAATAAATATAACATCTTTTTATTGATGTATTTCAGATAAGGTGTGGCCAATACCTTGCGACTGCGTCCCATACGCTATTTTCTCTTCAATATACGACAATGTTACTGAATTGACTGGACGACAGGTCGACTCGAAACAAAAATCACAAGAGGAACTTTCAGAAGAAACTGATAAAGATCATTCCGCGCGATGAACAAAGATGAGAAGGATTATAGAAGTTGAATGCCCCGTATCCCATAATTTTACCAAAATGTATTTTCAAATTGTAGATAGTCAAGAATATGTGTGGTGTTTCAGTTATTGTATACCAGAGGAAGAACGTAGGAAAAATGTTATTTCTGCTATAGGAGAAAGTTTTTAATAGGCGCCTCGTATAAACCATGATTATCTGAATAATGTGTTGCCTAAACTAAGCAGCCATATGTACTAAATAATTTCTTTTTTCATTTATATAATTAGTATATTATTTAATAATTATTATCAATATATATATATATAAATATGTTAAACAAGTTTTTGTTCAATATCTAATGGAATTAGGTAGTAATGTTTAATGAAACCATATCGAAGCTATAAATAACTAGCACCAGAGTCAACAATAAATAGGGAACTATAGCTATAGCGTTAATTTTATAAAAAAAAATCTAAAATAAATAACAACAATCTAAATCTAGAAGTGATAACGGGTAAATCGTCCATGTTTCTAAATCCTTTGGTAACTATCTAACTATCAAACCAATTACATTATGTATTGAGTTGAGCATGTGTGTGTGTGTGTATTTTTGATACAGAGTTGTAATTACACTAAAAAAATGTAAAAACCAAAAGGGGTGATAGTCCCTTAGCGGAGTGATACTGAATATGAATGACCGAACAGTGAGTTTAAAGTTGGGCCCAGCGTCGTCTTCCTTTAAGTTAGATCAATGCGTATAAATTGTATTTGCGAAACACGATAAATCAAATTTTAATTTAAAAAAATCTGGATTGCTTGATCCGGCCTACACCCTAAACCCCGATTTGTTACATCTTGATTTTAAAACAAATCAGACCTGGCAACACTACCTACTACGGCTCCAAAATTATGCCTTAAATGTTCAATTTGAATTATGCAATTGAAGATAATAGGCTGATTAGGATATTTGATTATGCTTTTTGTCTGTATGACCAAAACCAGCCGCAAACAATGTTGCTTAATGCTTTTTAGCAATCACCAGTACAGTACACCTAGGTCTAGTCATTGGAAACAGGCAATGGTACGCAAAAGAACAAACATGGATCTTCTGAAAAACGGTAGTGCGCGAATGACAGCCCGCTTCGACAGCAGGAGAGCACTAAGTGCTCACCATGCTTCCAGCTTTAACGTACTATGCAAAAGTTGCATAAACTAAACAAATGATATGTGTTCTTTTATCTCTGTGACCGTAACCACCATATGCGATGTTGTTCCGTGCATTTTAGCAATCATCAGTACGGTATTTAGATCCAGTCATTGGATACAGTCAACGAAAAGCAAACAATTACAGTATATTCAGATAAGAGATAGACCGGACATAAACAAGACCACGTGATCATCGAAAGCTGTAACATTCGGCAGGGACGTATTAAGAGTCACGCAGTACATATTTTAGATAGTAGATGCTGCTTTGCGTAACTTTGTAGTAAATTAGCACAATTCGATGTGTATACGATTGGTGATGGATATAGGATCATGTGGGGGTGGGGTAAGAAATATATAATGATGTAAATATACATAAGGGTTTCAAAATTTTCGCTTCGATTTCCAGCTTCGGATGCCGCCTGATGTTTGGTGAAATACAGTCGAATATAATCTCAAAATGGCGTTTAAATTAGCCTAAATTAAAAATAATCGTATATCTCTTAAAATTGCTTTTAGAATATTTATTAGTTTATTTTTTGATTTCTAGGTAAATATGTAACCAAATTAAAACGTTAAAAACGTAAAAAAATGTGCATGGTTGAACATTGTCAGAAAGTAGATTCTTGAATAGGTTTTGCTAAAATGGGTTCAAGAATGTCAATAATTAATTATTCATTTCCTCGTGGTAATCTCCAGTTTTCTTAGACTCAAAGCACCACAGACCGTCAACAACAAATCCATCCTCACTGCCAATATGGCAGATAATGAGCCTTTTCCCTTTACCTGGAAATCGAAGTACTAACTGGTGTAGATTTATTTCAATAAGCGAACCTTTTTCAAATGTTTTCATCACATTCAGCGAAAAAACATTGAGACATGAGTATCAGATTGCTATAATTGGGATTATTTAGTCATATTGAAAGAAAGAATATTGAACGTCGTATGATTACTCAGCGCTTCACAATTTAATTTAAAGTTATAAACCTTTAAAAAATGAATGATCAGGAACCTGAAATACGCGCAAATATTAATAATAACAAATTATAACTTTATAAAGCTTAAAGTATGAATTAAAATGATTAGAAATATTAGGAACGGTACACAATATAAAACTTAGTAACTTTTTTTAAGTTTATAATATTCGACATATTTTAAGATTATATTAAAAAATTATTGAAATATCGAAAACACATAAAAACATGGCTTAAAAAAGTTCTGACAAATGAAAATGACAATAAAACATCCACGTATTTTATCGAAAGTTATAAAAGTTTTGTTACTTGTAATATGTTTTATCTGCCCCCTGGAATTAATGTTTAGAACCTTGTTCCCAAGGTTTGAAAAACATCCGATTGTTGTCTATTACTCGTATTTACCTGCTGGATTTTTTAATCCGGTGGACAGTCCATCTAGAAAGGCCCTCCTGGATGAAGTTGCAGAATCATCAACCCATACTTTACTTGTAGTGTGTCCTGCGTTTACCCACGTTTCATCAAGGTAATAAATCTTCCTGTTTTGATTTCTATATTTCCCAATTTTTGTTAAATAATCCCTCCTCCATAGCACAATTTCTTCTCTATCCAGTAGTAAACTATTACGACCCCGTTTTTTCCATTTGAAATTTAAATGCTTCAGTAACGCATGGAAAGTTGATCGTTTGAAATTTGGCAACGTTGTATCTCCATTTACCTCCTGCAGTACTTTATCTATAGTAGGTATTTCATTCCTAAAGAAGAATTCATGCACTTTCCTCCTAATCGCATGCTTATCAGCTTCATCCAATGATTTAACAATACTTTTGCGATGTTTACTGGTCATTGGCTCAGAAAAGGTGTGATTTTTTTTGTATTGTCTTAACACATTAAACACTGATGCGCGACACACCCCAACTTTGTGAGAAACCTTCACAACAATTTCTTTGATGGTTGATGCCTCGTTCTCCTCGCGCTCGATCTTATATACGTACGTATATATTCAAAATGACCTCTTTCATTTCTGCACTCAGGTGTCTTTTTTTAGAGCGTTTCCTAGGTGGACTACAGGAGTTTACAACTTCATCGGCAGTATCTGTACTACTGGGCATTTTGCGCAAGCAGTTGATAATAATAACAATCAATAACAAGGTATAACAATAACAACGACAAACTCAACAACTTAATAAGATAACAAACGAAAACGTCCAAAGAAATATCAAATTGCAATGATGCATACGACATACGTAACACGTCTGAACCTGAATGTGACTCTGCCTTGATACGACTGCTCTACCGCTCGGCATAGGCATTTAATTGCGAATTGACCAATGAGGGCTCCTGTTTTACGTCGAGACGGCGGCGTTAGCGTGAAAATCACCCGAACCTTTTGTTTACATCCGGTCTATCTCTTATCTGAATATACTGTAGATACCGCGTTTAGCGGAGTACACATGTGTGACAATGTCAATTCTTCGCGCTGTGACTGATACCTCTCCAAAGCTGTATATATCTCAGCAAAAATCAACAATTTCGAGATCCAGCCAAAGCTGCTCTAAAATTCTGTACCAGCATCGCTCCACTTATGTGACAACGGAATGGTAATTCCGTTACGCACTCCCGCAAACTCTAAAGCACAGCTTTGAATGTAAATCATTACTTATTTTTATTATTCGTAATCTTGACATCGCATCCAACTAGCGATTATATCAGTGCAATAGCGTAGTGTAGGGACCCAAGCTTCCAGAACTTCGATATTTGCAACATGAAAATCAGTTACTTGTTTTCTCCAAGAATGGAAATTTTTCAAGATGGTATTTTCTTAAAGGATCGATGCTTGTGTTAATATCAAAGCTTCTGTAAAAAAAATGTTGAACAAAAAATTGTTCATTCTTGTAGCTTGTGTGGTTAAAGAACTAAGCATGATGTCAATAAAAGGAAAAAACGATTCTTTAGACGCTAGATCATCAATTTCTTTAGGATCTGCTTGTAATCTCGTTTCTTTAAAGTTAACGTGCAAATCATTGTATGCCTTCTTCTAACGAAGCGCTGAAGTTGATATCGAATGTGTTTCCCCTTCACCTACGCTACAGAGAGCCGAGTCGGTGTAATACGTAAAAAATCGACACAATGTCATTAAAATCTTACATAATGTCATTCCAAATCGAAATAACATCAGCTTGGGTACCAAGTAGTCGGTAGCGGATTCCACGAGTGCTCGATGTGGGCGCCACCTAAGGAGGAGTGACCCAACGAACTTGCAGCATAGGCCATAGAAGCGATAAATTACTTCCAATAGTGCCTGAATCAGAGGTTATAGCACATCAGATCCAAACCATATAGCTCAAGAGTCACATAACGTTTAGGCAACACGCGCAGCTATTACAAGTGCACAAAAGATCGATATCGAGTGATGTCAAGTCTACAGGGAAATCGGTCGGAAAATGTAACAAATACCATCACGAAATACAAATTATCACTGCCTGCGTGTACGCAGGTGAAAACCATTTCGAAGCAGGGCGGCACTCCCCAATGACCGAAAACGCTCATCTATAATTATGGAGGTGGAGATCTTGCCTTGGAATATTCAAGATGTGGTGTTGTCAAACGAACCAGTGATGCAATGTTTCAGATTTTGTGGCGATCCTGACATTTCATTTCGACCTAAAATGGAGCTCCTTTAGGACCGATCCGGAATCGATCCTAAACAGATTCGACACAATTCAAAATTCAAGAATGTGTACGCTCAAAGTAAAACCAATATTTGCACGTAAAGAATTATCTAACGCATATTTTGAATATGCATCTTAATTCAAGGGACTAGTGTTATATATTGGCAACGCGGCAGATTGCCGCGTCAGCGTTGCTAAGCAACATGGCGATGAGATTCGCTATTCAGCCTGTTTCTATCTCTTTCTAACATATGATCCCATAAAAACTTCTCTCTCGTACACATTGAACTCAAGCCGTCAGACAAATTTGGTTGTCAATTTATGGGAATACCTATATCCCTAGTGCTAGGGACAACTGGTAGCAATAATTTTATTTAGGGAGATTCAACATTATTTTATTAAAGTGCAGCGAGCGAGTGCGAGACAATATATGTATAGAACTTATTATTGAACGAAGTTTCGCCGCTTACTGAAGGAAGCTTAAGTAAGGGAACTGAAGACATGTCGCTTGACAAAGGTCATATTTTGCTACATCATTACTAGCAGCTATATATTTTCTGTGGTGATCTTTTAGCGAAGTTATCATGCTCCGTTGGAGATAATTCAGAAAGGTTTATGTTTCTAGCAAGCCAGTAACATAGAACAATCTAGTTCTGATCTCATTAGGAATTTGCAACTGGAGAAACAGTATTGCCTGCTTGCTAAATGGTCAAATCTTTGTTTATCATAGCTTTCATATGTGTGCTGTTCTCATTCTCGGATGAACCCTAAACCGATTTGTGTTTGAGTCTGACATTTACACCTACAATTTCACGAGACATTTTCAGGAGAATCGTTGGCAAAGTGAGACTATTACAGTCATTGACTTTTCTCAAATGATAGTACCTTGGGATATCTCGTGCAATCGTGAATGAGTGTTGGGCATTACCTGCAGAATCCTCCAGAAGCGCAGTGCCTGCGAAGCTTCTAAGCCAACCTGTTCTCTCTATTTCTTAGGTGAACGATCAGTGCATATGTTGGTAATATGTTTGCACGCCAGTGTTCATTAAGATGCAACTGCTGTAATTACATGTTGGATTTATGATGTCAGATCATCTACTCCCAGAGTTTATAAATAAAAGTAGTGTGAAATGCCGACCTACAGCGCTGAGGTAAACGAGGAAACCGGAAAATAGCACAAAATAACGAAAATAACTGAAAAGTCGGAACCTTAAGTTCAGGTATACAGAGAACCCCGAGTTATGATTTGAATAAAACATTTTAATTTCATAACAATGATATTTAGACGAGACTCATACTTTATAAAAGAAGAACACGCTCCGAAACTTCCTAGATAGTTTAAGTGGACATACGTATATCTGGAACCTACAGGATGGTCACCAGGATATAGTCTAGTACCAAAGCGGAAGAGAAGTAGTGGTAACAGACTTTGCCTATACATAGGTATGCCGCCTTATCCCTGGCGTACGATGTGTTATGCTACTCTCTTCCATTTTGGTACCCGAATATAACATAATCAACAGTACATAGAGTGTCATTAAATATATTCTAACGGCTTTGAAGATCGAACTCAAGAAAAAATAATGTGCACTTTTCTCTAATCCTAACAAGCAGACAAAGAATATTTGTGTCGAAATATTATTTAAGCATGATATTTTTCTATCCGTTAATAAGTTTTTTATAGCTATAGGCACATAATTGTAACATTTTGAAGAAGAAAGAGGGGTTAGGCGGTTAGGAGATGGACCTTCAGCTCACACAGTCTAGCATACAATAAATGTTTTGAAATAAATGTTACCGGCAGAGTTATTACGTAAAAAAACCTATATAATGTCAAAAAAAAAACGACATAAGGTCAACTTACTGACTAGATAGCTGCTAGCAGCTGCTAGTGTGCGTATAGTTCATTTCGCCGTTGCTCGCTGTGAGCGCTGTGATCGACACCCATAGCGTCACCTATTGAGGAATGAGTCAACGACCATGCTTGCAAGTCAGTTCGCCACCAGACTTTGTTGGTTGCAAAATGCCAAGATAGCCTGCAGGGTATATCTCTGAGAAGAGATGTGACACAAAGAGGATTGGTTGAATAGCATAAAATCAGTGATATTTGCGATGTGAGAAAATTATTACTGGATATGCTGCTCATGAAATATATCTGTTAGTTGTAGAAGATGGGTTATTTATGTCTTGTCTTTTCTGAAAATCGTTATATAAATAAATTTCTATAAAATTTAAATGACTGGAAATTAAAAATGTTAAATGTAATAACCTTTTCACGTTTCACAAATATTTCTTTCTGTATCATATTTTCCTACCTATTAGTTATAATTTACATCACCAGCCAGGGTTTTTTTTATTCCTCTCAATTTTGAAATACAGAAATACAGCAAATCTGCATACATAATTTCCAGGATAAATAAGAAAAAGTGGCTGCGCAACTAATTTCTGTCTTTGCATAAATCTCAAGTAAGTGTATCTAAGACCCAACGGGATTATCATTAACACAGATTATTAACACACAAATCCTCACCAAGCACCTATGCACTGCCGTTTCGCCCGTTTCCTTCCAGCTATTGTATACAACTCGCAGCTTAGAAATCCAATAATGCCATCTCTGAAGCAGATGCTACATCACGTTTGAGCCACACCATGATAGCTCAAGCGTCATGACGTTTAGGCAACAGGTACATCTATACGTACACAACGGGTGCATATTGAGTGAACAGCAGCTGATTCCAAGTTGACTTCTTACAGGAAAACATGACACAAAAAAAACCTACATAATGTCAAAAAAACAAACGACAAAATGCCGCTTTTAAAGATACGTATAATACCTCACAGAGGACTTTTCGTTATAAGGTGATATGGGGGGCATTTCTTCTATTCGTCAGTGGCTGTCAAGGACCTTTGTCTTTTTGTCAAAGTACGTCTGTCAGCTTGTTATTTTGTCGGCTTAATCACCCACCCTATTAGAGCTAAGAGAGCGGTTTGTTGAGGAAGTGAGTGTTATTCCTACAATATGTGTAGGTACGCGAGCTTTGCTTCAGTAATCGTCTCCAGCTGTGTTGCTGCTAACGTCCGCCATCTTCAATACATCATTTTCAAGCGAATATAAAATGGTATAAACTGCTCACTCCGAAGTTAAAACCTTTTTTTTCGATAGATCCGGAGGCTTCTTATATTCTGCTCAGCTAGTTCTACCACACCCTGTACTACTTGTTTTTGTTCCTAAAGCGTAAGTCCTTTTTACTGTGGCCAAATACACTAATTAAAATTTGAAAAAAATATTTTGATCAAAATCCCTGATATTCCGTAACTTTCCATGTTATTAGGGTCATGGTAACAAATCGGTCACTAGCTACAAACTTTCTTCATATGTAAACTACACACCGTTGTTTGAACGTTTGAAAGCGCAATTCAATATTATGTATATGTACCATACATTATTACTTCCTGAGGAGGTGTGCTTGCGCAAATGCAAACATCGTCTCTGATTTAACATGCATTAACACTTCTGTTAGTCCATTCAGAGTTTCTACGAACTTGTATTTACACTTTTACGCTCCGGATGTGATCTGGAATATGTTTAGTTATTTGTGAACCTACCGCATATCCTGCAGGTGTATTTTCAGCTGGATACCTTCAAATTCATTGAAACTTGAAAAATATTTGAATTCAACGCAATGACTTAATTTAACTAAACCTACTGTAATTACTTCCCTACTGGCAGAGAAGTTTTTAAATCACGACAATTTTCTAAAATGAGATATGTTTTATGTTTTTTGGTTGTTATATGACATGTAAATCACGAAAAACCATGTCACTCATTTCATTTAATTGTTTGAAGTTTTATAGGTATATTTATACGCCTCCAGCTTTAGTAATTCCACGCACATATTAGGCATAATTCATCATAATAGATGTCCCTGTACATTTACTGTTAAAACTTAAAAATATCTCCTAGAGTCTGGTGTTGATACGAGCGACGTCGTCCCACTATGGACAAGCGTCGTCGTCTCTGGTCGTACGTCACAGTCGGCAATCGCTTCCGCACTACTGTAGACCGAGTGCACTGTGCATGGTGAAGGCCAATATCGTCATTTACGTGGGATTTGTCATCGCAACGATAATGTGAATTTGCAACAATTCCTTTCAGGGGGAGGAGGAAGGTCATTTAATTTTTGGTTATACAGAACGGTCAACTTGTGCCAAAGATAATCCGTTACGAGCTGATGACAGCGTAGCGTGGGAAGTACAGAGTCAACATACTTGAGGCCATTTTTTTTTTCGAGAAAATTATGAGACTCATTGACAATTCTTCAGGTATCAACTAGTTTTTTATATAGGTTATGAGTTAATGTCCTGGAAATTTAAGAGTAGATTTAGAACGTAAAGTTATGAATAAAATTAATACAAATACGAAATGTCCGTTTAAAAGATATACGGGATGCTTGAGCTTTGTAATTACCGAAAAATGTTACGCGAGTGGTTGTATCAAAAATATGTGTAGTTTCCTCATAAAACAGGTGTTCTGCAAATCCGAACTTACCTATTTTTTATATGTCAGTTCGATCCTGCGCTCCTTCTTGGCAGCAAATTTGTCGATCACCTTCCCGTTGAAATTTTCCATGGTCAAAATAAATTCCTTTTTAATGGACAGCATCAACAACGCTGTAAGGCTATCCTGGGTCATAGTATTTCGAAGAAAGGTCTTGATTCTTTTCAATGTTGAGAAATTTTGCTCAGCCTCTGATGTTGACATAGGAGTTGTAACAATAATTTCTAATAACTTTTTTGTTTCTTTTAGTGTTTTCTCCACACTATTTTGTATCAAAAATTTCAAAAGAGACAGAGTTCCATGTAAATCTCGGGAATCATTCCGTGCATAAATAACAGACAACTTTGTCTTTAAACGACTTTTTTCTAATTCGGGCTAAGCCAAGCAGGTAGTTTCCAACTTGTCATCAGGAAACTTACCACAGTATTCTCCAAAGTGTTCGGGGTAAAAAGGTATGCAGAATTCACTATATTGTCGCATACTTCTAATGCGGCAACTCGGTGATCGTGACTGCTATTATTACGTCGTCTCCTTTTGTTGCCTTGGGGTTCAGTGCAAATATTTTTGGCTTCATTTATTATGTCATAAATTTTATTTCTCACATCGACAATACATTTTTCAAAATTATCTATAGCCGTTTTAACTTGCGCTGGCTCGGTATTTCTCTTCTGCGACTGGTTGAACAAGATGTCGACGTGAGGCATGACATGATGAAAAAATGTCAACCAAAACACGAAACCGAATCGTTTAACATACGGCGAATACCGCAAGCTGCCTTGCAAACGGTTTCATTAGTGAAATGTTCTTCTATTTCTTCCATGCATTCAATGAGTGATTCTCTGTTCTCAACTCAACTCAACTCAACATTACATTTATTGTTCGAATATTAAAATTCCAACGAGTTGTTGCTCCTTGGGGAATTTTTTCCCCACAATTCTGTTCAGTACCTCTACGCGTTGAGGAGAATTATTAAAAAATCCCGGAATATCTTTCAAATTCCCAAAGAACACCCGAAAAGTGTCTTTTGGAGTTTTCCACTATACTGGTTAGAAAAAGTGCAAGCTACTTTTCACTACTAGATAAACAGACATCTTGTGTTAACAAAATAATTCTTAGTTCGAAAGCGGTGCACCTCAATCATTGATGGTAGCAAACCTTATACGAGGGTTAACCGTAAATTAATTGTAAAGCCAATTACATATTCTGAAAGCTTGGGCCAAATTAGAGCTGTATGGAGGATGATTTTGCATCCGCATTTAGTGATGAGATCCGTCATCATTCAGGCGACGTGTGCAAGGGCGTTGTCATGGTGCAAATGAACTCTCTTTGTCAGCTGATCCTTCCTTTTGTCCTGTATTGCCCGATGTAGCGTTCTTACGCTTCCGCAGTACATTTTCAGATTAATTGCTGTATCTCTTTCCAGATAGTCGACCAACAGGACGTTTTTCCTGATCCAGATCACCTTCCCCGTTTTCTTGGACTTCTTCACGCGTGGTCTGCAATGCCGCATTTGTTTTGATTGTTCCGTAGTCGCTGGCGTCAAGTAGTAGACTCATATCGATAGATTTTAATAGAGGTTGACCCCTAAAATCACATAAATCTAATCACAGACCTCAATTGACACTTGACGAAGGCGTCGAATTTCCCTTCCATCGTTAACGGTGCAAGACACAGAGAGAGAGAGAGAGAGAGAAGTGAGGCCTGGCCAGGATAGTGGTGAAGAAGTGGCGCTGATGCCAGGATTGAAGCAGCTTGCTCTGTCACGACAGGAGCACGATGGTGACCTTAATTTACGAACAACCGTCGCACTGTATTCCAGCATTCCTAAAGGGATCTAAGATACACTAGCGCCATTCATGGGACAGTATCATAACACAACCGCGAATTTAAAAACCCACTTTGCATGAAGTAGCATTTGATTCTGCTACTGTCTCATAGATGGCGCTAGGGCATCCAATCCCTTCGTGACCCCTCTAATGCCTATTTAATTGGGTATATTCAGGTGGAATTCGTTAATCAATACCTTACAATATCCTCTTGAAATAGGAACTCAAGGGGCGAAATATACAGGGTTATTCATGTCATTATTGTTTTTATGGTATGGACAATGGTTAACAAATGCTTAAAAAAAAGAGAGATGATAAATAGTTTTTAGCCTCTTCGTCACTGACTGACGATGATTCATCTGTCTTACTGTGTTTTTTGTGATGACGTAACCATAGTAACCACAGTGCCGATTTTTCCAAAACTTGGAATATACTACATGGTCACAAGTTTGACAATGGATCTATGGGTCCTGTGGCAGAGTCTTTGGCGGATGGTGCAAAGTTGATAGTCTCCTCCCCATCATATCCCACACATGTTCGATAGGATTTAAATCCTGTGAACCGCGGCAAAACGTTAACGCCTGCTTTTTGAAGAAAGTCCGTAGCGTACGTAACGAACAATATCTGACGTGGATTGTCTTGCTGAAAAAGGACGTCTTGTCGGCCCTCCAGATACGGCAATGAAGTGGTTTGTATGACATCATCAACAACAAAGAGAAGGGGTGATCGGCTTCCATAGGCAATAGTTCCCCAAACCAGTAGTCCAACAGTCCTGTGTAAATGCCTCTCAACAGCAAATCCAATATCACGTCGTTCTCCACGGCGGCGTCTTACCCTTTTATGACCATCGTGCGTAAACAGAATCGCGGTTCGTCGCTGAAGCTGACATTATGCCATTCTGTTTTCCAATGTTGCCGTTCTCTGCTCCAGTGCAAACGTTGACGATAGTGGTCCGCAGTCCCACTAACCGTGGACGGTATGGTAAAACTCCAAAGACTTGAAAGCGGCGATAGGGTGTATGCATAGTAAAAGGCCTACCTTCTTCTCCAAACCATTGGTCAGCGATCTGACGAGTAGTAGCAAAACGGCCTCGTAGAGCTAGTTGTATGAAGAGCCTATCTTGACGCTCTGTGGTACACCTCGGTGGACCAGTTGGCCGTCTTCATGTTCCTCTACCTACTTCTATCCACACATCATACACACGTGTTACCGTCACTGCCGTACAATTAACACGGCAGCCAATTTCGCGCTAGGACAAACCAACATCTCGATAGTCGCTAACATGGGGATAATTTGGACGTATTCGAACTCGAGGCATTTTGTTATGCTTAACTCTAGTAAATGAAGGCGCAATAACTAAAAATATCTGTACTACTCAGCTCTCGGAAACTGCTTTCTTCACAAAAACTAAGAGATAACATGTTCACAAAGGTAAACAAAAACGAAGATAAAACGTTGAGATTGTTGCCGCAGCATGCTTTAAATATAGTCATTATGTCGCCCAAAAAAAAATATAAACAAGTTGAATAGTTTTTTTTCTGAGTCTAAAACTTCTGTCACTTAATATAATATACTCATAAAAATAATGAGCAATGAACATAACTTGAACGCTATCGTAAAACTAGAATGTATTCAAAATTATTAAAATAAGTTGCTAATAAACTTTATAAAATTATTTAAAACAATTTAATCCGACCAAAATGGTCTTGTACAAGACCAAAATGTTCCAGATGACCCAACAGATCTACATTTAATAATAATAATAAATTGAAGAAAATAATAGCCTATTTACTTGAAAACTTACGTTTTGCTGTGAGCTAAGATTATAATTTTAACGTCGACGATCGATGCCAACCTAGAGAGGAGGAGCAGTAACTACTACGGCTTTTTAATAATTGACCTTACATTCACAAAAAGCATGGCCTTCCATGGTCCACCCAACCTGAGCTGAATGTCACACTGTAGGTCTAGGTAGATAGTGTAGTCCCTCAGTATTTATTATGGAGTGATAATTATTGACCGTGTAGCCAGTCAGTAATTATTGATGTATATAAGGTTGCGTAGAGATCTACTGACACTGATCAGTAAATACTGACGCTTATGGACCGCGGTTAATTCTGATCATGTGACATTCGCCTTTTTAATATCCAACTGCACGTCAGATTCTTGTAAGATAAGGGGACGTCCTTTGGACACCCTGTATTCAACTACTTTGTCGTGATCTAACTCACATGACTGCTGTGATTATGTGCTACATCTCAAAATATCTGTTTCAAGAAACATTGCAATAGTAAGACTTATTTTTAGTAGGCAGTTTAAAGGTTTTGTTTCAACGATCCAATAAAACGTTTTACGACATTACTTGATGCAATAATTCGGAAAGGTTTATGTCTTTTCCTGTCAAAAATAAGCGCTACGGCTTATATTTATGTCGAACAAAATTCCTGGGCCTTCATTTCCTCAAGCTGCATTTCAAGATATCGGTAACCAAAGACACACCGACATACATGTTTACCTTAACGATATTTCCAATGTGTGTAGAAGCAACGTCTGTGAGCGATGGCAGAGAATGGTAAACAATCACTCCAAATGGCCGAAATTGCTGCCACGCTGTCGAGATAGTCTATCCAGAGCAACTTCTCAAGCCATTGAAGAAACATCACGTGTTAATAAAGCCAAACTTCTAGGAAGAATTTCCGGACTAACTAAAATAAAAGTATAACAAAATTTAACTTTCTAACAGAATAATTCAATTCAGAGTAAAAAGCGTGGGGTGATTGATATATTGAATGTTACAATCATTCTATTGGCAATTGTGTGTGAGAGGAGAGTTATGTAAATGTAGTAAAATGCCCCCCACGCTTTTTACTTTAAATTGAATTATTCTGGTAATAACTTAAATTTTAAAGAATGAAGGCTTTCACGGCTAATTCTAATGTAATTTATGTTTTTCGGGCTGTTGAGCCGTAGTCCGGTTGGATTTGGTCCATAGCTTTCGGCTACATCTGCGGTAGCCATCTTCAGTGGCGCTGTCGGCGAGAGCGAAGTGCTCGGCTTGGCGGGTCGACTGAAACTGATCGGTTAACTGGATGAGCGTGCGGTTTTATAGGCGATCGGCGGACTGTGAACTGAGTTGTCTGGTGGGGGTGCTTTGGGTCTCTTGAGCGTCGTGGCTTTTGCGCTGCGTTTTTTAGAATTGGGAAGCACGTTTTGTTTAAAGCAAGGCCTTCTTCTTTTCTATTGAAATTATCATTGTGTTTATAGATTTCAATTGCTTCTCTGTAGATTCGGGCTGAGTAGTGGGAGGATGTTGATAGGACTTCAGTTTGGTCGAACGGAACATTGTGGCCGTCTTGGAGTGCGTGTTCGGCCACCGCTGATTTATCAGTTTGTCCTAGTCGACAGTTTCTTTCATGCTCCTTGATGCGTGTTTGGAAGCTACGTTTAGTGATGCCTACGTGTACTTTATCACAGGAACACGGTATTCTGTATGCGCCGGCACCGCTCAGAGGGTCCCTAGGGTCATTTACCGATGTTAGCAGTTGCTGGATTTTATTTGTCGGCTTGTAGATGGTGTTTCTGCAGCAAACTTCCTGTTTTATCCGTGATGCCTTTAATGTATGGTAGGAAGGAGACTCCCGCTGGTGGTTCCTTGCCTCCTGTCGGCGGTCTTCTTTTTTGTCGTGAAACCTGTTCTATTGGTTCCCTGCGATAGCCGTTTGCTTGTAAAACCACACATCCGCTGGAGAACAATTTGCCGCGATCGCAACGACTAGCCTTTAGGACGCTTAAGGGCGATAAGGAAATAGTGATTCTACCGACTGATAAAGGAAACGCCTCCGTAGTCCTGAACAAAGTAGACTATCAGACAAAAATAAAAGAACTACTGGAACCTGCCACATATAAAGCCATCCGCAATGACCCAACGTGGAAATTTCTGAGAAAAACCAGTCGACTCATTAAAGAGTCGTCGTTACCCCTGAGGTGAAAAGATTGCTATGTAAATCAGACGGCCTTCCACCCAGATTGTATGGTCTACCAAAAATTCACAGGCCATCTGTCCCCCTTAGACCTATGTCATGTGTGCGATCGGGTCACCTACTTATTAACTAGCGAAACATCTGACGAACATGCTCCAGCCTCAAATAGGTCACAGCCAGTCGTATGTCAAGGACTCCACCGATTTCATAAGAGAGATACAGAACATCCGGCTCACGCCAGACGACATTTTGGTCAGTTTTGATGTACTGTCACTTTTCACAAATGTCCCACTAGACCTATCACTGGATTACCTGAAGCAAGTTTTTTCAGAGGATATCCTGACCTTGTTTCGATACACCCTAACAACTACATATTCAACAACAACAATTTTATGAACAAACTGACGGCGTCGCAATGGGAAGTCCGCTAAGCCTAATGGCCAATTTCTACATGGAAAGGTTCGAGAAAACAGCACTGAACACCGCTCCCAATCGTCCCAGTTGTTATAATTTTCTTTTGAGATCATTAATCATCATTGATTGTTCGACCATCTACTACTGTAATATAAACTCTTTGTAATTAAAAATTATTTCATAATTTTTAGTTCGGTTAGATAGAAAAGCTCGTTTTTTAGTTTCGATTTATCGATTAGTTTTTTGTGGACATGTCATGAAATTGCATTGTCATCGGTCCTTGATAGGTGTGCGAAGTTTCAAATTAATCAAACTTCTGGAAATTGGTGAAAATTATGCTCAAAGATTCCCTTGCATAGATACATAGATGCATACATACATAGATACATACATGCAGGTCAAGCTAATAACGGGTGATTTTTTAAGAGGTATAGAGTTCGATTTTCAAAAAAAAAACACAAAAAATTTGAAAAAACGATTAAATCTTTATTTGAGTTGATAGAACGGTCGATGTAATTTAATGTTTAAAGATTATTTCATGTAAATGTTGGCCGCGGCTGCGCTTTAGATGGCCCATGCGCAAGGTCCAATTTTGGCACACTCTTTCCAACATATCGGCCGGTATCTCACGAATAAATGCTTCAATATTGGCTTCCAGTACGTCAATCGTTGCTGGTTTATCCCTGAAGACATTAGCCTTAACATGGCCCCACAAGAAATAGTCTGCGTTAAATCACACGATGTAGGCGGCCAATTGACGGGCCCCAAAGTGAGATAACCTGTTCACCGAACTCGCCTCTCAATAGGGCCATTGTTTCGTGTGCGGTGTGGCATGTGGCACCATCTTGTTGAAACCACATGTCAGCCAAGTCCAGCTCTTCCATTTTGGGCAAAAAAAGTTTGTTATCATCGCACGGTAGCGCTCGCCATTCACAGTTACGTTCCGGCCATTGTCGTCTTTGAAGAAGTACGGCCCGAGGATGCCATCGGGCCACCAAACAGTGATTTTGTCGGGATGCATTGGTAGCTCTTGCAATGCTTCTGGCTGGTCTTCAGTCCAGATGCTTGTTAACGTACCCATTCAACCAGAAATGAGCTTCGTCGCTGAACACAATTTTCCGATAAAAATGCGGATCTTCCTCCAACTTTGCCGGCGCCCATTCACCAAATGGGAAACGTTGTGGGAGATCGTGTGGCTTTAATTCTTGCACCAGCTGTATCTTATAAGGTTTTACACCCAAATCCTGTCGCAAAATTTACCACGTAGTGAAGTAACAGAGGCCCAATTGCTGCGAACGGCGGCGAATCGACATTTCACGGTCATCACTAACACTGGCGGATACAGCCGCAATATTTTCTTCAGTCCTCACTCTACGTCTGTGTGTTGGTGGTTTAATCTCCAATAATGTAAACTGGGTTCGAAATTTAGTCACAAGCTTCCGAATAGCTCCCTCAGTAGACCGACCAAATTGCCCATAAATTGGAAGCAGTGCTCGATGCACTCTCTTAACCGAGCATGAATTTTGATAGTAAAATTCAATAATTTGCAAGCGTTGTTCGTTCGTAAGTCGATTCATGGTTAAATTATAGACCAAACTGAACAAGTTTGACAATGACACAAGACACGATTCACGCGTCATCTGTCAAAAACAGTGTGCCAAAAAGATACTAGCAAAAAAATCACCCATTAAAAGCGTGTTAAAAAAATTAAAAAAGGTATACCACATCTGCCTTCTGTAAGGATTGTACTCACGACACCTGCTTTACAAAGTCAGTGCTCTGCTACTTGAGCTTAGAGATTTAACATATCGGAAAAAAACGGGAAAAATTAGGAAAAAACACGTTTTTTTCCGTTTTTCCAGACCATGGAAAAAATTGGAAAGAATGGGAAAATTTAAATATTTTTTAATTGTGACTTGAAACGTAAAAAATAGGTACCAATTTTAAAGTTTTTTAAACATATTTTGTAAAAATAAATACAAAAAACATACTTTAATAATATCTATTAATATCTAAGATATAAATACTTACATGTATATAGGGTCAAATTATAATTATTATCTAATAATTCAAAGTATCAAAAACAAAGCTTCAAAGGTAGAAAACACGTTATTTAACCAAAGCGCTCAGAGGTATATTTTCATCTGAGTCTGAGTTTGAATCTTCAGACCAAGCATCGTAAATGAATGTCTGTTTTTCGTTTATAACCAAATTAGAATGAATAGCAACCAGCTTCTGAATTTTATCCTGTGATAATCTATTTCTTTTGCTTGTATGTATGAGGCCGTGTAAAGACCAGTTTCTTTCTGAAGAGGCGGAAGATGGCGGTCCATTTAAAATTCGAGAGGCAATTGGCATAAGTGGCTGCGATGTACACAAGCCTTGCTACCATATAACGGGATGAGTACTATTCGCACTGTCCCATAAAGAATTTCGACTAAAAAATCCAGTTTTTGTTCTAAATTGGGCTAGATTTGCCACCACCTTGCCTACATCTAGATTTAGTGAACGAACCATTTCAGAAATAAAGTCTATTGCTTCTATTAGTTGGTCTTTATTCAATTGTTCTCCTTTAAAGCGAGCATCAAGAATATTGGCTGCAAAGTGAATCGGCTTAAAACAAAATTCGTAGCGTTCCTCGACACATTTTAGCAAGCCTTCGATAAGAGAACTAGTCAGGTCAACTTGTTGGGGAATATCTAATATTGTGTCTTTTATATACGAGTACTTAAAGACAAAAGGCACTTCTGATAATATAGATCTATCCGATTCTTCTAAATTTACCGATTTTGATATAGGATACAGGATTTGTTTAGTATATTGTAGGTTTTGCCAGAACGCATCATCCAATACAACTTTTTTAATATTTTGTTTTACATTCAGGTTTTTCACTAATACAGTACATTGCAGAGCTTCCTTATTTCTTAAAAGCGAATCAAGAGTTATAAACAGAGAACCCCATCTTGTTTTTGCAGGTAACTTGAGGGAAATTACTTTACTTTTTGGGTATTTTTCGGCCTGTGCTTCTTTAAATACAGCATAAAGTATGTGGTGCTGTTTAAAACATTTACAAATTTTCTTAGACTCTTTACTTATTTTTTCAAACAAATTTTCTTTCATAAAGTCCTTTAGTAGCAAATTCTGAGTGTGAGCTGCACAACCAACACAAGGTGTATGAGGATATGTTGTATTTATAATATTCCAAGCAGCTTTCATATTGCTCGCACTGTCAGTCACTATTAAAAAAAATTTTTGTGGCTCTATTTCTTGAATAACTTTGATAAGTTCATTACTTATATACGTTCCCGTTTCTTTTACAGTGCCACGATGAACAGTTTTGTAAAATAAAGGTATAGGCGTGCATATAACGATATTGATTAATCCATCTCCGACTATATTTATTACTATAGATAAACTATCGAATTCAGAAAGCTTTTGACTTCGGTTTATCTGTCCACGTTCATACTCGGAATTAAGTAAGTTTGTTGACAGGGCGTAAGGGCTAGGTATTTGGTATGACGGTCTTAACATTTTAAAAACCTGTTCCCAATATTTGTTTTTGAAAAGAGAAAAAGGAGCACCAGAAGCATAAAGAGCCCTAGCTAATGCCTCATCAATGTTAGAAGACTCTGAAACAGCTGTCTTATCGAAAAACCCGCTCAATGTTTGTTGGCAGCTAGCTTTCTTGCGTTTTACTGATGGTAATGAAGATTCGGAAGATGATGACATTGATGATGTGTCCTTTTTGCTAGTTGAAGGGAGACTGGTATCTTCTAATGCTTCTAGCAGGATATCTTTGTTACTTTCTTTTTCTTCTGACGTCGAAGACTTCGAATTCGATTGTATTTCATTGCAATATTTTTGTTTAATTTCCAAAGGACATTTTGAACATTGGTTTAATATATGATTCGTCATGCGAGTTGCGTTTGGAAAGACGTATTTAAAACATCAAAACTTACACACAGCCTTGGATTTTTTATTTGTTTTTTCAATATCAAATAATTGCCAAATATCTGAAGAAGGTCGAACCATATTGTCCTGCAACAAGAAAAAAATACATAAATATCTTGTTGCACTTTATCAACTGATCAAATTCTTGTAATTTAATAAGTATACAGATAATAATTATTATTACTGAATCTTGATATTAATAATAAAGAAAAGTAAGGAAAAGACGAAAATCGTCGGGTATTTACCGAGAACTAATCCTTCAGAGCCGTAGCTTGCGGTTTTGATTCAAATTATTTCTGTTTGATTTATATTAATGGAAAAATCAGTAACCAGAATACTTTTATCTTGTATATAACAAATTTCAATTTTTCCGTATTTTTCCTTTTTTCCTCAATTTTTCCGGAAATTTTAAATCTCTACTTGAGCTACAGAGGCTTGTAATTTCAATATTCGTAAAGCGGCATATGAAATCCGTGGCTTACAGACGAAGCTAATATAAGCGTGTTAAAAACAGTTTCTATAAACATAGCTGTGGTTATGCTCCGTGAAACGTTTTTTATAAGATTTTGATAAAATTTGAAAATAAAAAGCATTGCCGAAACTTAATTAAAACTGATAGAAAAAATGTTATACAAGGTGGCGCAAAATTAATGTCATAATTTGAATTGGCAGCTATTTTTGCAGCGCCAAATGTTACTGTGCATTGGCATGTGTGATGTATATATATATAGAGAATTAGTCGTCATCAACCCATGGAACGATACAGCTCATTTCATAAATTCTCAATCTGTTGTTGCGTAAATTTCGTTGTTTTACTCGTCGTTGTGTGCAAACAATGTCCACTAAAGAAGTCGCAAGAAGTGGCCGGCCCCGTATTACTCGTTCGGCCAAGAACATCGCTACTGTTGCCGACGACGTTAGAGTATCCACAAACTTCAATGAGACGACGTTGCACACAATTAGTCATCAGCAGACGTTCGTTGCAACGAATTTGAGTGGAAGATTTGAAAATATTCCCCAACAAAGTGCAAGTCATGCAAGATTAACTTACTGCGATACTCTGTTAAACTTGGTGCAAGAAGAGGACGATTTGGTATCTAAAATCATTCTGAGCGATCACTTAAGAGGTTATGGTAGCAAACAAAATGTGGGTCTCTGGGGCACAGATAATAGAATTCACATGAAATGCATGAATAGTAAGTGCATCCCTTCAAAATGTCTGATGGTGTGGCATTTGCAGAGAAAAGGCGATCGGTCCTTATTTTTTGAAGACGCCGATGGAACCACTGTAACCGTAACTGGTAAACATTAAACGAGGTTTTTTGCCACAAGTTGCTGCATTGGGTCTTGATTATTGTTGATTTCAACAGGATGCAGCAACTGGTCATACAGCTCGGGCAAGGATAGATAGATTTTGAAATACCAAATTCATGGTCGACTGATCTCTTGAAGATTTGAACTGGCTCTCCAGATCTCCAGATCTAACAGCACCAAACTTCATGTGGGACTTTTCAAAATCCCGCGTCTACCACAAGAGACTAAGAACCTTGTAAGTCTTGAAAGCTAACATTAGAGAAGGAATCGTCAATTTGGAGCCAGATGTTTTGCGAGCAACAATTCAAAAAGCCGAGCGCAATTATGTATCAACTCAGGAGGAGGCCATTTGACCGATATAAACTTTGCCAAATAATGACATCAATTTTACACTTTCAAATAATCGTTTTATGAAAACAGAGCTCTTTTTTTAATTTATAACAAAATGGCAGCTAGTTCAAACTTTAAAATTACTTTTGTGCCACGTTGTATTTATATTGAAGCCGCACGTTGCGATGCCCAACTATATCACCGGATTTAAATCTGTTAATTATTTTCCTTTAGGGATTTGGGTTGCGTTGACGCGTTTTTTATTCGATTCTATCCATTTTTTCGACGAACCCGTGTACTTCAACGTTTTTTAATGAAGTTGGAGCTATTACGAATCAAAAACGGTTTTCAAAAAAAGTGTAAGACCATGTATCTTGAAAACCAAACATTTTCGGACCGATATTATGAACTTTTTTCTTTACTGATCTCTATTAACAAGTAAAGATGTTTCTTATGCGATTTTTGCTGATGAGAAATGTAATTTTCCAAATATTTTGATCTGTGGAGTAAACATGAATGTAGTAGGCAAAGATAGGTGAGACTTCCCAAAATAGCCTTGGCCCCTCATTTAGGAAGCATTCAAAATAGCTCACGAAATCAAACCAGTTCTGCTAACGCGTCAGTAATAAAAGAAATGGGTCCACGTTTGTTTCTAGTAATAATCGAAACAAGTGTTCCTGTTATTTCTAATAATTCTTAATAGTTCCTGACTTTATGACGTGTTAACAGGCTGTTCCAGGCAGGTCATAAAATACAGTATACTTGTTTCTTCTGAATACCAGCTATTCTCCTATAAGAGCTATGAACCATGTCATCATGTCAACTTTGATAATGTAATCCGTATGTCTGAAACTATGACAAACATAATATAGTCACCCTAAGATTTCATTCATTTTGCATGGAACTAAAATACGATTTTAAAATACTGAATCCGTCAAGTAGGTATGAGTAGAACCTGCACTTCCTAAGCAACGCGGTCGTAAAGCACTAAGTCGTTTGTAACATGTACAACAGAGAAACTAAATGGATTAAGTCAGACAAACAGGCCTTTACAATAAGTCCATAGACAACCTTTCTCAGCCCTACCGGTAGTTACTGTCGATCTCGTAACGCTGTCCCTTTCCGCATATAATAGGCGGCATCGTTGCAGAGAGCTATCGTTTATTTCGTGCATGGTCCGTGTATATATTTTTGCTATGCAGATAGATTAGTGAGCCGGAGCGGCTCGACGGGCGCTGGGCTTAGATATCAGGACTACATGCGGATCGAACATATCTATCCATTAGAGGCAAATGTACCCATACAAAAATTTTAGGATCCTCTGAAACGTCAAAAAATTGAAGTTTAAGCCATTCTTATTTCATTGGTTTTCTTTTAATTGTTCTCTGTCGCAACTGGACCGATTTTCAAAAACTATCAAACTTTTTCGTCCTTGGCTTAGTAGCAAGCTCTTGTGGAAATTTCATGAAAATCCGAGTTGTACTTCTCAAGTTTAGGACGGGCCATTTAGCCTGATTAGCGATCAGACCGAAGGAAATGAGTAACAGAGTTATCCGTGATCCAAAAAACACAATATCTCATTTTCGAAATGTTTCGCGATTGCAACGCAAGTAATAGGATCGAGAGTCCGGTCCAGAGCCCATCTGCATTGTGAGTTTGAGCCATGACAACTGTACTGAGTGACAAAAAAAGGTACGTACCTACGTATGTTTAACCGATTTTGATAACTTTTGGCATATATGTTATGTTCAGTGTCCCTTACTAGTAAAATGATTGAATTTTTAACTTGATTCGTCAACTGACTGCAGAAGCTGTTTCAATAATGTGTTGAGAATCTACGATTTGTTATATCGTTTAAGGCTACTGCAACTTCGTGAGTAAGAGCTGCTTAAGTCTGTGGAGGGTGATGCAGATATGTCAGGCGATCGTGGTGGCCAAGGTAAACGGTTGATGCGATGTTGATTCATGAAGGCTAACGATGCTCTGGCAACATGCGGTCTGGCCTTGTCTTTCTGAAAAATCGGGTTTTGGATGGTGTTTAGGTATGGAATCCTGAATATAGCCTCGGGCTGTCATATTACCTCTGATGAAAATTAGTGGTGATCTGCTACCATAAGCAATAGCACCCCATACCATAAGTGTCACGGTGTGGTGAACGTGACGCTCTCCGTCAAATTGTAGGTCACTCTTTCACCTCGTTGCCTTCTCACTCTTGCCCGACCATCGTGCATCCCCAGACAGAAGCGGGATTCGTCACTAAAACATGATTCCATTCTCGGTTCCATTGAATTCTTTATGTACACCAAAGCAAACGTTTACGCCTATGTTCAGCTGTGAGAGGTAGCACCCAATGTGGGCAATAAGAGAAAAGGCCGATCTGTCGAATTCGGCGATGTACCGTACGCGTACCAACCATCCTTTCATACTCTTCAAACTACTGATTAGCGATGGCCCGAGTACTACTGAATCTGTCTCTCAGAGCCAGAAGTCTTAAGCGGCAATCTTGTCGCTCTGTCCACGCTCGTTCACAGTATACTGCGTAAGGATCTGCTGGTCCTCCTAGAAACTTCTCTTATCAATAGACCGGCTTCACGATATCCGACAATTCGACCCCTCTCAAAGTCACTTAGCTGGGACACCCGCCGAATTCCACGCACTCTAGGCATTTTGAGCAGTCACAGAAAGGCTTCTCAATTAGCTACACGAAATTTAACATTTAACTGACACCGTAAATATACGAAAACTTAACAGAAAAACCTGACCATTTTATCACTTCATGGCCAGATAAATCGATATGTAAAAAATTCTTGAATACTAATAAACATACCTTTTTTGTCACTCAGTATATGTTGAAAAAGCACAATCCAAAGTCTTCAGGGACATGTGGGATGAGTCTTGTCAGGAAACAGCTTCAGTTTGCCACTGGCATTGGGACTGGTCACCTAAAGAAGCATAATTCAAACAAAATCTAGCATTCTTAGCTCTAGCTCCGCGTCAGTCACTGGAAGTATCAATTCTGTTGAAGCGTTTTCGTCTATGTGTATTAACACCGTATTCTTCAAAAATTTGAAGCTGTTTATTATCCAGTCATCGGAAACCCCTAGAGAGGACGTACGTGGAATTTAATAAAGCTTAAGTGCCGCGATCTTGTCTGATTACATTTCCTCTATCACAGAATAAATAATTCGCTCAAGAAATTCCTCTACTGAACTGATTTCTAGTGTGCGACAGAAACCGAAACCGAACTTTCGGTCCAAATTTAGTTTCGGCCGAAACCGAAGCCGAAACTTCCAACTGAGGAGTATGATATAGGAGTTTAGGCGGAAAGATAGTAGTGCATGTCCAAAAAAATAAACCCAGTCAGTATCAATTATTATTGGTGATAATAATAGAAGTTTATTATTAAAGAAAAAACAAACTCTATATAATATGTAATAATCACAGTATCTATCAAATATAAGACATATTTAAAGAAAACTAAAACATATACTATATTTGTACAAAACACCAATAAATAGTGTCTATTTGTTTCCAACATTTTGTAAAAAAAACAAATAATAATACAAAAATAACAACTTATGGCCTGTTGCACCAATACTATTTAACGTTAGTTGAGACGGAAACCTAGTTTAATTTGAAGATTTTTATTGCACAAGTACTTAAACCAAGTTTAAAGTTTTATAAACTTAAACGATCAATTTTTGGAGTTTATGGATCGTCCAAACCATTTTTGGTCTTCAAAAATGGATTTTATTGGCCATGACGATATTTTAAACGATGATTTGGGTATTCTTGAACCAATAAAAAATGATTTTGTAGAACATACGAATGTAGTTTCGGTTGGAGTTTCGGCCGAAAGTTCGCTCGAACAGTAGGTACTGATTTCCCTCTTCTACATGTATATCCAGTATCCAGTCTCTTCCAGGTATTTCCCAGAAAACTGGTAATTTGCTCATGTCAAACTCATCCCAAAAAAAGGGACCTAAGACCGACCCGTACAACTACAGGTCTACAGCTCTGGTCTCTGTTATAAGTAAGGTGGTAGAGAGGTGCATAAATCGCGAGCTTATGGGCTACCTCGGCTTGATTAATGATAGGCAGCATTTTACTCTTTAGTAAACTTAAATTCAAAGTTTCACAACAATACGTGGAGTGCTCTCACTACAGTGAATTTTTGTGTCACCAAGTCATTAGAAAAATGGAACTCAACCGAGAACATTTTCGCGCCATAATTTATTACAACTTTCAGAGACAATTATCGCAACAAGAATGCCTTGCTGAGTTACTGTCTGTTTTCGGCAAGTTCCCGTTGGTATGGAGAATTCAAACGTGGACAGGTGATTTTAGCGACGCCGACGACCCCAGGGTGGGTGCACCAAAAACGGCAGTCACCCAGGAAAACGTCGATGCTGTGCGCAAACTCATCATTCAAGACAGACATGTGACATATCGCGAGATTGAGGCGTCCTTGAAGATCTCAAAGACCTCTATTCAAAAAAAATTACATGAAGAATTAGGAGTACGAAATTAGTTTCTCGTTGGATACCCCACCTGTTGACTGAAGAGCAGAAAGCAGCGAGGGTTAATTGGTGTCAAAAGACGCTTGTCCGTTTCAATTCCGGAAACTCAAAATATGTGTACAGCATTGTTAGTGGTGATGAATCGTGGATTTACGGTTATGAACCAGAAAATAAACGACAATCGGCTGTTTGTGTCAAAAGCCGGTCATAATGCAACAATTCGTCTTAATGAGCAAAGAACTGTTACTGCGGATTGGTATACCACCATTTGTTTGCCAAAAGTCATCACCGAGCTTCGAAAAATCAACCCTGAAAGAAGAATCATCCTCCTCCAAGACAATGCAAGCTCGCACACAGCAAAACAAGGCAGTATTTAACGGAAGAAAACGTGGAATTATTGGACCATCCTCCATATAGTCCCGATCTAAGTCCTAACCATTTCTTTACTTTCCCGAAAATTAAAAACAGCCTGCGTGGTTAAAGATTCCAGTCACCAGAAGAAGCAGTTGACGAATTCAAAAATGCCGTTTTGGATCTGCCAGCAAACGAGTGGAATAAGTGCTTCGAAAATTGGTTCGAGCGCATGCAGATGTGTATTAATCTTCGTGGAGAGTACTTCGAAAAACAATAAATTCATTTAAAACTACCTACCGTGTTGTTTTATTTCCATATGCAAAACTTAGATATCCCTCGTACTCTCTTGCATACCACAGGTTTTTTGCAGCTTCAATGACTTTTTTATAAACCTTCTTGTGTCTCTTATAGAAATTTAACTCTGAAGCATTTTGCATTTGAACCACAATTCCGTAAAGATTTTTCAGTCTCTGTGCAGATTTTCTGATCCCTACCGTTAACCACGGTTTTTGTGAGATTGCGTTTTTATTGAACTTTTTTATTGGAAAATATATATCTATATAATATTTGAAAATATTAACGAATGTTTCAAATCCCAGATTCACATCATTGCATTCATAAACCGAGCTCCAATCTTTATCTCTTAAATGCATCAAGAATATATTATAGTTTACATCATTGCAAACCCTTGTATAATGAAAATTGCTAGATGAATTATTTTTATTATGAAGGTTAACCTTTAGAAGTTGACAGGAATGATCTGATAATCCGTTGAATACTATTTCAGACCAATTTAAGTGTTCAACCTTATCAAAAAAATGTATGCACATATAATCAATAGCACTTCTGGACCAAGCAAATCACGGAGTTTGTTCTTCTCAACAGTATCACATAAAAAGTCAACATTTCAGTCACCACAAGGAACAATATTTTCGTTACCATGGGAGCCGGCTTTTTCTAAGAAGGAATTGAATTCGTCAAAAAAATTATTACAGCAAGATGATGGTGATCTATAAATGCTAAAAATTTGGTATACAGAATTTTTGATTAACAATTTAATTCCACAAATTTCGCAATTTTTCTCTGATGAGAATGATGTAACGTTGATTTCTTCTACGAAACGCAGCAAATCCTTCTTGCAAAAAATTGCTGTGCCACCATTTTTGCTATTCGAGCGGCAATAATTACACAAAGAATATCGATACCATTTTCTGCTAGCTCCACATCCAATAAATCGATTTTATTTCTCATACATTGCATACTCTGGTGACAAATTGTTAATAATCTGACAGATTTCTCTTTCTGTGATTGCTAGCGTGGAGATATTTTGATTTTTTGTTTTGCCTGTGCGACTTTTTGCAGATATACTTGACACTTATTCGAATCAAAGATGGAATGAGTTACATCAAGATTCAATTTTAGCTTCATATTAGTTTTAATACAGCTTTTGTATCCTCCAAAACACTGTTGACGATCAAAAGGTGCCCTAGCGCTCATCCGGCTTCGATGTCCAAGTTCTGCCAAAGAGCCGTTTATTTCGGCTGGTCGGAGTCCAGACTAATCGATGACTATTCTCTAACAGACAGTTTCGGGACCCTTTCGCATCGGCGGGCCGTCGGCGATCTAGGTCTCTTCTACCGCTACACCAACGAACTCTCTTCCATGATGCCGCTGCGCGATCTACCTGCCAGACGGACCCGCCTGACCGCTAATTTGTCCCTAGGATGTTGAGATTGTGGAACAATCTACAAGAGCCTTATAGCATCAGCAGTCTCCTGGCATTTAGACTCCTGCCTGCGCGGTTGCTTCGTTGTAAAAAAATATGCTAAGCTGTTTTTCGACACTCCGTAATCTCAATACAATGCATAGAACATAAAACAATAAACTTGACTCAACTTCGATGTATTTTCTGTTTAACAATAGCAGCTGCAAGTGCCAAATGCATTTTTCTATATTTCGAAGGCATTTATCAACAAATGAGCGAATGCGATTGTTGGCACATCTAAAACTCGTGTTGTAAGAAATGTCGCGCTGTAAATCATCATATTTCAACGTTTATTGTAATAATTTCAGGGCAGCGCGTGTAAATCACTCAGTCAAGCTATAATCGTATTGCTATGGATAATTTACTATTTTAATAATTCAACATTGCACTTTTTTATTGTGCAGCCGCCGGGAGGTTGAAGACAACCTATTGATCTGATTTTTGTCATTCTAAGGTTAGTGGAACTGAGGAAAGGAAGAAAGGAGCGATTACTTTTTGCATCACGTGAAGTCATGTCACTCATTTTCGTCTGTCTGTCGGCCGTCTAAGCCTTAGCCCGTCTTGAAAAGTACCGCCCGGATTTTGATAAAATTTTCACACCATATAAACACCAATCGAAGGACGAAAAAGCTTTATAGAAGAGTAAAAAACTAAATATAATATACGCCAAAAACTTAGTTTTTTGACATTTCAAAAAAACGTGGGGATTAAGAATCGGAGGTTGGGGGTTCTATCTAATTTTTTTGGCGGCAGTATATTTATTCGCTTTCAACTCCGATAATTATACGCACTTATCAAAACGTATTTTACCGATCACAGATTTCCCCATAAATTTGCCCTTAAAACTTACAGACGTGACGATATCGGTTATACGTAGTATCTGTTGCGGTCGCAGACGACAGTCGCTTCCGTGCTGCTGTGGGTTGTATGCTGTAAAAGTCAAGCTAGAGTTTTTTCTTAGAAGGGCTAACTTTTGCTGAATATACAGGGTGCGGCAGAGAGGATGGACGGTTTTAAAAAAAACATAAAATAGTTAATTTTTACTCGAAAACAAATTTATTGATGGAATGAGGTTCACAAGGAAATAGCATTTGAGACAGTCAAGTGTGGAAAATCACATCAGGCATGTGGTGGCCTAAATCGTTGATGCAATGCTGGAGGCGTTCTTGGAAGTTCGCGTAGACTCTCTCCAACATCGCTCTCTCAACTTGGGCGACTTCCACGCGAATTTCGCCCTTCAATTCGTCCAGAGTTCGGGGCTTGTTCGCTTATACTCTAGCCTTGAGGTGTCCCCATAAGAAAAAATCACATATGGATAAATCTGCGGTCCGAGGTGGCCAATGAACATCGCCAAACCTGGAAATAAGGCGACCAGGGAAGAGAGGGCGAATAACGTCCATGGATGCTCGGGCTGTGTGGGCGGTCGCCCCATCCTGCTGGAATCACACACGTCGGATTGGAACACGTCGCCGTCGTAATTCAGGCAGAAAGAAGTTGGTGATCATGTCGACGTAGCGCTCTGATTTCACGGTAACATCACGACCATTACCGTCTTCGAAGAAGCAAGGGCCAATGATGCAAGTTTGCGATACATCGCACCATACCGTTACTTTTGGGCTGTGCAGAGGTCTTTCGTGTATCTGTTGCGGAGTTTCATTAGCCCAATAACTACAATTCTGCTGGTTAACCATGCTGTTTAGGTGAAAGTGGGCTTCGTCACTCATAGGCGAAAACCCGCTGCTCCACCGTCCAAGGCTCCATAACGACAACTGGTAAAATAATGCTAGGATCTCACGAGTCAAACGGCACCCTCCCCACCTCTCTCGTAGACGGTGGCGGAGAGTACTACTCATCCCAAAAACGTCCGTCCTCTCTGCCGCACCCTGTATAATAATCCTTTACGAACTAATGACAGCGTTGCAAACAGATTTAACTAACTTGACGTATTTTTTTTATTTTCTGAGAATGTATTACTGTATAACGTTACAGTGGTATAGTTGAATACACATATTTCAACAGATTTTAAAAAGCTTCATTAGTCAAAAAGAAGTAAATACATAAACTTGAAACAACCCTTGCAAAAACTAGATACTAGAAAAAAAAACTTACAGCATGAATAAAGAAATTGAGGAAGTACAAAAATGGAATAAAAACGCTATTTTTCGATCTTACTTTTGAAAAAAGCGTTCAACAATACTATTTCGTTCAACATTCAAATCCTGATGTATATGTAAGAAATGGCATCAAGTGGGTTGACTCTGCATTTCCTACGCAACGCCGTCAGCAGTTCATTTTTATTTTTTTTTTTATTTTTGTTTATTGATTTCTGTTTTGTATTATGCGATTGTGTTTGTATGTTAATGCCGCAAGGCGCATAACATCAAATTGTATCAGGACTCCAGGATGGGGCTTATCCGAGTCTAATACAGCGTGAAAATGTTACATGGCGAAAAGTACTTCCTAGCTCTAAAATAAAACTAGCTCGACGTTCAAATACAATCCAGATGGAGCTTAGGAACTCTCTAGCGACATTATTTGTGGATGTTTGATATCCACGAAAACGAACGAAAATAAAACAAGCATTTCTGAGAAGCATTCCTTTCTTACCAACATGTGGGGTAGATTCTTTCCGAGACGTAATCGATTATTTCGATTACATAAACGTAATGCAAGTGTTTCAAATAAAGAAAAGTGGAAAAATATCGAGAAACACTCCCGGTTTCCCTATAAATATACGGAGTAATAGTTTACCACTTGGGATAAAATTAGACATCAAATCTGTTTGATTTCATCTCGGGCGTTTAGTTTACAAATGTGTAGATTGTGCCAGTGTATTCTTATCATACGGATACATGCAGAATCCCTCTTGATTCTATCGAAACAGTATGTTGAAGGAATTTCAGTGGCGATATCTACGAGGTGCCTCGAACTGTCTTCAGATTCTCTTTCTACTCTGTATATCGAGAACCTTGAACAATCGACGGGAAGATCCTTTCTCGAGTACTGTTGACTCAGCAATCGGATCAAAAAGTCGTATTTTATTCGCGGTACTTCGGCATAAAGCTCTTCGTGACTGACCTATTTTGAAATTGGCATCAAGTAGGTTGACTCTGCACTTCCCACGCTACGTTGTCATCAGTAAAAAAAGTTTGCTACGAGCCGAATTAGTCCATAGTCTCCACTCATTTGGCAACACTATGATCTAGAAATATACTCACTGCCCTACTGGCAGGACCGACCATCTGGCAACGTTTCTATGCCTGACCTCGCCACTCTCCAGCCACGGAAGCCACGCATGGGTCAGATTGCGCTTCAGGTATCTCCAGAGGCGCATGTGTTGAAAATATTTCTCTATCTCTATCTCAAGCTCTGTCGCCACTAGACTGATTTTCGGAAGCTATAAAGCTTTTTCGTCCTTGGTATTGTGTGGAAGATTCATCAAAATCCAACAACTAATTTCCAAGTTATAGAGGGGCCAAAAATTAGCGAAAAGACATACACACCGACGGAAACCGAGTGGCGTAGTTTTTCGTAATGTGCATGTCTTATAACATACTTATATACAGGGTTATCCAAATTAAGTGTCCACCATTAGTAACTTTGTTATTAGTGAAAATACAAAGTTGTTTGAATTAGCAAACTAGTAGCATTTTTAACGCTGGTAAAAATGAGAAATAAAAAAAACAATTGAGAGTCGTTATTTTGATTTTTTTCAGTAAAATAACATTTTTTTAAATGGAAACCCCTGTATATTATATTTTTTTCTGTTAAAGCATCAAATTTTAAACAAAAAAGCTCACAATAACTTTTCTCCTAGGTTACAAATTGTTGAAGTTATGGCCTCCAATCTGAAACAATTAAATTGTATCGACAAACTTTATTTTCAACATCAACTTATAATCTTACAAAATACAATAACAATTTTTTTTAAAGAAGATGCTCGAAAACACCACCTTGTTCTTCAATACATTTTTGGGCACGTTTTTCAACTGCTCGAACTGTCTTAAGTATGGTCCTACCATCTATCTGGGTTATCTTTTCCCTAACTGCAGTCTTTAACGCGTCAAGGTTATCGTACCTTCGCTTGTAAATTTGGTTCTTTAAGTAACCCCACAAGAAGTAATCAAGTGGGTTTAGATCTGGTGATCTGGGAGGCCACTGTATTGGGCCATTTGTTCCTATCCACTGATCATTAAAAGTAGTACTTAGAAAATGATAAGTACCTCTGGAGTTGTGGGCAGGTGCGCCATCTTGCTGAAAATGCAGATGATGTCTACTTATAAGATACAATTCGTCTAAGAAATTAGTCAGAATTTCTGACATAAATTCCACATATCTTTCACCAGTTAGGGTTCCCTCATAAAAGAACGGGCCAACAATTTTTGAACCAATTATACCGCACCAAACGTTGAAACTGAAACGGACTTGTGGGCCTCTTGGATGTACTAACAAAAGATTTTCTCTTGGCCAATAATGGTGGTTTTTTCTATTAAACATTCCAGAATTTGAAAAATTTGATTCATCTGTCCATAAAAGGTAACGAAAGTTATTTACATTTTGGCGACAGAAGCTAAGATACCAATGGCAAAAAACAAGTCTTCTCTCTGGATCCCCTGCCAAAAGCGTTTGAACTGGTCGGTACTTATACGGAATAAATTTGTATTTTTTTTTAATCATTTGAACAGTACCATAACTGAAATTAGAGTCCTTGAGAATATCTGCTATTGAATTCTCACGATAAGCTTCAAAATATCCAATAACTGCAATTTCCGTGGCCTCGCTTATTATGAATTCTTTTTTTGCCTTTGTTTTAGCAAAAACATTTTCGTTGCCCCTAAATTTTCGATAAAGTCTCAGAAAATATCGTTCATACGGTTGAATGCGAGCGGGATATAATTCACTGTAGTATTCTCTTGCTCTCAAGGAGGATTTTCTGCACACTAAATAGCATTCTAACATATCACACTTTTCTTCATGGGAGAACATTTTTCTTTAAATTAATGACACAATAAAGCTTATAAACAAGTATTTACACTAATGTTTGACATTATTTGATTTTATCATTGTTTTCCAAAGCCTTCTAGTTGCGAGTATGTCCAGTTTAACAATTTGTCGCTTATCTTAATGCTGTCAAATCGCGAACGCCATGTTGTTTTCATAGCCGTCTTAATATTATAATACTGCAAATAATTAAAAATATTTATCGTTATTTTGACTTTATTTTTGACTTTAGCGGAAAAGTCATTATGAACTTTTTTGT